GCCTTCTGAGCTCCAGGGAGCATCGGGCACTGACCACAGCTGCTTCCTGGAGGGTGGAAGTGCTAGGCAGGGGCCTGGACGGGGCCCACGCAGGTCCTGCTGAGTAAGAGGCCAAAAGAGGAAGAGGAGTAGGTGGCTCAGGCCAGCCAAGCACCCTGCACTGGCTGCCTCCTGGGAAGCTTCACTGACAGACAGCCCCTGGCCCCAGCCATGGCTCCCTTGGGCCTCGGCATCCTTCCCCCACTTAGCCAATAGGGGAGAGCCCCTTCCCACGGGGCAGGACCTGGATCAGAGCTCTGCCCAGATGCACAGCAGGGAGGCCTGGAGCACTTCTAGAAGCCTTGGGGGCCACATCTGCAAAATGGGTCAATGGCTTGGCAGAGCCTGGAGGGGGTAAGCACTCACCCCAAGGCCATGAGGACTTGGGGCCCCTGCCCCTCACCTCCTGGCCGCTGTTGGGAAGTAATCTCCCCCAGGTGTGGTCACAGTACTGGAGCCAGTGCAGAGCGTCCACCTCTGGGCTGAGCGCTCCTTCGGGATGTCCGGAACCAGTGCTCGCTGGTGAGCCTGGCAGGGCCTGGCTGGTGGAAGCCAACCCAGCTGGGCTGTGGGCCAGGTCGGCACCCGTGGGCAGGCAAACAGCAGGGCCCGGAGTGGCTGGCACGGAATTAACTGTGCAGGCAGATGCTGCCTGCCCGCGGCCAGCCACCCTCGCAGCTCCTGGGCCCCTCCCCACCTCCAACACCCCCTGCCGGCTCTCAGAGGGAAGCAAGTACTGACTCCGGGCCTCAGGCCTCAGTTTCCTCCCCTGTGAGATGGGGACAGCCCTGGGAAATTCCAGGCCGAGCAGTGGATGAGACCTCCCGTCCTGAAGGACAGCCCCGCGCATGGCAGGCCAGAGGGTGCAGCCAGCTGCAGCCACCACCCAGACCCAGGAGCCAGGTAGTGGGAAGCCCATGGCTGTCCAGCCGGCAGCTGGCCTGCCACCCCCACCCGTCCACCCACTTTGGCCAGGGACAAGTGCATCCGAGCAGGCGGCTGGGCACCAGCAGCCCATGTCATTCCCAGAAGGGCCCTGCGGTGGCACAGGCTCAGGCCACAGCTGTCCTGGGCTGCAGCTTCGCCCTTGTCCCTCCATGGCGTCCTCCAGAACCAGCCACGCCACTGGGTTCAAATCCTGGCTCCCATTGGCTGTGCCACCTCAGGAAAGCGGTTTAACCTGAGTCCCAGTTTCCACATCTGCACAGCAGGGGAACTTACAGTACTACCTCTCAGGGTAGCTCTGAGGATTAAGGGAGTTGATCCAGAACAGTGATCTTCAGACTCAAGGCTATATTTGGGGAGGCTCTGGGGACAACAGTCACCAATCACAGCAAGGACAAAATACAAATCAGAAAAAAACCCATTGCTTTGATTAACAAACTGGTCCTAGTGTTCGTGTTGATACACACAGGAAGGCTGAGGCAGGAGAATCACCAGGAGTTCAAGGCCAGTCTGGGCTACATAGCAAGACCCTGTCTCAAAATTTTAAAAATAAAATTAAAAAAGGGTGGGGATGTAGCTGAGAGTGAAGGTCCTGGCTTCAGGTGCGAAACCTCTTTACTGTGAGGGGCCTTCAGGAGGGGCGGAGCTAACAAGGCGGGAGAGTTGTACAGGGTGCACCGTCCACATCTCCCACTGCTGCTGCCTCGCTCTGCCCAGAGCTGTGCATTTCGGGGACGGGCGTGGACGAGGAGGGAGATGTCCAGCCACCCACCCGGAGGTCAGGGACGAGCTCGTGAACGGTGACCGGGGAAGGCCCGCAAACAGACAGAAGGACAGTTGGAAATGTCTGCTGAAGGCAAAACGTCCCCAACCCCTCCACCTGGCGGCTCCGCTTCCCCAAAGATTTATTTGGGAGACACAAGGCCTCGAGGCGCAGTGATGCAGGGAACAGGCTGAGAAATGGAACCAACCCCGTCATCACGGGAGGCAGCTGGAGAGTAAAGGCACCGGGAAGGGACTTGGCGGGAGAGCTCTTGCCTCCCGCTTGGAGGCCGGGTTTCATCCGCAACACGCGCGCATGCGCACTGAGGCTCGGCCCGCACACATCGCTGAGCCCTTAGAAGGAAGGAGGTGGGAGCTGGGGTGTCACTCAGTGGTACAGCATGTGCTTGGCATGCGTGTGTGGAGCCCTGGGCTCGGTGCCACCATCACCACAAATACAAAGAAAGGTGGCGGCATGGTTTTTTATATTGGTATTTTTAAAAATCTTTGAGACAGGCTGAGGTCTGACTATGTTGCCCAGGCTGGCTTGAACTCCTGTAGTCAAGTGATCCTCCTGCCTCAGCCTCCCAAGTATCTGGAATTCACAGGCACACACCATCATGCTCAGCTATTGGCTTTCTTGCTTGTTTGCTTGCTTGCTTTATTTATTGGGGTTTTTTGAGACAGGGCCTTGCTATGCAGTTCAGGCTAGCTTTGAGCTCACTATGCAGCCAAGGCTGGCCTCAAACTCAGGGCAATCCCCCTGCCTCAGCCTCCCAAGTGCTGGAATTATAGGCATGCGCCACCACGCCCTGAAAAATGTAACTTTACAGGCAGAACAAAAAGTACACAGGGCTGTGTATTTACCTTTGCCTGGAGGTGCTGAGGTAACCAGGGCTGCTCCGAACCACTCACAGGGCAGGCATGATTCGGGACATTCCCAAGGCCCGCACCCACCTCCCACCACTGGGCATGCAGGCATGGACCTTGAAGTGGCTGGACATCAGTCACGGGGCCCCTGTGTTCACAAGGCACAGCTGCTGATGTGGGTCACACAACCTGACACTCGGCCCATGCCCAGCAAACCCACCTGTCTCAGGCTGGCAGGTGGTGCACATCTGTAACTTCAGCACCGGGGAGGCAGAGGCAGGATTGCAAGTTTGAGCCCGACCTGGGCAACTTAGAGACTGAGCAGGACCCTGCCTCAAAATAAAAGATAAAAAAGGACTGGGAGGGCCAGGGATTTAGCTCAGTGGTTCCGCTGCTGCCTGCCTCACAAGCACGAGGACCTGAGTTCGATCTCCGGTACCAAAAAAAAAAAAGGGCTGGGAATGTAGCTGGGTGCAAAGGCCCTGGGCTTAATACCCAGCACTACAAAAAAGAGGAAGAGCCGGGGATTTAGCTCAGTGGTTTCACTGCCTGCTGTGCAAGCGCAAGGACCTGACTTCAATCTCGGGTACCAAAAAAAAAAAAAGAGGGCAGAGGAGTCCATGGTTCTTTCCACAAGTGCTACAAAGGCAGGGCTGGGACCTCTTCCAGGCCATCCTGCCCGCTGATGCCCAAAACGTGGTTTGGAGGGCCAAGGTCCCCTTTTGGTGGCTAAAATTTCTGGTCACTTCTATGCTCTGAGCTACATCCCAAGTTGGTTTTTGTTGTTTTTTGAGACAGGGTTTTGCTAAATTGCCCAGGCTGGCCTCCAACTCACATTCCTGTCCTGCCTCAGCCTCCAGAGTAGCTGGCATCACAGGCGTGCTGGACCACACTTAACTCGACTGATGTGGACACAAAGGTCCTGACGGGTGTGGACTCATTCAGCAAGCGTGGGGGCCTCCCCTTCTCACAGTGTCGCCCTGTCCTTTCCAGAGAAGGGGAGGGAAAGGTCCTGCAGGTTCCGGGCAGGGCTAGGCCAGCTCCGAGGCGGTCCATGCTGTCAGGGCCCGTCCCTCTCATCAGCCCTGTGGTTGTCTTGTGGCTTCACGGCTATGGCTTCCAGCGCTGCCTTGTTGGCTTTTGCGCCGTGGACTTCCCATTGTCGAGGACCCACTCGCCCCCTGGAACAGGCTCCACAGTTGGCTGTGTGCAGTGCCTTCCCCTGCCTGGAACACACTGCCATGGGGGACCTTTGTCCTGACCATGGCCACCACAGCCACTCTGCTAGACTTACGGGAGTGGGGGGCCAGGGATTTAGCTCAGTGGTGCCACCACCTTGCCTCTCAAGCACAAAGTCCTGAGTTAAATCCCCAGTACCAAAAAAAGAAAAAAAAAAGGGAGCGGGAAGGCCAGAGTTGGGCGGCTTTCTCTGCTAGGCAGGGACAGTCACTGCCCAGACTCAGGGGCCTGGAGCACTAGAGCAACCCGAGCCAGTGGCGAGTGCCATGCAAGGCCGGTTGCTATGGTGACCCTGTGCAGCCGCTCAACTGTCTGCTGACCCCATGGCCCTGCTCACTCAGCCCCTGGCACCTGCGGTCAGCCCTGCACCTGCATTTCCCTGGCCAGGCCTGGGGACAGAGCCCAGCGAGGCTCTCTAGAGGCCCTGTGGGGCACCAGCTTATTTATTTCAGCTGCTGCTCCGCTGGGCTTGCCAGCCACGTCCTGCTCTGCCAGGCTGCTAGGAAGGAAGACTGCAGGGCCAAGCTCCCCTCGGTCAGGACCCAGCACAGGGCCAACTGTTCAACCTTTTAGAGTCGGGCAGAGTGGCACAGACCTGTAGTCTCAGCTACTTTTGAGGAGGCAGGAGGATCACACGTTGGAGCTCAGCTCAGGCAATTTAGCAAGACCTTGTACCAAAATATAAAATGAGGGCCGGGGATTTAGCTCAGTGGTTCCACTGCCTGCCTCGAAAGTGCAAGGACCCGAGTTCAATCCCAGGTACCAAAAAACAAAAAAACAAAATATAAAATGAGTTGGAGGTGTAATCAGTGGTAGAACACCCTGGCTTAATCCCTAGTACAGAAAAAGAGAGGGCACTTTGGGGAGTGAATCCCCTTCCTCCCTACTACACTCTCAAGGCAGCCCAGGGGGACGGGGCGTCCTCTTTTAACTTACACAGAGCCCCAGACAGGAGAAGGAACTCCCAGCTCATTCGACAATGACAAGCACAGGCCTCGGCTGGGAGCCCCAGTTCGGAGGTGCTGGCCCCCCAAGATCATTAACTGCCTTTCAGTTTTTCCCCACCTGGTGTCTTTTGCCATGGTTTCTCCTCGGCCTCTAAGTATGGAATAAAATGATTTGTATGATAAACTTACACCATGAAACCCAGGTTCTCCAGACCTTTAATGATGCAGAAGCTCATACACAAATGGGAGGGCTAGACACAATTCATAAGCACAGTGACGACCGGGCAGTGGAGCACTTCCTACAGGTTGGAGCTAAAATTCTAACAGCTATAAATCGGGGACTGTGAACACCACAGGAATCACGCCGGTGGCTGCCTGCCTGGGGCAGGAAAGTCCAGCTGGGGCTCAGACTCATAGGGTGAGCACCAGCCCATGCAACTGCGGAACACAGCTCTGGGGCTGCTTCCCAGGGTTTTCCTTCCAGCCGGGCACTAAGGGGGTCACTGGGGTCTTCTGTCGCCCGAGACCAGGCTAGGCAGGAACCCTGAGGGGAGAGCAGTTATCTCACCTCCAAGGAAGCAAACAGGCTGCTGAAACATCTTTTTTTGGGGGTGGGTTGAGACAGGGTCTCACTATATAGTCCAGGCTGGCCTTGAAGTCGCTATGTAGCTCAGGCTGGCCTCCAACTTGTGGCAATCCTCCTGCCTCAGCCTCCCAAACACTGGGATTACAGGCTGCAGCACCATGCCTGGCTTCAGTTAAACATCTTCCTCGAAGGTACACTGCTCGAAATGGGAGAGCTGGAGTTCAAATGCAAAGTTGTTACAAAGCCAGCCGTCCTAACCCCCGATATTGCCATCCAAACCTAATACAATGAACCTATCGAGCAGACAGCGCAGACAACTGAAATCACCGGTGTGGCGGTGAACACCTGTAGTCCCAGCACCCGTGGGGGCTGAGGCAGGATCACAATTTGAGCCCGGCCCAGGCAATTTAGTAACTTAGTGAGAGACCCTGCACAAAATTTAAAAAAATTCATTCAGGGAAGCCACAGATTTAGCTCAGTGGTTCCAGCGCCTGCCTTGCAGGAGCAAGGTCCTGAGTTCGATCCCTGGTAACCCCCCCCAATACATCATGTACAGTTACACATTCTCTATGATGAATGTGATCATTATGTATATTGAAAGTGTACCAATAAAATTTTTAAAAAAAATTCATTCAGGGGCCCTGGACTTGAGTCCTGAACTTACCACCCCCACCCCAATTAAACTTTAAAAAACTCAGCATCTGAGCTAGGCATGGCAGAACACGCCTATAACCCCAGCACTTGGGAGGCTGAGGCAGGAGGCCAAGTCCAAGAGCAGCCTGGGCTACAGACAGACTGTCTCAAAAACGGTGCAGCCAAAGGGACCCTCCGCCACACCACCGGCCTCACTGCCAGGCACAAACCTGTGCCCAGCAGAGCCCAGGGCTCCACAGCTCGGCCTGTGGCCGAGGGCTCCCTCTAGTGGCAACATCTCCTTTTCGGTGGCACTGACGAAGCTCAGTCCGGGGGGTGCCGCCGCTGCCTCCAGAGATGCGCTCAAGACTGAGGAGGATGCGTGACAGGCAGAAAGGTGGTGGCAGTGGCTGGCTTCAGATTCTTTTCAAGGTCAAGAGGGGAAACAGCCACACTAGCTACACTGAGACGACCCAATCAGGGGCTCCCACGCGGAGCTGAGCGAGTTCGGGTCCAGAGTCCCAAGGCCAAGGTTGGCCAAGGGCCAGTGTCGAACCCTGTGCCCTGGTAATGGCTCACCAGGCCGTGCTGGGAAGCTGACTCTGACTCCACCGTCGCCTGACGCCAGCTGGAAAAGCTCACATCCGTCCTGCTTACAAACCACGTCCAACCGGGAGGACAGAGAAGTGGGACCCCGGGGAGGACAGGGCCCGGGCACACTGCGGGAGGCAGAGCCGGTCCGAGCCCAGCCGCCCTGCCCTGCTCTCCGGCCCTGCCCCCAGCAGTGTCCTGGGCCTCTGCCAAGAAGTTAGTCGGAGCTGACAGACGGCAGGAGCCCTTGGGAGGCCTTCCAGCTTTGAGAGCAGTTAACAAATGAAAGGACTTGAGTGAACTCCTAGGCATCAAACCTTGGTAAAATGCAATGGAGACGGCCTTCTCATGCAGCCCATGACTGCACAGGTCAGGGGGCCCGGGAAGGGGCTCACGGGACGGGTGCTCACCCCAGCGCCCACATCCTGGATGCAGTGAGGTGGGGACCAAGGCGGCCTGCGCCTTCCGATGCTCACGCCCGGCCAGCCTGCTTTCCGGGGCATCTGGGGTCCCAGGTTATTTTTATCCTGCATCCAATAAGCAGGTGCTTGAAGAAGTTTTTGAAGAACTGGCCACATTCTTCCTGTGTGGGCAGGGTCCAAACCTTCGCACTGCTGCAGAAAGTGCCCCGGACAGGGAGCAGTGCCGAGGCCCAGTGACAGGGAACCCCGCAGCCTTCACTGCGCCACTCAGGGCTCATGCATCGCCAGCCCCGCCTTCTCCACTGCCACCAGGCTGGGACGAATGGTCTTTTCCCTTGAGAAACTTCATTTTCCGGAAGAACTTGGATCTGGGGTGCAGTTTCCCTTTGGGCAGCTGCTCTTTCTCACTGTCTCTTACCCCGATTTTCTCTGATGCGCCGGGAAGTTTAAAGTTGTAATCCATTGTGATGTAGGGAATTGTCCCCTCCAGGCCATGCTGAAACAGAAACAGAGAACCATGGACCCGTGGGCGTGTCCGCGAGCCTCATAGGCATGAGGCAGGCTTCTGGCCTCTCCCACATGTGCCCGCTGTTCACTCACGCACAGGGGCCAGCACCGAGAGCAGGGCGTCCAGTGTCCCCTCCTAGCACACAGGGGCCCACGGCCCCTCACCCCTCGCCCATGCCAGCTGGCGGGACCTGAGCGCTTGTGCCTCGAGGCCGTCTGGACAAGCCGCCGCCCCATCTCTCCTGGCTTCCCACAGGCGGGCTCACCTGGCTCTTGAAGACACACTGTGGAATGGAGATGGCGCCGACCAGCAGGCAGTTCACACTCCGTAACTCCTCCGGGGGCACGGGCGTGAGGATGTGGTACAGCCGCTTCTCCATGTCTATGCCCCTGCAGACCCCTTCAAAATAGCCAGTGCAGTCACGCCCTGCGGACACCATGCCCTGCTGCCCCGCGGCCCAGCGCAGCACAGCGGGTCCAGAGGCAAGAGCTTCCTGAACCCCAAGTCCCCACACTGCCACCCTTGGCTCCGTGAACAATCCATGGGGGCAGCGGGGCTGGCCATGGCTGGGACGCGCCCCACCAGTGCCAAACACCCAGCACAGGGGCAGCCCCAGCAGTGACACGGTCAGGGAGGTGCAGAAACTGGCTCAGTGGAGGCAGGGGCTCCTGGGCCTGCAGTGGCTGCCCATGGCCATTGCAGGTGAGGGCGGCCACGGCCAAGCCAGGGTCTCCCTGAGCACCAGCCCCAACGTGGAAGCCACCAGCCACGGGCCTGGGAAAGCAGCTGGCACAGGGGACCCAGCAGGGCCTCAGGTTGGACAGAGAACGCCCGGGGCTGTGGCTGGGCTGGGAGGTTTCACGGCAGCATTGGCCTCAGGAGGAATGAAAGGCCCAGAAAAGGATGAGGCACCTTGGGAAAGGCACCAGGGAGAGGGAGGCCATGCCTGGGACCTGTCACCCATCGCAGCAGGATGAGGGACTCACCAAACCCCACGCAGTCGCAGATGGGCGTCTGGGCCAGCAGGATGGGCCCCCTCGAGTAGCCTCGGATGTCATCCAGGATCCGGCACAGGCCCAGCCAGCTGCCATTGACGGCGTACAGGATGTGGGTGGGGGCAACGTCAGAATGCGTAATCCTCAGAGCAATGGCATTGAAAGGAACCTGGAGGATAAACGTCCAGTTCCCTCTTTTCATGTCTGTTTGCAGACTATTTTACTTTTTGGTTTTGTGAGTCAGGGTCTCATTATGTAGTTCAGGCTGGCTGTGAACTGGCGACGCTCCTGCCTCAGCCTCCCAAGTAGCTGGAATTATAAGTGTGTGCCTGCACCCAGCCCCACACACAGTTCCTACACAACAGCAGCACTTGCTGGAAAGCTGGCACGTTCCCATCTGAAGAGACGCTGGTGACTCATGGCTGAGCACATCCTACATGAGCTAGGGTGACGGAGACTCCATCCAACTAAGGCCACGTGAAACCCTGGTCACTGCCTCTTCCGGTGTAAGGAAGTCAGAAGCGATTCACTGCCCAGAGACAGCGAGTCAGGCAGACAGAAGGCAGCTCTGGGGCACAGCACACGCACATGTGCACGTGTGTGTATGCGTGGACATGTGTGCGTGTGCGTGTGCGTGTGCACGCTCAGCATGCCAAGCCCTACAAGCCCTAGGCTTTGCTCACCAGCAGCAAAGAAAGGACATCGGCCTACATTCCTGGGCACAGGTGCACAGTGGCATCCGACTCTGGGTAACTCCTTCTTCTCTTCCAGCCCTGGGCGCAGGAACCAGTGCACCCTACCACTGAGCCGCACCCCAGCCCCTCTGATTTCTTGACAGGGTCTCACTGTCGCCCAGGTAGGACAGGAACTTGCAATCCTCCTGCCTCCGCTTCCGTAAGTGCTGGCAGTTTAGGCACTCATCACCACACCTGGCTTTTCTTTCTTCTTTTCCGGTGGTTTAGGAAACTGAGCCTAGGCCCCTTGCACTAAGGAACATCCCCAGGCTTTGTTGTTGTTTTGAGACAAGAGTCTCGCTAAGTCACTAAGTTGCAATCCTTCTGCCTCAGCCTCCCAGAGTGCTGGGATTACAGGTGTGCACCACTGTACCTAGCTGGCTCCAAATTTTTAAAATAGAAAAGTATTTTTTTAGGGCCAGGGATTTAGCTCAGTGGTTTCGCCGCCTGCTGCGCAAGTGCAAGGACCCAAGTTCGATCCCCGGTACCAAAAAAAAAACAAAGAAAGGTATTTTTTTATACATGTTACTTAGAAGTAGAGGGGAGAGGGCTTGAGGGGAGGGAGGAATGAGAAATAGTTAAAATTTAAGAAAAGAAATGTAAAACCACAAAAGGGAAATAAACCCACTGGTGGGTGGATTTCAAAGCCCAGCCCAAGCTCACAGCCGCCGCTGTGAGTGAGCACTCGGTGCTGGGCTTGGCTTCTCCATCTGTAAATGTGCACAGTAGCAGGAATTAGCACTTCACAGATGGGAGTGGGGCGAGGGGCGGCTGCTGCTCGGCAAGCAGGCATGAGGCCCTGAACTCGTGGCGCTCCTCCCGCCTTGGCCTCCAGCATTTTGACTCTCATCCCAAAGCCCAGCATTATGACGGTTTCATCCAAAACAACTCCTGGCAGCCTGGGTTCCGAGTCACACACGCTCTAGCGTCAGGACTTGAGCAGATGACGGGGAACATGGAGTACGCTCAGACTGCCAGGTGCTACCAGGAGCGCAGGCCGAGTCCTACATCTGCCCTACTCGGTCGGCACCGCCCTGGTCCGAAGGAGAAACTGAGTCATGCTGCCGGTAAGCTGCAGCACTGAGCTATTTTTCCATCCAGAAACAGGGCGATCACAGGACCCGGGTCATGGGGTGCTGAAAACTAAGGTGTCCCGAGGGCACCTGGCACACAGGCAGCTGCTGGGGGCTGACAAGCAAACCCGACAGCCTCCCACGAGCTGCCATTACCTGATAGGGCGTCAGGCCATGCAGGGGACTGAGTGGCTTGGGCACTGGGGGCAGCAGCTGGGCAAGGTAAGCCAACACTGTCAGGTCTCGGAAAATCCTGTTATGTGAGTCCCTGAAAACCAAATGAGAACATCCTCGGTACAGACCTCCCATCTCTCTGCACACAGAGCAGAAACTAAGTATCGCTGCACAGACAACGCTTCCGTAACTAACACACAGGACCCCAGTGGGCAGGACCCAGGGCCTCTGCACTAAGTGCATCCCCAGGCCTCCCTCCCTCCACCAAATGATGCTTTACTCACCGATTCCTTGGAGTTTTTCTGAACGAAAACTCTGAAAACACAGATAACAGTTTGTGTTCGGCAAAGAGAACTGGGCTGTCTTTCTCTTCATCGGCAAACTCCACGCTGTCTGAGAACTCCGGGAGGCAGAAGCCCTGGCTTCTGAGCCTGGACTTGCTCTTGGTGTACAGCCCGTCCCGGTCGGCCACGTAGTCCGGGGTGAGGGGTGGCATGTGCTTGCTCTTGGGGGAGCTGAACTGCACCACGTGGCTCGGGGACAGCAGGCGGATGAGGTCGATGAGTAGCTGGAGGCCTTCCTCTGGGGGGGGGGGACACACACACACATGAGCACACCCAGCCACCCTGGAACGAGACAGGCGCCAGCGCTGCACCTGCACCTGGATCCTGAGACACAGAAACAGCTCACCGGGCGCAGCACATGCCTGCCTGTAAGCCCAGGTGCTCAGGGGGCTGAGGCAGGAAGGCCGCCAGTTTCAGGGCAGCCTAGGAATGTTACGGGAAATCTGTCTCAAAAACTAAAGCAAAATTGCCGCCTGCTGCACAAGCGCAAGGACCTGACTTCGATCCCTGGTACAAAAAAACAAACTGAAGCAAAGGCGGGTGTGGTGGTGCACACCTGTGATCCCAGCACTTGGGACCCTAAGGCGAGAGGATCTCCTCAAGTTCAAGGCCAGCCTGAACTACAGTGAGGCTTTGCCTCAAAACATCCCCTAAAAATAAAACAGCAAAACAGAAGCAAAGCCCCAGGCAGCATTACGCCATTTAGTTGGAACAGCTGACACCAAAAGGACAAGAGACTGGGCTTCGGGGGTGGGAAGCCAGATGGGCTCGGCCATCAGGGAAGACACTGCAGAGGCTCCTCAGAAATCAAAAGCAGAAGAATAAGGACATAAATAAAACAGCACACAAGGCAGCAATCCCAACCTGGGGTGGGATCCAAGGGAAGGAACACAGCACGTGAACAGAGCGTCGTCCCCAAGCTGACTGCGGCTGTCACGGACAGGGGCAGGGTGAGGCCACCCCACGGAGCAGCAACAGAGGAGGATGCAAGGCAGCCTGCTCCGGCAGGAGGGTGAGCTGCCTGTGGGAGCAGCACTCATGGCCCTGGAGGGACAGCGTCAGGCCCAGAATGGAGCATTCCACGGCCGCCCTCTCCCGGGGCCCAGTGCGAGGGCTTACCCGACACCCAGCCCATTGTGTTGATGATCAGCGGGGCCTCTCTTTTGTAGGCACTGAACACGTATTTGATGATATCAATGTAGTTCTCGAAGCTGTTTTTGCAGGAGAGTTTCCCGTAGTACACCATCTTCTGCGGCGTCCTCTGGTGGGTGTACGGTGGTCCTGGGACACAGAGCAGAGGGTGACAGGGGGACAGGGTGCAGCTTGATGGGAAAGCACCTGCCTGCTATTGTGTAAAGCTCTGGACCAGCTCTCCAGGCCTGGGGTGGCGCCACATCCCTGTAAGCCCTGAACTCAGGAGGCTCAAGTTTGAGGCCAGCCTGGGCTACAGTGAGACTCTGTTCCCAAAAATAAATAATTTGATTAATTAATTAAAATCCCTAGCATCAGAAGTAATAACAACTGGGCCAGGGATTTAGCTCAGTGGTTTCACCACCTGCTGCATAAGCGCAAGGACCTGAGTTCGATCCCCGGTACCAAAAAACAAAAAACAACAAAAAAAAGTTACGAGTCATTTGGGCCGGGGATTTAGCTCAGTGGTTCCACTGCCTGCCTCGCAAGCAGAAGAACCTGAGTTTGATCCCCGGTACCAAACAAAACAAAACGAACAAACAAAGAAGTAATAATAACAACCCTCCTAGACCACTTTACTTTGCTGCAACAGGAATTGCTCAGTTGAGGACAGAGCCACAGGCAGCGAGCGGTCCGTGAGAGTGGGCCAGGACCAGGACCAGGGGAGCATTCGCAGAGGGCGCCTGACCCGCTGGAGCCGGGCTGGAGCCTGGGCTCCCAGGGGACGCGGCTCCGTCCCTGTCTACAGATGACAGTGAGATACTCAAGTCCCCAGGGACATGTGAGGGTAAGGTGTACACAACTCCCGCCTGTCCGCACACTTCCCTACTTCCTGCCTGCTCACCGAGGGGCCCGGAAGCAGTGATGTTCCAGGGGAAAGCAGCATCCTAGGAGCCGGATCTATGCTCCACTGGAAGGAACCAGGGCACACGTAGGCCAGGGAGAGGGAAGAGAACATTCTTCCAGCCAGGAAAAAGGGGAGCTTAGAAAAGAACAGCAGTGTCAAGAGGACCTGGTGACAACAGGAAGGGGCTCCCCCGGCCGAATCTGGAACAATCTAAGCATCAACGTGACAAGAAGCTATGAATCCAAGACATAATAAACATTTCCCCACAGAAGAGCACCACCCACAAAGTGGAAGAAATGGTGGGAATACAGATTCACCATCTTGCGAGGTGTGGTAGTGCACACCTGTAACCCTAGCCCTTGAGAGGCTGAGGCAGGAGGATCCAAATCCAAACTCCGCCTGAGACACTTTCTTAAAGTCTAAAGATATTTAAAAAGGGCTGGGAAGGCCAGGGATTTAGCTCAGTGGTTCTCCTGCCTGCCCCACAAGTGCAAGGAGGTGAGTTTGATCCCGGGACCAAAAAAAAATAAAAATAAAAAGGGCTAGGGATGTAGCTCAGTGAGAAGCCCCTGGGTACTACGGCCAGTACTAGGAAAAAACCCAAAAAAACCCTACAGATGTTAACATCAGGTAGGGTTTGCATCCAGTTTACATAAAACAAAATAAAACAATAGTTCCATTTCCTAAAATGGAAACATGCCCTAGTTTGCTTCTCAGAGAGGAAAGGAGCCCTTAATCAAAAACGACTAGAGCCAGGGATTTAGCTCAGTGGTTCTGCCACCTGCCTCACAAGTGCAAGGTCTGGAGTTTGATCCTTGGTACCAAAAAAACAAACAAACCACAATTAGCTGGGCATGGTGGCACATGCCTGTGATCCGGGCACTAGGGAGGCTGAGGCAGGAGGATCTCCATAAGTTTGAGGCCAACCTGGGCTACATAATGAGAGCATGTCTCAAAAAACCCCCAAAACACAAAAACCATGAGTGTGGGGCCAAGGATTTAGCTCAGTGGTGCCACCGCCTGCCTTGCAAGCACAAGGTCCCAAATTCGATCCCTGGTACCAAACAAAAAAAACAAAACAAAACAAAACAAAACAAAAAACCATGAGTGTGGCTGGGGCAAGTCCATTTTCTCTGTTTTACCCTGAGTTTTAGGTAAGAATTATTAACTTGAATTTTATAAGATCGAGACCTACCCAGAACTGGTTCCGTAATATTCAGCAGAGAAATGCAGCCAGGAGGAGTGAATTCTGTCTGCCCCAAATCACATTCCAAGTAGTCCACGCAGGAAATACTGAAAATTTTCAATGAGATAAAATTTCACGGAGCTTTACTGTGTAGATAAGAAAAACAGGATGGCGAGGAGTCTGTGCATACACAGGTGCGGGCCTCTTTACGTGGCCTTTTAGGTGGCACATGCCATGACCACAACCATGTGCAGGCATGGGCACAGCGCGATGAGCAGTGCGACCCAGGGCTTTGTGGGCTCCCTGAGGAGTGGGACGGGCCCTGCCGCACCCCACACACCCTGCTTCCGCCCGCCAGCGAGCCAGATGCTGCGGGAGAGGAGCGCTTACCTGTTCAACAGCTGGTTGATCAGGTACCTGTTGAATGTGGACTTCCCCACGTCCTGACCGCCACACACCAGCACAATGGGGCAGCCGTCCGAGTCCTCTGCAGAGACAATCAGCAGTGTGTGAGCCCCGCTCCCTGCGGGCGGGCATGGAGCTTCCTCTGGGACTCATCGAAGCTCGTCACTCACCACAGGACACACTCACTAACTCCTCCAGGGCCACCAGGGTGCTCTCTGTTAACTGAAGGCCTCTCTTCCTCTTCTCTCTTTTGATGCCAACAGAACCCAAGACTAAACACTCGGAAGTAACCTGGGAAGCTTCCTTCTGAAATCCAATACAAACAAGGGAAGGTGAAGAGAACGCATGCTTGTGTCCCCATTGCTAAGTTCATAAGCGGCACACAGCTGGTCGTTACATAAGCTAAATCTGGCCCCGCCTTGTTTCTTACTGTCCCCTAATCCCACCCACCAGCCAATCCTGTCAACTTGACTCCTGCAGCTCTTGTAGCTTACACTCTCTCCCAGGCTGGCTCCGCCTCCAAAGGAGCCTCTAGAGAAGGAGGAGGCATGGAAATGAGAAAATGAGCGAGGTAAGAAAAAGTCAATAGGGCCAGGGATTTAGCTCAGTGGTTTCGCTGCCTGCTGCGCAAGCACAAGGACCCGAGTTCAATCCCCGGTACCAAAAAAAAAAAAAAGAAAAAGTCAATAGGGCATGGTGGTGCACACCTGTAATCGCAGCACTGGGGAGGCTGAGGCAGGAGGACTGCTGTGAGTTTGAGGCCAGCCTGAACTAGATAGTGAGACTCTGTCAAAAACCTCCTCCCAAAAAAGGGGGTTCCAGGCTGGGGATTTAGCTCAGTGGTTCCGTTGCCTGCCTTGCAAGCACAAGGTCCTGAGTTCAATCCCTGGTACCAAAAATAAAAAAAAAAAAAGGCAGTTTTGCTCAGTGGCAGAGCACCCTTGGGTTCAATTCCCAGTACCCCCACACACAAAAAAAGGAAGGAGAAAAACTGAAAATTTAAAAAAGGACAGATTTGACCCACGGCATTTGGAACACTTCTGTCAGGTGACAAAGGTGTAGGAACTGGGGATTCCGTTTCCCCTCTGTGGCCCGGAGCACGCTGCTGGGTCCTGTGGGATTAAAATGCAGTCACACAGCACGCTCACTCTGCCTCCCCCTGCAAGATGCCTCTCCACCCGTGCCTGCTCCCCCGCCGTCCTGACCTCAGTCCCATTTCCCATGTCCCAGGAGGCCCCAAAAGAGACCCCCTCGTCGGCCCCTCTCCAGCTGGGAACCAGAGCCCTCACAGCAGACTCACTGTGGCCCTGGCACCTGCTCCCCTCTCTAGGGGCTTCTCCCTCTCCTCGGATCAGTGCCATCTGCTATTCCGGCCCAGGCCGGGGCCTTTCACCACATCTGAACACAACTCTCTCCCACGCCTGCCCCAACCACTGCTTGGCTTCTCACTCCACAGCGGAGGCTTCACTGCTAACCCCAAGGCCCTCTCGTCCCGGGCCCTTCTCATTCCCATGAGCCTGTCCCACAGCAACCCAGTAAAACTACTCCTGTCCAGCCAGCCAGCCAGCCAGCCGCGCCTTTCTCACCACGGGCAGCTCACTGTCTCCCTCAAAGGCCCCGGGCCTGGGCTTCCCTAACTCGTGCCTGCTCCTTCCCAGGCTCCTCCTGTGTGCCAGTGCCCAGTCCTGCGCTCTTCCCTGACCACCTCCATCTCTCCCTCCGTGCCACACTACCTCTGCTCCCAACCTCTCCCTGGACTTAACTCACTGACCAGTCTTCAGCCAGCTGTCTAACGGTGCCTCCATGGCAGCAGAAAGAATCCAGCTCCTGCAGCGGGCCCTGTCTCAGTTAACGGCAACTCCATGCACCTGGATGGTTAGGCTGATGAGCCCCGTGCTGTTCCACGGCTCATTTTGGGTTTGGTGCCGGGGACTGAACCAGGGTCTGGCTCATGGTAAGCACGTGTCCTCCACTGAGCTGCACCCCAGGCTCTGCGGTTCTCCTCTCCCCTCACACCCAGCCCATCCACTGTTCTTGAGGAGTCAACCTGACAGCTCACGGGAAGCAAGTTACAGCCATGGAAGTCCGGAAACTAACAGTATGGCCAGCAAAGATCAGAAGTGAGGGACAAGAGAGATGGGAGTGCAGGCACATTTGTTATTTATTTATAGTTCAGAGGAAAAAAGATAATCATTAACCAGCTACCACATGACACCAGGTGTGGTGGTGCATGCCAGTAATCCCAGCATTCTGGGACGCTGAGCAGGAGAACTTGGAGTTTGAGCCCATCCAGCAACTTAGTGAGACCCTGTCTCAAAATAAAAAGGGTTGGGGGCTGGGGTTTAGCTCAGTGGTGCCTCGACTGCCTCACAGCCACAAGGTCCTGAGTTTGATCCCTGGTGCCAGAAAAAAAATAAAAATTAAAAAGGACTGGGATGTTGCTCAGTGTGAAGACCTTGGATTTAATCCCTAGCACCAAAAATAACAAAAACAAAACAAAAAAACCACTCCCCCAAAACCAACTGCCACACAAATGGTGGCTTTTGCTGGGAACTGAAATTGAGAAAGGGGAGGAAGCCAGTTTTCATAGTTTACCTTTCGACAGGGACCACCGCCTAACTGCAGACGTGAGTGACAATCTGCCAGACCTACCACACCAACAGGACAGACTGATCTTCCAAAAGAAAGTCCCACACACCCATCGGATACGACGGATTGCTTTGGCAAGAATTATTAACAAAACTCCACATGAGAACCGGTCATACCTCTTGCACAAAAATGGTAGATAAACCCGGATGGCTGGCTATGAAGTTTATGGTGGTGGTCTTCACATGTTCCAGCAGCACAATGGAACACAGAGGAGAAAAATTCCCCGTTGCCCAAGATCTGTCCTCTGTAAAGAGAAAAATAAACTGCCTTAGAATAGTAACTGCTGGGCCGGGGATTTGGCTCAGTGGTTTCGTCACCTGCTGCGCAAGTGCAAGGACCCAAGTTCGATCCCCGGTACCAAGAGAAAAAAAAAAAGAATAGTAACTGCTGCTAAATTCTATGCCCTTTAAGGCTGCCATCTCCTTGGCTAAACTATAAACTTTTTTTTTGGTACCAAGGATCAAACTTGGGACCTTGTGCTTGCAAGGCAGGCGGTGGAACCACTGAGCTACGTTCCCGGCCCTAAACTATATACTTTTGACTGTAGAAATTACGTTTGCAAGTCTTTTCAGGAGACTATATCGAAGAATAGGAGCATTTTTGAGTGGAGAAATGAATCCATACTAGCTTCGCGGCCTTAGAAAATTTTTATGATGTGCAAAATAGTCAAAACAATAATACTTTGATTCTTAGGAACCTTGTGAGGAATAACATAGATATACAAAAGTGCTTAACATATTGTCCAGACCACTGTAAGCATTTAAAATTATTAGCCTTATTACTAGAAAGCCCTCATTAACTTCCCCAATTCTCATTACCCAGGTTAAGATGCGCTCTGAGGCAAGCCCGGGCTTCCCTTTTGATCTCCTTCTTGCTCTTCTCAGGCATGGAGTAACGGACTGCATTGATCGTCAGGTAAGAGTGAGTATAGGCAGAGAAGATATCGTGGGCAGGCTGGCCTTGGCTGATGACAAAACCCAACACCTCCACTTGGCCATAGAGGCAAGTCATACGACAGACCCCGCTAAAAGTAAAACCCTAACAGGGAGAAAAAGAAGAAATAACATTATAGATCCTGTCACTAAAGACTGAAAAATTCTAAGATTCTAACTTGTTATACACATATCAAAGGACAGTGCGTAACATTACACTGTACTAAGTGATAGACACATACTTCATGTTTTTGATCTAAGATCATATCCCCCAGGGCCAGACAGACCCTACCAACCTATCCTCACAAACTGTCCATTCCCTGGGTTTTCACTCCCCACTGGCATGCAAGGGGGAACTGCCAGACTAGAGTCTGTTCAGGTGGAACTCCAGGCAGATCACCTAATTTGTTTCTTCATCCCTAAACACCTACAGAGACGGGGCAATTACTCCAGAGAGACCTGGGAGTGTTGAAGGCGTTCGAATACCTGAAACACCCAGGACACGTAAGACTCTGGACTCTCTGAGCGACCCGTAAGCGCAATCTAGTATTTTTGCTAGGATTCAAGTCCACTGCAACCGGGAAACCCTGGAGAGCCCTCGGCAGAAAGCCCACGGTGAGAAGCTGGACCTGAACCCAACGCGAAGCTAGAATTTAGCGGTAATCGAAAAATCAGGGAACCAACGGACACGGGGACCAAGGAATATAGGGACCTAGGTCCCGGGGCTGCGTCTCCACTCTCCAGCCCCAAGCGACCCACCTGGTCCGCTGGCAGCAGCAGCAGCACGCGGCCCGGGCCGGCCGCCCGCACAGGCGGGATGGGGAGGCTGACCGGGCCGCTCGGGGCGGGCGCAGGGAGCGGGCCTGGGACCGGGCGCGGGGCCGGGCTGGGGGCCGCAGCCTTGGGCCTCTGGGGTGCCTCGGCGCGAGGCCCCGGGCAGGCGCCCTCGCTCCAGTCCGCACCGGCCGCCTGGGTCTGCAGCACCCGTCGTCGCAGCCTCCGGCGGCCACACCAGCGCAGGGCCCTGAGCCGGTGGCGGGAGCGGCGGCTCAGCATCAGCGGGGGCCGGGCCTTGCGGGCCCGCACCCACGTGGAGCGGCCGGGATTCCTCCGGACCGGAGACACGGAATCCGCCATGCTGAGCCGCCGGCGTCTGCCGCGCGACAATCTCGCGAGATCTCGTCGATCCCGCCGCGCTAGCCGTGCTGCCCTTAGGAGGAGCCGCCGAACAGCTCGCGGCCTCTACCGACGACCTCCGGGAGTGCACTACGAGCTCCGCCGACCTGAGAGGAACTCTGCTGTCCCACAGTGAACCCCATTTACATTATGCAAAAGTCCCTCCCCGGGGCGGTTGCATAACGAAAGCCCAAAACTCCGGGTCCAGCCACAGGACCACCTCTCCGGAAATCCACCTGGGTCTTTTTTCCCCCTGCAGAAAAAACCCCAGGATTGCCATTTTAAACAAAATCAGATTATTTGCATACTTTGGGTTTGCATGAATTTGTCTTTGACCTGAAGGGAGCAATCCTGAATAACAGCACCAAACCATGATGCACTCAATATTTTTTTTTTTTTTTGGTACCAGGGATTGAACTCGGGACCTTGCGCTTGCGAGGCAGGTGGCAGCACCACTGAGCTAAATCCCTGGCCCTTGCACTCAATATTTCAACTTCAGAAAATTGAAGACTGGGTGTAGGAATGTCAACTCAGCCCACGTCTTGTTCGGTCCACTGAGGCCAAGGAAAAGGGTTCTAAAACCTGCAGCCGCCGGGACACAGTGGACACCACTTGTAGTCCCAGTTACAGGGGACGTAAAGCCAGGAAGATCGCTTAGGTCCAGAAGTTCAAGGCCAGTCTGAGCAATGTTCCAAGACCCCATCTCTCCGGATGCTATATATCTATAATCCCAGCAGTTAGGAGGCTGAGGCAGGAGGATCACTGCAGTTCTAGGCTAGTCTGGGCTACATAGAGAAGAGACCCTGTCTCAAGCAAAAACAAAAATAAAATTATCGTGGATAATTTTATTATCCCTGATAGCAACTCACCACACCCTGTCCCTCACAGCACCTGGGGAGACAGTGTCCCGGCCTCCACCTCTCTTCTTGACCCAGGTGAACCAAAGCCACCAGAGCAAGGGCAGAACCCACAACCGCCCAGAGGAGGGGTCCCAGTGCTGCCTGGTTTGCATCCCTGTCCTGGCCCTGCCCAGTTCCTGAGCTGGACCGCAGGCCGGAAGGCCGAGAGAAACAGCCCACTCTCTACAGCCAGGCTCCAGTCCCACCCCTTTCAGGGCCACTAAGCTGCCATCTCTGGGGAGCTGCCATCCGTCTGTGTCAGAGACACCGCTCGGCCATGCTGGGCATGGGAGCACCTGGCCAGCATGTTGCTCTGGGTGACTCACCTGGTCCGTCTGCAGCTGGCCCTGACCTGCTGCTGGGCTCTCGACTGCCATGAAATGGCCTCTTCACCCGACTTCACTCTCCCGGGGGACTACCTCCTGTCAGGCCTGTTCCCCCTGCACAGCGACTGTCTGCAGGTGCGGCACAGCCCCCAGGTGACCCTCTGTGACAGGTGAGTGAGGGGCCTTGGTGGTGGCTTCGTGGGACCCGTGGCTGCACGGGCCCCTGGTTGCTTCTGCGCTACCCCTTGAGCTACTGTGCCAACCCCTCAACATCCGGCTACAGTTGCCACTTTTGAGGGCTGGCCAGACTCTTGATACCTCCTCCAGCACCGTGTCTCGATGCAGGTCTGTCCCTGCCATTAGTGTGTGTTGTGTCATAACTCCAACTGAGGCGAGTCCTGGCTTGCGGCAAGAGTGGTCCCCATGGGGTGGGAAAGGGAGACAATTTGGAGTTAGGCAAAGATGTAGAAGTCCGAGGTCAAGACAGAGAAAGCCTTCTGCTTTCCGCTGTTGTTATTGTTATTGATGTTGCTTTGTTGTACGAGGATTGACCCAGAGGCTTCGCACGGAGCTCCATCCACAGTCCTTTTTTTTTTTTTCCGGTACTGGAGATCGAACTCAGGACTTTGCCCTTGCCAGGCAGGCGCCAACATCATAGAGCTACATCCCAGCCCACCAACCCTTTATTTTATTTTATTATTATTATTATTTTTGGTACCGGAGATCGAACTCGGGTCCTTGCGCTTGTGCAGCAGGCGACGAAACCACTGAGCTACATCCCCAGCCCCGCCCTATTTTTTGAGACAGGGTCTTGCTAACCCTCTAAGTTGCCCAAATTGGGTTTGAACTTGTCACCCGCCCTCCCTCAGCCTCCTGGGTGCTGCCTTACAGGCTTGTGCCACCACGCCCGGGTCTGGTTTTCTTCTGAAGAAGTCAGTGGGCGTGGACAGTGTCAAGTCTGGAGGCTGGAGGATGCTGTCCAGCTAGGTGACTGCTGACTGTTGGGCCAGAAAGGTCCTGAGAGCCTGGCGGATGAGGCTCAGGCCAAGAGCTGTGGATGACAGCCTGGGAAAAGAAAACGGGGGTGGAGAGGGGGGCGAAGGGAAAAGCAGCCCCAGAGAACAGAAGAGCACAGCCTCCAGGACAGGCGCAGCAGACACAGAGAGGCTGGAGACCATGTGTCGCCAGCACGTCCCTGTCGTGACACAAAGTAGGGGTGACACATAGCCACACAGGCCCTCGGCATGTTCCCGGGCACCCCTGTGAGCAGCACTGTTGAAAGTGTGAGTGTCACCCATCAGTGTGCTCACAGGTGGCTCAGCGTGGCCTTGTCAGCTACCAGTCCTGTGTTGCTGTGAAGGTGATCATCCTGTGTCCTCTGCCAATACACTGACCAAAGCAGCTGACCAGCCTGTCACAGGTGGGTGGGGCTCGCCTGATCAGTTGAAGAACGCCAGACAAAAAGACGGCGGTCCTGGGATAGAAGGGGTTTCTGACTTTGGACTCAAGATTGAGACATCAGTGTTTGCCAGAGTGTCCAGCCTGCTGAGTTATCCTGCAAACTGTGGGTTATCCTGTGAGCCTGGTCCTTAAATATCTGTCTGTCTGTCTGTCTGTCTGTCCATCCATTCACCTGTGTCCTGTTGGTTCTATTTCTCTGGAGAATCCTCACTTAGGTTCTTGCACAGGACTTCCTTTGTTGTTGTTGTTATTGTTGGCTTGGTTTGATTTTTCTTTCTTTCTTTCTTTTTTTTGGTACTGGGGATTGAACTCGGGTCCTTGTGCTTGTGAGGCAGGCAGCAGAAACACTGAGCTAAATCCCCGGCCCTTGGTTTGGTTTTTCTGACACGGGGTCTCAGTATGTAGTTCAGGCTGGCCTTGAACTCAGTGATTCTCCTGCCTCAGCCTCCCGAGAGCTGGGATCACAGGCGTGCACCACCAATCCCACTACCAGGACCTCTGTACCCTGTGCCTTTTGATCCTACTGTGCTTGTCCAAGAGGGGCATGGGAAGTGGGATTTCTCCAACTTGTGCCCAGCTCTTCCAGGCCTGTCACCACCTCCCAGGACTGTGTGTGGCCTCAGGACCTGTGGTGAGGGCCTGGTGGTCTAAGCCCGGGCAGGGGACCTGGGGACGCCTGGACCCCTCACTCTTGCTGGGCTCTCCCTGCAGGGCTAACAGCTTCAATGGCCACGGCTACCACCTCTTCCAGGCCATGCGGCTCAGCGTGGAGCAGATAAACAACTCCACGGCCCTGCTGCCCAACGTCACCCTGGGGTACGAGCTCCAGGACGTGTGCTCCGAGTCGGCCACTGTGTATGCAGTGCTGCACGCGCTGTCCCGGCAGGGCACGTACCACGTGGAGATGCAGGGAGACCTGTACCAATACTCTCCCCGGGCGATGGCTGTCATCGGGCCTGACACCACCAACAATGCGGGCACTGCCGCCGCCCTGCTGAGTCCCTTCCTAGTGCCCCTGGTAAGCTGGAGCCTGGGCTGGGGCGGTGGTAGGCGCTGCTGTCCCTTCTGAGGCTGGTCTGGTCCCCTGGCCGCTGGGAAGACATTACTCTTTGGTGCCCTTGTGGGGTTCCCGGCTCCAGCCTGCCTGCTGCCTTCCTTCCTTTCTTCCTCCTTCTCCAAGGAAGACATCTGGCTCCCTCTATCCACCCTCCTGGGGACCCTCTGCCCCACCCCAGCCTCCATCCAACACCCTTGCTTCCCACCCCCTGGAGCTCGCCTCTCCCGGCCTCCCTGCCTCCTCTCTTCTGTCCAGGCTCCTCCCTTCCCTCACTTGTCCCTTGGCCTCTCCTCCCGTGATGTCCATCTCTCCAGACTGGGGTTCTGAGGAGCCCTCTCACCTGCTCCTCGGCTGGTGGCTCCCCGTTCTGTCCCCACCACCTTTGCTCCTGCCATGAGCTACAGCACCTTCTAGACTTCCACACCTAGTGAGCACTTTCCAAGCTTTCTCTCTCTCTTTTTTTTTGGTACTGGGGATCGAACTCAGGCCCTTGTGCTTGCAGGGCAGGCGGTGGCACCACTGAGCTAAATCCCCGGCCCCCGGCTTCTCTATTTTATGACTGTTTTTCTTTCTTTCTGTAATGGGGATTGAACCCAGGGCCTTTCCACTGAGCTACATCCCCAGGCTGCCCCTCCCTTTCTTTTGAGATAAGGTCTCCCTGACTTGCTCAGTTGCTGAGGCTGGGCTCAAACGTCCCATCCTCCTGCCTCAGCCTCTCAGAATGCTGGGATAACAGCCCTGTGCCACCAGGCCCATCTCCTTTTACAAGACTTCTGACCCCTGAGGCCAGTCCTCTTCTTCCTCAGGCCCCAAGAGACCCCTCTGGCGCCCCACCCCCCATCAGGCCTCTCCTCCTCCCAGGCAAGCCGTACCTTCACCGTGCTGAACCTCCTGTCCTGCAGGGGGCGCTGTCCTGCTGCAGCCCCCACCCTGCCCACCTGGTGGCTGGTGTCCTCCTCTCCACCCAGGTGGAAACAGCAGCCCCCCTGGCCACACCCCACTCACTTTGTCTCCCACCTTGCCTGTTGCCAAGGTTGCTCCTTCCTCTTCTAGCCTTTTTTTTTTTTTTGGTACCAAGGATCGAACTCGGGACCTTGAGCACCCCCGAGCTACATCCCCCGCCCTCGCTCCTTGCTCCTCAATGCCCACGGCCACCCCTCCTCTCCACTGCCCCAGCTTTCACTTGTCCCTCTATCGCCCTCCACTCTGCCACGTCCCCCAGCCCGCCGTCACCTCCATCTGAGAGAGCCACCAGCCTCGGGAGGGCTCCTCAGCCTGTTCCTCCACGAAGTGAGAGATGCACTCCCCAACACGAGTCTGCAAGGGCCACTTTTTGCAGTGCAACCCCGTGGCCTCCCCTGGCCTACAGGATGCGGAACAAGCCCCTCAGCTTGGGAGTTAAGGCCTCCTTCCTGCCCTACTCGGTCCCAAACACAGGATCATATCTCACTCCCCGCGCTCAGAGAGCAGGACCCCTGATGGGTCCATAATGTCCTGGACCGCTTCACCTTGTCCGCCAGGCCAATGCCCACCCTCCTAGGGTTCTCCTCCCCAAGCAGCCTTCGCATCTTGGTCTCTGTCCTCTCCGTGTCCCCACACCCACCACAGGGCTGGGCACTGGCCTTCAGGGGGCCTTCAGTCATGGGTTCTGCTGCTGATCTTGCTGAATGGGGCCCCACAGATCAGCTACGAGGCCAGCAGCATGGTGCTCAGCGCAAAGCAGCTGTACCCCTCTTTCCTGCGGACCATCCCCAGTGACAGGTACCAGGTGGAGACCATAGTGCTGCTGCTGCAGACATTTGGGTGGATCTGGATTTCCCTGGTTGGCAGCTCCGGTGACTATGGGGAGCTGGGGGTGGAGGCACTGGAGGACCTGGCCACACAGCAGGGCATCTGCATCGCCTACAAGGGGATTGTGCATTCTTCTGCCCGGGTGGGCGACCAGGAGATGCAGGGCATGATGCGTGGCCTGGTCCAGGCCAGGACCACTGTGGTGGTGGTCTTTTCTAGCCGGCAGCTGGCCAAAGTATTCTTTGGCTCTGTGATACTGGCCAACCTGACAGGGAAGGTGTGGATCGCCTCCGAAGACTGGGCCATCTCCACACACATCAGCAGAATGTCTGGAATCCAGGGCATCGGGATGGTGCTGGGGGTGGCGATCCAGCAGAGACTTGTCCCTGGCCTAGAGGAGTTTGAAGAGGCCTACGCCCGGGCAAACAAGGGAGCCCCCAGGCCTTGCTCCAGGGGCTCCTGGTGCAGCACCAATCAGCTCTGCAGAGAGTGCCAGGCCTTCACAGCATACACGATGCCCATGCTTGGAGCCTTCTCAATGAGTTCTGCCTACAATGTGTACCAGGCGGTGTATGCTGTGGCCCATGGCCTTCATCAGCTCCTGGGCTGTGTCTCTGGCTCCTGTTCCAAGGGCCAAGTCTACCCCTGGCAGGTAAGAGAGCCCCAGACCCCTGTATCAGCCAATCCTGAGACATGCTGAGCAGGCACTCCTCAGGGCCATGGCTCGAGGGCTGGTCTTCTCTTAGACAAACCATCTCCTCTCTGAACCTTGATACTCTTACCTACTGTGTCCCAGAAATGAGGCTAAAAAACTTCTCTGCAAAAGGGGCCTTTGAAGCCGGTTGTGGTGGGGCACACCTGTAATCCTAGCGTGTGGGAAGCTGAGGCAGGAGGATCACTGTAAGTTCAAAGCCAGCCTGAGCCACACAGTGAGTTCAAGACCACCCTGAACTACATAGCAAGACCCTATCTCAAAAACAAAACAGGGCCGGGGATTTAGCTCAGTGGTTCCAGCGCCTGCCTCGCAAGTGCAAGGTCCTGAGTTCGATCCCCGGTACCCCAAAAAACAAACAAACAAAAAAACCCAACAAAACAAAGCTGGGGATTTACCTCAGTGGTTCTGGTGCCTGGCTTGCAAGCGGAAGGTCCTGAGTTCGATCTCTAGTACCAACAAAACAAATAAACAAAAGTGTACTTTGCTAGAGGCCTTCGCTTAGGAGGCTGGTCGGGAGGGCTTCCTAGAAGGGGAGGGGGCTGTGAGGAAAAGGGACATCTGTCCTGTATGCCTACAGTGGCTTCAGGGTGCTTGTTTATTTCAGCTTCTGGAGCAGATCTACAAGGTGAATTTCCTTCTACATGAGGACACTGTGGCGTTTGATAAGAATGGGGACCCCCTCGGTAGCTATGACATCATTGCCTGGGACTGGAGCGGGCCCATGTGGACCTTCAGGGTTGTTGGCTCCTCCACGTGGCCCCCTGTTCAGCTGGACATAAACAAGACCAATATTCGGTGGCCTGGAAAGGACAACCAGGTAACGGGGACACCGACACTTGCCAGGGAGCTGCCAGAAGACAGGAGCTCGGGATTGAGGCTTCCCAGAGTGGGAGAAGGACCTGAGAGCTGTCCCTTGACCTGGGAACCTCCCTGTGGTGGCAGAACACAGGCTTCTTACAGCTGGCTTCTCGCAGGTGCCCACGTCTGTGTGTACCAGAGACTGTGCGGAAGGGCACCATCGCGTGGTTGTGGGTTTCTACCATTGCTGCTTCGAATGCGTTCCCTGCGAGGCTGGGACCTTCCTCAACAAGAGTGGTGAGTGCATGCTTGATCGGCGCTCTTAGTGTCTGCACAGCGGGCGTAGGGCCTTGCTCAGGCCCCATGGGTGAATACCCGGCCACAGAACCAGGGCCCAAGTCACTGGGCTGCCAGTGGGTTGCCAGACTGAGTTCCGATTGAGTGGGCGGAAACAACAGACTGAAAACCACAGACCAAGGGGTGGTGTCCTCTACTAGAGAGATCCGGTCCTGTCACAGCTCCTGCAGGTGCATCTCATTCTGAAGTCAACCTCGTTCTCCAGCTGTTGTTCCCTTGGTACTCTCTCATTCATCTCTAAAGTCCCTTCTGTTACCTGTGCCAAAGACAGCCAGCACCTGAGCGGCTTGGCTGGTAGCGTGTCTGCAGCAGAAATTGTCCAGTGTGTGCCACCCAGTGACACAAGGCAGAGACCAGAGAACAAATTAGGTAGCTCAGGGCTTGGTGCAGAGCCAGATTCCAGGGGGAGCCAGAGCACAGGATGCAAATGCCCTTCTTTTGGGGCTGGCTGGTCACGGACATGTGGACAGAGACACCAGTGTAAAGCCGTTGTTTGCAAACCCTTTGGGGGATCACGAGCCACGTAGAGCCTCCCTGTGTGTCTCCAGAGTCTGTAATTAACACGGGCAATCGAGGAAAGCCCTGGCCTCTGCTCCATCATCCCATCATGCCCAGCAGCTCAAGCTGCTTGGTACAACTGTCCCTGCATTGGCTGGTCTCCACAGCCTCCCTTCCTCGGTACAACTCTGGCCTCCTGGCTCTCAACAACCTTCTTTGCTTTGCCTTTCAGACCTCTACCGCTGCCAGCCTTGTGGGAGAGAAGAGTGGTCACCTGAGGCCAGCCACACCTGCTTCCCACGCACGGAGGTGGTTCTGACTTGGCGTTGGCCCATCTCTTGGGTACTGTTGGCAGCTAATACACTGTTGCTGCTGCTGCTGGTAGGCACTACCGGCCTGTTTGCCTGGCATCTAGACACCCCTGTGGTGAAGTCAGCTGGGGGGAGGCTGTGCTTCCTCATGCTGGGGTCCCTGGCAGGGGGCAGCTGCAGCCTCTATGGCTTCTTTGTGGAGCCCACACTGCCCATGTGCCTGCTGCGACAAGCCCTCTTTTCCCTTGGTTTCGCCATCTTCCTGTCCTGCCTGATGATTCGCTCCTTCCACCTGGTCATCATCTTCAAGTTTGCCACCAAGGTGCCCACGTCCTACCATGCCTGGGTCCGAAACCATGGACCTGGCCTGTTTGTGATGCTCAGCTCAATGGCCCAGGTGCTCATCTGTCTAACCTGGCTTGTGGTGTGGACCCCACTGCCCACCAGGGAATACCGGCGCTTCCCCCAGCTGGTGGTGCTGGAGTGTACAGAGGCTATCTCGCCCGGCTTTCTGTTGGCTTTCACCTACAATGGCCTCCTCTCAGTCAGCGCCTTTGCCTGCAGCTACCTGGGCAAGGACCTGCCAGAGAACTACAACGAGGCCAAATGTGTCACCTTCAGCCTGCTCCTCAACTTTGTATCCTGGATCACCTTCTTCACCATGGCCAGCGTCTACCAGGGCCCGTTACTGTCCGTGATCAATGTGCTGGCCGCGCTGACCAGCCTGAGCGGCGGCTTCAGCGGCTATTTCCTCCCAAAGTGCTATGTAATCCTCTGCCGCCCAGACCTCAACAACACGGAGCACTTCCAGGCTTCCATCCAAGACTACTCGAGGCGCTGCGGGTCCACCTGAGCTGGGGGACGGGCAGGGCGGACTGTAAGCCTCATGGGCCTGGTGTGTTGAAGGTCCAGCAGGGAGGAATCTGTCTTGGCTTCGGATGTGTAAACGCTCGAGAAACCTCAGCCCAGGCTCCGGGCTGCCAATAAAGAGGTGAAAAGAGTTCTTGCGTCTTAGCGTTGGGGAGAGGGTGGGGTTTCACTGCTAGCCTGAACTCAGCCCTCAGTCCCTGCCAGAGCCCAGTTTGGCGTTGCGAGGCAACTGTGGAACGCGGGCCCAGAGCGGCGGATGTGAACCCGGCCCCACCTTTTCTGAATCCCATTGGCTATTCTCTAGGGCCCCGCCTCCGGGGGCGGTACTACAAACTTTATGCTTCCTAGGCGCTGTCGCCGACTGGCGCGCCCTGACGTCACTTCCCGCTCGGCGACGGCAGCGTCTCCGCACGCTGGGCCGGGCCCGTCATGCTGTGCCGGGGTAGTTTGGTCGGTGGACTGTGACAGCGACCCAGCTGTGGACAGTGCAGTGGGCGCAGGGAATAGCGGCTCTGGTGAGGCGGGAACAGGGCGCAGGAGCATGGCTATGGGGTGCTGAGGCGGCTGACGGGAGTGTGGCCGCGGTCGCCTTCCGCCGGCGGCTCGCGGTCTGTGGGCGCGGAGTGGGCTCCGCTCACCCGCGCGTGGCCGCCGACCTCCTTCCCGCCGGGTTCCCTGGCTCTGCCCGGCCGGTCGTCTCACGTCCATCTCCCGCCTCCTTTTCCCTACTCTGATTCTTCCCACTGGCCCCCCCTTCACGGCCCTGTCCTGACCCTGGCATCCCTCCCTTCCCGCACCATTCTTCCTGGCCAATCCGCTGTGCCCGGGCCCGGGAGGAGGCCGGCAGTCCTTTCCTGCCCTCCCCCTCCGCGCTTAAACCTTGACCCAAGCCCTCGTTCCGATTAGTGTGATTGAGTAGCGTCTCACCTCACCTTTCTCCCTCCTAGAATCCAGGAACTTTCCTCTCGCTTACTCTGTTGGGCTGGCCAGGGTGTCACTTCTGCCTTCCTCTTCTCCAGGCCATGGACGGCTCCTTTGTCCAGCACAGTGTGAGGGTTCTGCAGGAGCTCAACAAGCAGCGGGAGAAGGGGCAGTATTGCGACGCCACCCTGGACGTGGGGGGCCTGGTGTTCAAGGCACACTGGAGCGTCCTTGCCTGCTGCAGTCACTTCTTCCAGAGCCTCTATGGGGATGGCTCAGGGGGCAGTGTTGTCCTTCCTGCTGGTTTCGCGGAGATCTTTGGCCTCCTTCTGGACTTTTTCTACACTGGTCACCTTGCCCTTACCTCAGGGAACCGGGATCAGGTGCTCCTGGCAGCCAGGGAGTTGCGAGTACCAGAGGTCGTGGAGCTGTGCCAGAGCTTCCAGTCCAAAACCTCCGTGGGACAGGCAGTGAGCGGCCAGAGTGGGCTGGGGAAACCTGCCTCTCGGGAAGTGAGCAGCCACCTCAAGGAGCCAACAGACTTGGAGGAAGAGGAAGGTTCGAGGACTCTGGGCCTGGTTCCCAGGGATCAGGACCCCAGAGATTGTCACAGCTCCCAGAGGCCCCAGCTCAGTCCCCCTGCTCAGACTGAGAGCCCCTCCTTCCTCTGTGGGAGACTCAAGCAGGCTGTGAAGCCTTGTCCCCCAGAGGACAAGGAGCCTGAGGACTGCAAAGTGCCCCCGAGGTCCTTCGAGGCTGAAGGTGCCCAGCTGCAGGGTGGGAGTAATGAGGTACTGTGCCTAGGGTGCTGGAACTGGGGAGGCAAGACTAGGGGGGAGAAGCGAACACTTTTCTGGGGTGATCTGGACCCCAAAGTAGAATCTCTTGGTATGTGAAACAGGCTTTCTCTAAACAAAGGAAGCCCATGGTCTTAGCTGACCTTCCTGTGATCACAGCTGTGCCTGGTTGCCAGTTTCCTCAGGGGCAGTGGGCAGTATCAGGGTGCAGGTGTTTCCCTAGGGGAGTGAATCTGGCCAGACTTCCTGTCCCTCATCATTGTAGGCACTTCCTTCCCAAGTGCAGGATTCAGATGTTGTCTGACCTTGGGTCCCGGAGTGACCGGTACCTGATAGAGGGGCTCACCTGGGTTGGGCTTGGGGTGGACCTAAAGCTGGGTCCTCATGGTCCTTGCTGATTAATTTGGTGACCCACCCCTTCCTGCTGCCTTCTCTGCTGTAGTGGGAAGTGGTGGTTCAAGTTGAGGACGACGGGGATGGTGATTGTGTTTCTGAGCTTGAGACTGTGCTGACCAGGAGGAAGTCAGAGGACATCAGAAAGCCCTGTGCTGCCGAGCCAGCCCTGGGTTCAGGGTCCCTGGCAGCTGAGCCCACTGAGAACAGAAAAGGGACAGCTGTGCCTGTTGAATGCCCTACGTGCCATAAAAAGTTCCTCAGCAAATACTATCTGAAGGTGCACAACAGGTAAGCACCCTTGTTTTCCTGTCTGCCATTCCTGCTTGGGGGGTGGAGGTCGTATTTTCTGCCTTCTGAGTGCTGGAGGGGCCGGGGCTCTTGTCTCAGATCTGCATAGTGCCATGCTTCTAACTGTCGGGGGGTGGGGGTGGGTGGGTGTGCCTCGCTTCTTCCTCCCTCCTACTGTGCATCCTCACGTTGGGCATGGGTGTGTGGACACCTTGCTAGCGGTTCCAACCACTGTGGACTTCGACCCCTGGCTGGCTTCTGCCAAAGCCACGAGAGAAGCCTGTGGGCTGAGCTGGAGCTGAGGCCTGGCCCTAGGGGTTCCAAAAGCCTTCCAGTGAGGGCTCTGGGCTGATGCTGCCCATTAGGGTGGGTGCTACCTGCCTTGCTGGGGTGTTAATGGGGCATAACCTGTCTTGGAGCTAAGGGTGCGCCCTAGTGGAGAAGCACTTGCCGAGCATGTGGAAAGCCCTGAGTGCGATCCCCAGCGCTGCAAATAAAGTGGTGTATGAGTCCATCATGTCTGGTGAGGCCTGACTTAAAAAAAAGAAAAAGGAAACTTTTTAACACTGCAGCATCCAGTAAGGTAACTAGGAGTCCTGGGCGGCTAATTTTTTTTTTTTTTTTGGTACTGGGGATCGAACTCGGACTCGGGTCCTTGCGTTTGTGCAGCAGGCAGTGAAACCACTGAGCTAAATCCCTGGCCCCCGGGCAGCTATTTGAATTTAAAATCAATTGAAATTAACCCAACTATGGTGGACACCTATAATCTCAGTGTTCTGGGTCAAGGACAAGCTCAAGTCAACTGGCAACTCAGTGAAATCCTGTCTCAGAATAAAAAATAAGAGACCAGCTGGGGAATGTGGGTCAGTGTGAAGGCCCTGCATTCATTCCACCACATTTGCAAAATAAATAGTTAAATGAAGTAAAAGTAACTAAATTGGGTTCATCAGCAGAACTAGCCACGTTGCATCTCCTGTGCTCAGTGCCATGTGGCTACCAGCTGCCAAGTTGGACAGTGCAGAGGATTTACACCAACACGGAGCATTCCCCTTGACAGTAACACCCCTTCCAGTCCTGTTGTTACCAGCCCAGGATGTCACTAGATCATCACAGAGCAGTTTTTTAGCAAGCCAGGCTGTGCCACACACCTGTTCTCTGTATGACACTCTGGGAAGCCGCAAGTGATGGCCTGGAGTTGGACCTGGGTGTGAGACCTGTGTCACTACACCGTGCTTGTCCTTGGGTCAGCTGACATTTGTGGAGTCTTGGGCCGTCCCACTGTGTGCGAATCCTGGGGCTGTCCAAGTTTTGCCCAGGTGCTCACTCCAGGCACTTGGCCCAGGGCACTGTCTCCATCCGTCCCTGCCTGGGGCTGTGGATGGCAGATGGCTCTGAGAACTGAGAGCGGGAGCCTGGGAGGGGAGTGTTGGCTTTGTGGGGTCATTGTAGTGGGGGACAGTGATGGCCAGTGTAGTGACCGAATGAGAGAAGTGGCTGGCCTCTGGCAGGTGTGCGAGCTTTCCCAGTGTGGCACAGGGCTCTGAGGTCAGAGTTCATTTAGTGCATTCACTCACCACACTGCCCGATGGCTGACAGACTCTAGGGACACTCAGGACACATCAGCGGACCAAGCAGAGATCCCTATGGAGCTTACCTTCCAGCCGGGCGATGGAAATGAAAACCAAATCCTAGCAAGTTGATTGGCAGTGCAACAGGAAGTGCACTGGAGAGAAGAAAACAGTGGTGCCCAGGGTCTGGGAGTTCTTGTGGGGTCAGGTTACCCCTTTGAATAGCCATGGTCTGGGAGGCTTACCTGGGAAAGAGGTTTAAGCAAGGACTTGGAGGAAGGGAGGGAATCATCCACATGAGGAAGTGTTCCCAGCAGGGCCAAGAGCCAGTGTGAAGGCCCTGGGCTAGGGGTGAGGGCCAAGAGCCTGACCTGAGGGGCCAGCGGGGGATCTCACAGCACCCCAGTTCACTGAAGGCCACCTCGCCTCCTAGGCCCTCCTGGGCCTTTTCTCAATAAATAGGAAGCACTTAGGGTTGGGAGCTGGAGTGATGCAGCTGGCTTTTCTAAAGGGTGCCCTGGTGCTGATGTGGCCCTGGGAGGACAGGCAGTGGCTCCTGTGGACCTAGGCACTGCTGTCATCACACCTAGTGGTGGTGGTGAGGTGAAGTGGCCCAGGCCGGGCCCTGGGAAGGCCGTTTCTCCAGGCGGTTATAACCGCGGGTTGCTTCTGCCTTCAGAGAGACGTGGCAGCCCTGTGTCCCTGGTCAGCCTCTGGAAGTCAGCACTGGGTTCCCACTGTGCCCTCTAGCATGTTGCTGTGTGGGTCCGGGCCCATCCTTGCATGTTCCCAGCGGGGGTCTTTTTGTGCCCCTCAGGTGTGGGAGTGACAGGGGCTCTTGGATGAGGGAGAGCCAGGAAACCCTGAGCTCCCACACCCCTGTGGCTTCTCCTGGCAGGAAGCACACCGGGGAGAAACCCTTTGAGTGTCCCAAGTGTGGGAAGTGTTACTTCCGGAAGGAGAACCTCCTGGAGCATGAAGCCCGGAATTGCATGAACCGCTCGGAACAGGTACTTGGGAGCTGGCCCAAGTACTTGTGGATATGGATGGGGCACAGGTCTGTGTCTGTGCCATCTGGGAAGAGCCCTCAGGAGACACCTGTGATGGCGACTGAAGAAAGAGCAGCAGGGTCTTCGGCTGTCATGCAGTCTGTGCCTTGGTACAGGAGGACACAGGTCCTGAGGGCAGAAGGGACAAGCCCGGAGGGATGCTATGGCAGGCATTTTGGGGTTGCCCGCCCCGGCCCCACCTTGGGGGTTGGAGCAGGGGCGTTGAGGGCTGCTGGGGGGAGCCTTCTGGGCACCTCGCTGCCCAGCGCTGCCCTGGGTGGGTGAGGTCCAGCTCAGCCCTGCCCTCTTCCTCTTCAGAGGCCTGTTGGTGGCAGCTGGGGGCAGGGACTGTGGGGGTCCAGGGCCCGAGAAGGGCTTGGCATGTGACCACGTGCAGTGCCCAGTGCGGTCAGGACAGGCGGGTTACATGTCGCCCTCTCCTACCCTGGTGCCCCCACCCCAGGCAGACTTCCCAGCAGCGAGCGGAAACCCCGGCAGAGGCTGCCGCAGCAGGCAGAAGCCCCCGCTGATGCCGGCCCTGCTTGCCCCTCACACTGCCAGGTCTTCACGTGCTCCGTGTGCCAGGAGACCTTCCGCCGGAGGACGGAGCTGCGGGTGCACATGGTGTCGCACACGGGGGAGATGCCCTACAAGGTCAGGCTGGCGGTTCCCAGGGCTCTGGGCTGGTGGCGAGGGGTAGCCCGGGTGCCTGTCCCTTGGTCGTCGTCAAGAAGCCTCCCTGCCCACCATCCACTGACTCTGCATATGTGCTCGGGGCCACTGGCCAGCACCTCCCCTCCAGGGCATCGTCCGGGCCTGTGTCTTTCCCGGAGAGCAGGCTCAGCACCCCTGGGCCATGCCACATAGGGGTCCTCCTGGGTCTCGGGGTGGCCCTGCCCTGCGCACGACCAGGCTGCGAGGTGGTGACTTGGGGCCTGTTTTGCAGTGCTCCTCCTGCTCCCAGCAGTTCATGCAGAAGAAGGATTTGCAGAGCCACATGATTAAGCTGCACGGAGCCCCCAAGCCCCACGCAGTAAGTGTTGGGTGGGGCTGGGGCGGGTGGGAGTGAGTCAGCCCAGGGTGGTCGGAGGCCCTGTGGTTTCTGCCCTTGGGGGGCAGTGGGGGCCTGTGGGGCTCCTAGGCAGACCCCTCCTGTCCTCACCTGGCCCTAGTTCCTCTGCCTGTCCCGCCTGCCCCACAGTGCCCCACCTGCGCCAAGTGCTTCCTGTCCCGGACTGAGCTACAGCTGCATGAGGCCTTCAAGCACCGCGGGGAGAAACTGTTTGTGTGCGAGGAGTGCGGGCACCGGGCCTCGAGCCGCAACGGGCTGCAGATGCACATCAAGGCCAAGCACAGGTGCGCCAGGGTGTGCCGTGTTCAGCAGCTGGGCTCGGGAGCGGCGTCTGCCTGTGTTCTCAGGTGGTGTGCTTTTGCAAGAGCTTGCTGGGCAGAGCCGGAAGATGTCCTGCCTCCTAAGGAGGGGCACACGGTCACTTGCCCCGGCGCCTGTGCCACAGTGGAGGGGTTGGCCCCTTCCTGGCCCTGCACAGGGCCCTCGTGCTCTGTGTGGCCCTGGCTATAGCCCTCCATGTCCCCATGCAAATAGGCACGAGCGGCCATACGTGTGCGAGTTCTGCAGCCACGCCTTCACACAGAAGGCCAACCTCAACATGCACCTACGCACACACACGGGTGAGAAGCCCTTCCAGTGCCACCTCTGTGGCAAGACTTTCCGTACCCAAGGTGAGGCAGGTCCCTGCCCCCACCCCGCCCCAGGGCTTGGCCAGGCCTGCGACTGAGCCCGAGCCCCGGCCTGTCCCTGCAGCCAGCCTGGACAAGCACAACCGCACCCACACGGGCGAGCGGCCCTTCAGCTGCGAGTTCTGTGAGCAGCGCTTCACGGAGAAGGGCCCCCTCCTGCGGCATGTGGCCAGCCGCCATCAGGAGGGCCGGCCCCACTTCTGCCAGATCTGTGGCAAGACCTTCAAAGGTACCTGGAGCTGGGGCTCTCCATTTCCCACGGGCCTGGCCTGAGTTGGGGGTCTGCACGGGCAGGGCTGGGGCCATAGTGGCCCCTGGCTGCGGCTGAGCAGCAGAGCTCCCATCTTCTGTGGGCCCGGAACCCCTGGGGTGCTACTGCAGAGCCTGGCAGGCCTGTCTCTGAGGAGTGGGGCGCGGGCAGGCCCTGCCAAGGCCTCCTGCTGTGTTTCCTGGCCCCCATCACAGTGGGCCCCCGGCACGCTCCCACCTGTCCTGATGCTGGTGGCCGTGTCCCTCCTGCAGCTGTGGAACAGTTACGCGTGCATGTCAGGCGGCACAAGGGGGTGCGGAAGTTCGAGTGCACTGAGTGTGGCTACAAATTCACACGGCAGGTAGGCGGGGTGCTGGGCCCCCCCCCCGGGTCTGTCCCCACACTGACCCGCACTCCCTCCAGGCCCACCTGCGGAGGCACATGGGGATCCACGACCGCGTGGAGAACTACAACCCGAGGCAGCGCAAGCTCCGCAACCTCGTCATCGAGGACGAGAAGATGGTGGTGGTGGCGCTGCAGCCTCCCGCGGAGCTGGAGGTGGGCTCGGCCGAGGTCATTGTGGAGTCCCTGGCCCAGGGCGGCCTGGCCCCCCAGCTCCCCAGCCAGGGACTGCGTGCCGAGGAGAGCTTCGCCGGCCCGGGTGTCCCGGAGCCCGCGCTCATCGTCACAGCTGCCGTCCCCGAGGACTGTGACACGTAGCCCACCCCGTCCCCTGGGCGCAGCTCCCAATAAACCTGCAGCTTTGGACTGGCTTGTCCCTGCCTGTCTGCACTCTGTCCCTCAGTGTCCCGGAGCTGCAGGCCCGGGCTCCAGTGAGGCGCCTCTTCTCTGACCCGGACCTCCAGTGGTCCTTGAAGCTCAGCCAGCTCCTTGGGAGACACCAGCTGAGCAAGACCTGGCCGGGCAGCTTCTGACTCGAGCCTTCCACCCCTTGTTTGTTCAGGAGTTGGAGCTGGGATCGCTGGCCACATGAACTGGTAGAGCTCCTATTTTAGTGGAGGTGATAGTGGGGTGGAATCCATTCCTAGGCCCCCAGAGTCAGAATGGAGTAGACAGGGACCAAGTGATGGCCTGGAGGCCAGGTTCGAGGCTGGACCCCTCCCCTCCCCCTGCAAAGCCTGGGGCCAGGGCCAGGTGCAGCTGGGCGCAGCTGGGAGCCTGGCTGGCAGGGGTGTGGCTCAGTGAGCTACCCTGGCTGGCACACGCCCACTTGGGGTGCCTTCCCAGAGGGACCTTGCAGGGCCTGCATGTCCAGGAGGCTTGGGGTACAGGTCAGGGCAGGCCTCAGATGCAGAGGGCCCCTGCTGTCCCCAGGTTCTGCAGCCGGGGGTGCTGAGTGCTAGAGCAGATCATCCGTGTTCAGATTCTTTCTCGGCTCCTTTATGACCGAGACCCTGGGCAGGCCTCCTTCATCTTTTAGTGAAAGTAGTAACATGCTTCGCAGACAGGGTTGAGTCACTGGGCAGGGAACCACTGCAAGGTATCTGGAGCAGGGCGAGCAGGGCGTAGTGGCACACACTTGTAATCTCTGGGAGGAGGCTGAAGCAGGAGGCTCGCTGGTTTGAGCCCAGCCTGGGGGGACTGAAATGACTTAGACCCTATCTCAAAAAATAAAACACTGTGGATCTAGCTCAGTGTGAAGTCCCCAGGTTCAGTTCCCAGGACTGTATTTTATTTATTTATTTATTTATTTATTTATTTATTTATTTAGGTACCGGGGATTGAACTCGGGTCCTTGCACTTGCACTTGCACAGCAGGCGGCAAAACCACTGAGCTAAATCCCCGGCCCCCAGGACTGTATTTAAAAAAAAAAAAGCATCTGGAGGCTTGGTTGGTGTTGGAGCTGGGCAGAGGCCAGGGCCAAGGTCCCTGTGCTGGCTGTTGGGCTCCCCTGCCTCAGCTGGGGTGCAGGAACAAATTCCCAAGGGCCAAAGCTGCAAGGCCCACTTGAGGACCTTGTCCCTCACGTCACGTGCCGTCACCTCTGCCACATCTTGTTGGATGAGGCAGTCACTGGTCACTCCCAGGTCCAGGAGGGGGCACAGGGACCCTGACTGATACACATTTAAGCCCCCCAGGTGAACGAGCAGTGGTTAGGATGTACTGTGCCAGTGGCTGCAGAGCCAGGTGCCTCTGAAACCCGTCACTGAGGAGCCCAGCGCACTGCACCCCAGGCCAGTGCCCCTGGAGGTGGAGAGGTTGGAAGAATGTTGGTTTTAGACTTAACCCAGCCAACCATTTTATCTGCGATACAGGGGATCAAACCCAGGGCCTCTCCACTGAGCTACATCCCCAGTTTACGGTCTTGAGCCGCTCAGTAGACCTAAGTTGCTCAGCTTGGGCACAAACTTGCCACTTCCTGCCTCAGCCTCCCAGAGGGCTGGGATCACAGGTGGGCACTGCCACGCCCATCCACCTCCCACTGCTTGACTGCTAGGTGCTGAGAGGGAAGAGTATCTGAGTGCAGTAACTGACACCCCAGGTGTGGCTTACCGTCCTGTATAGCTTACAAGCTTCCACGCTGACAGCATCTGCCTAACATGCTGGAGGTGCTGGGTTACTGGGTTTCATGCTCAGCACTGCCAAAAAGCAAAATGTCCTGGTCACAAGCAGGCTTTGGTGGTGCACGCCTGCACCCCCAGCACTTGCAGGGCAGGAGGGGTTCAAGAGTAACCTGGAGGGTACAGACCTGGCCTCAGAAACAAACCCCAGCCCGCGTTTGTTTCACAGCCAGGGCATGAGCCTCTTCTCGGGTTGGCGGGCTCTACAGATGCATGGCAGATCAAGGTCTGTCTGGGGATTATTTTAATTTTTGGAGTGCTGCGGTTCAAAATCAGGATCTTCACACTGAGCTGTCTCTAGCCCTTTCAGGTCTAAGTTGTCCGAGCTGGGCTCGAACTTTTGTGATCCCCACTACCTCAGCTTCCCAGGGTGCTGGGTGGCTTTCCAGGTGTGTGCCACCGCGCCTGGCCCAAGATTCGCCCCATGGTGGCCAGGAGCCCCACTCCCACAAGCACTATACCTGAGAAACTGAAACAGCCTGGAGGTGAGATCTCCCTTGACCCCAGCGTGCCTCGGACACCCCCCATCTCCCATGATGAACGCAGTCCCAAGCCCCTTCACCTCTCCTAAGAGGAGGAGGAAGATAAAGACAAAGACAAAACACAGGAAATATTTTTATTTCAAAAAGTACTGAAGGCACCCTAAAACCCGGAGACAAGATTGTGGACACTGAGGCCTACAGCATAGACAAAAATAAATACACATGTGCCCACCCTCTGGGGTGTGACTGGATGTTGGACACTGATGGCTGTGTCCTTTGTCTCTGAAGTCATAAATATAGAGTATGTTACAGGTCAGCATTAAAAACTAGTCACTGAACTTCCATAACTTAGCATCTCGTGGACAAAGTCCGGTGCACGAATCACGTAGGGAAAGCCGCATTCCTAGGTGGTCCAAACCTGTCTCCAAGTCAGTACAGAGACATCTACGATGGTGGGGACAAGGCCCAGACGGAGCCCGTGGCTGGAGAGGGGACCCCAGATCCTGGAGCCCCGGCTGGGTCTGCAGGCCGTGGAAGCTGTGGGGGGATCTGGTGCCTGCTCTTCCCAAGCTTGGTTTTTCAAACCCAAAGCCTGGTCCTGATGGCAACCCAGGCAGCTCTGGGATACAGACAGAGGGACACAAACCCAGGCCCCACCTGTGCGGCCAGTCAGGGCATGATGGACGCCAGACAAGGGTAAGGGCAGGAACCCTAGGCCAACCCAGGACAGCAGTGGCTGGTGTCCCCAAGCAGACTGTCCAGTCCCAGGGCACTTGCTAACACAATGCACTGACATACAGCACATGGCACCAAAGGGAGGAGGCAGGCATGACAGGGCCCACCTGGTGGCCTGGGAGAAATTAAGGCAAAGACTCTTGTGATCTGGCCACTGAGGGTCTGGGTACAGCTCATTAGGCAGTGGTGTCCAGGTGAGAACTCACTGGCAGGAGTCAGGTCCCTGGAAAAAGGCCTTCCTGTCACCCGACCCAGTCCTGATGCCCCTCCCTGGAAAGGAGAGGGTGGCAGATCCAAGTGCAGGCCACTTCAGGCACCATGAAGGGATCAAACTCAACGTCCCACTCCCGAGAAATCACCTGGGTTCCCCTCAGCTGAGTCTCCCTGGGCACTCCTGGGGCCACAGCATTTTGTGGGAGTGAAAATCAGACAGGGCGACCTCGGCTCTGGCTCCCTCCACTCCCCTTCTGGCAAAGAGCAAACTCTTGGGAGCCACTGCCAAGGCCACTCCTGGTGAGGCCTCCTCTCCAAGCAAAAGGCTTCTTCACACACAGCCCAGGAGAAGGGCTGGGGCACAGCGGACGTATGCGTCGCTGGCTTCAAGGACAGTGGGTGTCCACCCTCTCCGCCAGGCTCTCCTCCCCCGGCCTGGACAGTCTCAAGTGGTCTCTTGGCCCAGTGGGGTTTCACTGGCCAGCGTGGGAGGAGACCCAGCACCGGCCACAAGGCATTCGGGGGCTCCTCGACCTCCTTTCAAGCTCATACCCCACACGCAGATCCTGGATGTGGGACCCCAGCAGGCAGGCGGAACCCTGCACTGGGGACAACCGGCACCTCACAGCAGCCGCGGTCTGCTCGGTCCCCAATGCTCCAGGGCCAGCCGAAGGTAAGAGGGTCCAGGCCGTACACAAACCCACAGGGGACCCTCTGCCCTCTGCCCCCAGGGTGGGAGCAAGGAGCTGTGGGAGGTGGCAGCAGGCAGGTGAGCTGGGGCCCTCTGGGGGCCAGGGACAGGAGCCAGCGAGGCACTCACAGCCAGCCCTGCTCCGGCAGCTGTGACTCAGGCTCTAAGGGCACAGAAAACTCCAGGCAATGAGGACCTGGGCTCACCGGGCTCCACCTGTACCCGAGGGTGGGGGTCACTGCCCCACTGGGGTTCCGGGTCCCCTGCATGAAGGCCCTCGGCGGGCCAGGCCGGGGCTAGTGTAGCTCATCAGGGTTCCGTGGCTGGTGCCGGCCCGCGTCGTCACCACTGCGACTGTCCAGCCCGAAGCCGCGGCCATCCAGAGGAGTCTGCGGCATGAACTGCCGGAAGATGCTGACGCTGCTGTGCCAGAAGGTGGGCTCCGGGAGCCGCCCCACCACGCTCCAGGCTCCTGCCTCGGGGTCATAGGCCTCGACCACGTCCGAGAGCTCAAATGTGTTGTCATAGCCACCTGACACATAGAGCTTCCCGCCCAGCACGGCCAGGCTGCCGCCCACGTGCACCTGTAGTGAGGCAGAGGGAGGCCGGAGTGGGCAAGGCAGACAGCTGCCCACCCACGACAGTACCAGGGACTCAGGGGGATGAGGGGAGTCCACGCAGCGCCAGGGGCCCACCTTGGCCAGCGTCTCAGGATGCGCTGTGGCCGGGACAGGCTGGTGGCCTCCTGGGGCTCCCAGGGGCCACACAGGGACTGGGTCTGCTGGGAGACCCCTGCCCATGGTGCCCAGCAGCGAGTGCCCAGCCCTTGCTGATGCTGCCATGCAATCTCTACAGGGCTCCTGGTGGGCACCAGTGAGCTCTCCATCTCTTGGGGGGGAAACAGGCTCATAGGGCAGCCAGAGACTGAGCTGGGGCTCGACACAAAGCCTGGCCAAGTGCCGCTGACCCTTCCCGGGGCCACCATCCCTCCCTTCTCATCCGGGAAGGGGACCCGGCCAGGCAGCAGGGAGCAATCTCTGGGCAGGCTCCATCTCGCCCACCCGCCAGTCTAAGCACCTTGCACCTTCTCCAGAGACGCAGGCTGCCCTGCTGGGAGGGCCACATACCCGAGGTGCGCACTGCCCCGGGGCCTTTGTCCTGGGGCTCAGGATCTAAAGGAAGCTGCTGTGGCCACTGCAGGAGGGAGTGACTCACCACACGCCTACAATCCCAGTCCTTAGGAGGATGAGGCAGGTAGATTGGCGTGAGTTCAAAGCCAACCTGGACTAGATGTGAGAACTTGTCTCAAAAAATATCTGGGTCTTCCTGGGGCTGGGGATTTAGTTCATTGGTATAGCACCTGCCTCGCAAGTGCAAGGTCCTGAGTTCTATCCCCAGTACCGGAAAAAAATATCTGGGTCTTCCCAAAAGAATTAAAAGCATCATAACAGACATCTATGTGCACCCATATTTACAGCGGCACAATTTTTAATAACTAAATCTTGCAAAAAGCCTACATGCCTATCAACCGAGGAATGGATAAAGAAGATGTGATGTTTTTACACAATGGAGTACTACTCTGCCATAAAGGACAAGCTTGAGATATTTATAGCTAAATGGATGGACCTTGAGAGTATACTTTTCTTTTTGGCAGAACCAGGGATCGAACTCAGGACCTTGTGCTTTCGAGGCAGGTGGAGTGCCACTGAGCTAAATCCCTGGCCCAAGAGTATACTCTTAAATGTGATAAATCGGACACACCTGTTTAAATACCGCACTGTTTCTCTGGTGTGAAAAACTGAGAGTGGAAATAAGGACTGAAATGTGTCATAGATATTGGGAAATGGGAAGAAAATGTTTAAAAGGGAGGGAGAACAAGAGAGGAAGGAAGGGACAAGAAAAAGAGTGAAAATAGCCAGGGATTTAGCTCAGTGGTTATGGCGCCTGCCTCGAAAGTGCAAGGTCCTGAGTTCAATCCCCGGTACCAAAAAAAAAGAGTGAAAATAGAAAGAAAAAACTTTTGTATATGGGGGAGCTGGGGGAAAAAGAAGAGGCAGGAAATCGCATGTCCAGGACAAATGCCTATGGCGAGTGTTGTGATGCAGATCTGAAATGTGCCACGCCAGCCTTCTGTGAAGTTGGCACCCGGAGGACGTGGCCCCCGCTATAACAGTACCCAAGGGCCCAGCACTGGAGCGCGCGGGCTCACCTGGTTCATAGGCGGGATCTTGTCCCACTCGTTCTTCGTGGGGTTGTACACATCCACCTCGGCGGAGTCGTCCCTGTACAGGGAGGAGACGGTGGTCAGGGCTGGAGAGGAGGGGTCTCAGAGCCTCAGTTACCCCAGTTCCAGTGCCCCGTGGCTGCCCCCTCACTAGGTGGATGCCATGCTCCGAGCCCAGCCTTGTCTCCAAACCCAAAGAACATACCCTCTGGTGCCCGAATCCCCCAGTGACGCCCCACCAGCACAATGAGGTTGTCCCCACTCCCTCCAGAAACAAGGTCTTGCTATGCAGCCCAGGCTGGCCTCGAACTCCCAGTGATCCTCCTGCCTCAGCCTTCCAAGTGCTGACCACGCCCAGCTCGGTCATTCCTCCTTGCTGTCGCCCCGGCGGCTTCCTTTAGACCCTGAAGGTATCCTGTCGGTTCCCAGCCCAGGCTCCCAAGCCACCCCCACCTTCCTTGCTCTCCCCACATCAACCTGAGCCACCTTTTCCAGAGGCCTCTGGCTGAGCAGGCCAGGCCAGGCCAGGCCTCTAGGCCCTTCCCCAGGCCTTGGGCCACTGCTTGCCTCTGCCTTCCATGTCACTGTCGTCCCCCACCCCATCCTGCTCACTGCTGCATCTTCAGTGCTCCCAAAAGTAGTCAGCTGGGCGTGACTCCACACGTCAGAAGCGAAAGGATGGCGAGTTTGAGCCCAGCCTGAGCAACTTAGTGACTTAGGGAGGACCCTGTTTCCAAATAAGAAACAGGGCTGGGCTCAGTGGCGCACACCTGTAATCCCAGCACTCGGGAGGCTGAGGCAGGAGGATTGCTGTGAGTTCGAGGCCAGCCTGGGCTACACAGTGGGTTCGAGGCCAGGCTGAACTACATACATGAGACCTTGTCTCAAGAAAACAAAAAACATAATAATAAACATAATAAAAATAAAGCCAAGGGCACCAGAAGAAAAGCAGTAACAGCTCTGATGACAACAGTCCTGAAGGCCAGGGTCAGCAGAAGGCCCAGACAGCACATACTTCAGGCTTTGGGCACCAGATGGTGTTTGTAGCAAGCACTCAGCACTACCACTGTCTCAAGAAATCAGCAGATGGCTCCTAATCAAGGGGGCTGGGTGTCTCAGGAAAACTTCAAGGGTAGTGGGCGAGGTAACAGCACACACCTGTAGTTCCAGCTACAGGCAGGAGGAATGCAAGTTTGAGCCCATGCTGGGCAATTAAGGGAGATCCTGTCACGAAATAAAAAATGCAAACAGGGGTAGGGATGCAGCTCATTGCTAGCAAGTGTGGGGCTCTGAGTTCAATATCCAATACAGAAAACAAATTCAAGTAACTTAAAAAAATTTTATTTTTTGGTTTTTGAGACAAAGTCTGGCCATGCAGTCCAGGCTGGCTTTGAACTTGTGATCCTCCTGCCTCAGCACCCCCAAGTGCTGGGATTACAGGCCAGTGCCACCTGCCTCGGTTTACAACTTCCTATGCTACAAAACACTACTGAGTCCTCACCTCAAGCACTGTAAAACGCAGAACCATGGTTTGTCGCTCTTCTGACCATGGTCACTTGTATCTCTGCCTCTAACCAGCAGAGAGCCAGGTGCACAGTGGGAAGACCCTATGGGCTGGCCAGGGTGCCCAGGTCCCTCCGTGGGGCCCAGCCAGGGGAGGCGCCCAGGACGGCAGCCCCAGGGGACAGCTGGTCCCTGAGAGTGGGGCAGGAGGCCTGTGGCTCAGGAACAGCCAAAGAGAACAGGACATCGGTGGGAGCAATACTCCAGCACGGCCAGCCCCTGCCCCACTCGGGTTCCCCGCCTTCCTGCAGCCATCTCCTCCACCTGCCCGAGGCCACGCTGCCCACCCTAAGGGGCCAGCGGGCGGGGCTCAGCAGGGCCCTCAGGACTAGAAGTGGTATTTATAGCTGTCTCTAAGACACCTCTGGGAGGGGGAGGGTGCGGGCGGGGGTGGCTGGGCCTCCAGGCTCCCTCGGAGCAGACCCTGGGCTCCTGGCACACCGTGGTGCCAGGCCTTCATGCATGCCGAGCAATGACACCTCTGTTCCCTTGGGTGCTCACCCAGGAGTCTTGGGGGTGGGGCAGACAAGGGCCAGTCTGGCTCAGGGTGAGAGGTCATGGGTCCCAAAGCAAAGGACACACATACTTGGGGGCTCCTTGTTCAAAGACTAAGCCAGAAGGACAGAAGGGACTGTCGGTCACACCCCTCCTTCCCTCCTGCTCCCGCCTCCGGGTAGGGAGGGGGCCGTGGATACACATACGTGTACATGTAAGCACATACATACATGTGTGCAGAGCCAGGGGCACCCGGCACCCTCTGGATGCCCTCGAACCAGCAGGCGGGGCATCCAGACCGCCAGGTCAGCTAGGGCTGTTTTGTAACTTGGGGTAATTAATACACAGGCCCAGGGGCTGCTCTCCCTCCATCACCCTTGGGATCGCTTGACTGACAAATCCTGGAAGCCCACGAAAACTCCTCTGTGGAATAAACAGGCACCCTGCAGCCGGAGAGCCCTAGCCTCTGAGGCTGGCTTGGCTCAGTTTCCTCATCTGTGAAATGGGGAGAACAGCGATGCCATGCCAGGCGTGGTGGTCCACCCCTGTGACCCCAGCACTTGGGGAGGACTGCCTTGAGTTCAAGGCCAGCTGGAACTGCACAGTGAAACCCTGTCCCAGAAAACAACACAAAAAACCTGAATACCACAGACACAGCACCTCAGGCGGGCCCTGCAGACTCACCTGACGAAGTACATGAGTCCATTTAGCGTCACTGTCTTGGGAGCAAAGGACCAGGGCGGGAGCTGTCCACAGTCCACCAGTGACCACAGGTCAGTGTCCGGGTCGTAGCACTGCATCACCATGGTCTCCTTGCCAGGCAGGGACCCGATGGCGTAGAGGCGGCTGCGGCACGCGGTGGTGGAGCAGTTGTCCATGGGGTAGGTCATGGGCCGCAGCGCCTCCCAGGAGTCGGTGGTGTGGTCGTAGCGCTCTGTGCTGTCCGCGGCCACCACGTACAGTAGCCCATCTAGCACTGAAGAGCTGTGGTATTCACGAGCCTTCAGCATGGGCGCCACCTCTGTCCACTCGTTCACGCTCGAGTTGTACCTCCACACACAGTCGTAGAGCCGGGAGCCATCGGACCCGCCTGCGGGATGGGCAGGCAAGGGGCAGCGGTCAGCCCTCGGCCAGTGCCACCCTGAGCTTCCACCGGGGCTGCTCCCCCGGGAGGAATGAACCTCACGGGCTTCACCCAAAACCTCACCTCCCCAAACCTAGGCCAGAAGTCCCACGATGACACACACACACGCCAGCCACTGCCCCCAGGAGCACACCACCAAATGGGCCCCTGGGCACACTTCTAAATAACGGACCAGGCCGTCCAGCCTTGAGTTCACTAAATTCGAGGGTTCCTGGTCCCCGGTGACCAAGGCTGTGTGGGGACCGGAGGAGGAAGTCCATGCTGAAAGGCGGAGCTGGGACAGTCACACTATGACTGCAGGGCACTTCAGCTTACTAGTCTCAATTCAGAGTAGGTCACAGGAGCATATTTTACTTAAAAATGAAAACCAAAACTCACAGAGCTGTACCAGTCTGTGGAACACTCTTCAGTCCATATGTCTATGCCAATAAAAGGACTTTTAGCCCTTTGAAAATTTTTTGAGTGCTGGGGATTTAGCTCTGGTTCCGCCGCCTGCCTTGAAAGTGCCAGGTTCCCGAGTGTGATCCCTGGTACCAAAAATAAATAAATAAATAAATAAATAAATAAATAAATAAAACTTTTTGAGACAGGGTCTTGCTAAATAAATCACCAAGCTGCCCAGGCTGGGCTCTAATTTCCTATCCTCTCCTACCTCCTGTCTCAGTCTCCCAGAGTACCAGGATTCTGGATATGCGCCGCCATGCCAGCTGTCATCCTAAATTAAACCGTCTATGAAGGCCCTAGATGCCCACCCCCAGCGAGACTGGACTCCGGATTCCCACGGGCTGCATCCTTTGGCCTCCACCGCTGGTGCCACAGGGCAGAGCAGACGTTCTGTCTGCCTCACAGCCCCGAGCTTTTAGAGGCAGATGACAAAGGTCTTTTAACACCCATGACTCTGGGGCCTCCTTCCTTCCACATGGAGCCGTGAAAGCAGCTGAAGCCTGCCTCTCGGCCCCAGGAAATTCCCCACAGGCAGCTGAATGGAATGTGCAAGCCACCTGCCTAAGCCCACGGGATTAGCTGTGCAGCTGTGACATTTACATAAGGGTATAGGGAAGCCAGGCAGGTCTGGCCAGTTCCGGGAGGGAGGCTCTGGAGGAGATGGGTGCAGTGGGGTGGCAGGGGAGGACACGGTCCTCAAACATAGATCCCACCTCTCTTTGTCAAGAGGGACAGACTGTCAGATTCCAGCAGAAGGCTGGACACGGCTGCGGGGCACGAAGCTGTCGGCCTGAGACGAGGATGTCCCTGGGATGCGTGCCCGTCAGCTCCACAGCTGCGCCGAACACTGTCCTGTGTCTCCTGAACGTCCCAGGCTGGGCACAGCCACTGCCCGATAACCCTGCCTGAGCCTCTCCCGATAACGCCGCCATGCCTGCGCCCTGCTGTTCTTGCCTTATATAGTAGTCCAGAGACCGCCCCTGCTCGCCACAGAGGGTGGCCTCCTGTCTGGTCAGGATTCTGTCTCAGTAAAAATGCGGGAGAAGCCCAGCACCGGCTGGTCTGGGACCCGCCCACCATGACTCGGCAGTGTTTTGGGGCTTGGACCGGGCAACTGGAAGAAAACGTCCCAACACGTGACCATGTTTACAGTGGCAGGGCTCAGCCTAAACACCACGTGACAGAGTACAGACAGGCTAGGTGCAAGGCCCTAGGAATCTTGTGGCGTGTGACAAAGCCAATGAGTCAGGAGGCCCCGGGGGCTCAGCAGGGAGGGGGAAATGCTCAGGCTGGGGAGGAACGGCTGCCTCACCAGGCGTGAGCCTCAGGCCTATCCGTGCATTCCTCTGGGGAGGAAGAAAGAAAGCACTCATTGTGTGGGTGAATGTCCGGTCTCTTCCAACAGAACAGGGAGAGGCCCTTCCCTGGCAGGGAGTCGGCCCAGCCAGAGCTCGGGGAGCCACAAGCAGCTGCTTGTCTGTACACACAAGGGGCCCTTCTTCCAGGCCAGAGGCCCCAGAGAACCCTGGCTTGGGCTCGGGTCCGCTGATTCCAGTTCTGCGGGTTTCTTCTGTGAAGGCACTGGGCTCCCCGAGACAGCCTCAGCCGGGCGAACTCACCTGTCACGTAGATGTCGTTGCCCAGCGCCACGATGCTATACCCCCCGCCCAGATGATCCGGGAACTCGGCCAGGTAGCGCCACTGGCCCGTCTGCGGGTTGTAGCAGTCGACGGTGACCAGCTCGTCGCAGTCCTGGTCGCAGCCGCCCACCAGCACGAGAATCTCGGCGAGGCCGGTGGAAGGGCGCGGGCGCATGCGGGGACACGGCCCCTGGTCGTGGCGGTCGTAGCGCGCCGCCTGGAAGTCGCGCGCCTCGCGCAGCAGCCGCAGGCACGGCGGACAGCGGGCCACGAGCGGCTCGGCCTCCACGTGCGCCAGCAGGTAGAAGCGGCGCACGAAGGGCAGGCGCACGGCCTCCAGCAGCTGCGGCCAGTGCGCGGCGCGGCGCGGCGGGTCGGCGCGCACCCAGCGCAGCGCCAGCTGGTAGGCGGCCTCCTCCTTGGGCACGCACAGCCCATCGTCGCGCAGGTAGCGCAGGAGGCGCCCGAGCGGCAGCCGCTCGAGCTGCTCGGCGCCCAGCTCGCCCACGTGGCGCAGGATGAAGCGCTGCGCCGCGCTCGCCAGCCCCGCGCAGCTGAAGGCCTCGGCGAAGTCCTGCATATCCAGGCAATTGGCCAGGTCGAGCTGCTGCTGCAGGAAGGCGCCGCACGCCTCCTTCACGGCGGGGAACTGCAGCAGGTCGGCGGCGCGCAGCAGCGGCTCAGCGTTGTCGCCGCTCACGGCCACGCGGCCCGTGTAGCTGAAGTCCAGCAGCAGCTGCAGCATGTCAGGAGGCACCCCGTGCAGGCGCACCCGCTCGGCGCGGCTCTCGCGCAGCTGCCCGGCGAACATGGCGCGGAAGTAGGGGCTGGCGGCGGCCAGCACGGCGCGGTGCGCGGGGAAGTCGCGCCCGCCCGCCGCCTCCAGCGTCACGTCCAGGAACTTGCGCTCGGCGCGGAGCTGGCTCAGGCCGCGCAGCAGGCTCAGGGCGTGCGCGGGGTCCGAGAAGGGCAGCACCGCCAGGGGGGCCGGCCGCTCCATGGCGCCGCGGGCGTGGGGCTGGAAGACGCCGCGGCGCGCGGGCACGGCCGCCTTAAGTACCTCCGGGCGAGCCCCCGGCCTCGGGGGCGGGGAGTTTCCGGCACCGCCCCCGCGCCCCAGTGTCCCCTCCGCGGCGGCGGCGGCGGCGGCGGCGGCGGCGGCGGCACCGGCGAACCTCGGGCTGAGTCACCGCCGCCTGTGTCGGTCCACGTCCGCCCGCTCAGGGCTTCGGGGCGCCAGTCGCCCACGCCGAGCGCAGGATGGCGGGCGGCCAGTGCGGGCTCCGGGACCACCCAGCTCCGGGTTGCATCTTAGCCCCTAGAGGGACAGATTTCAGAGGATGGGAATCGTGCAACTCGGGACCGAAGCACCGCGTCTAGAGACTTTCGGGGACGGGGTTCGTAAGCAGCCCGGGGCGGGCTTCCAGGAATGCGGCCCGTGGTCCTCTCCGCGTTTCACACTGAGCACCAGCTCGGCAAGTCTAGGCGGCTCCTTACCGAGCCGGCTCCTCGCACCTCCCGAGCCTCCCTGCCCAGGCCGGGCCAGCTGCGGGGCTCAGGGACGGCGCAAGGTCAGAGCGACCCGGAGACAGCCACAGCCCCGGAGGGCGTGCGGGGGAAGGGGGCGCCCCACCCGAGTCCCGGGGTTGCACTGCGCTCTCAGCTCGCTGCGGGGAGTTGCGGCCCCTCCTCGGAAGCGCAGCGTCTAGTTCAGGGTGGGCTTTGGCAGTGCAGTGTCGGGGGGGGCTCGGGGGGCTCGGATTCACCTCCAGGCCTCCCCGCCCGGGTCCTTGGTGAATGCAGGGCTGCCCACGTGTGCCCGGGGCCAGCCCGACCCCTGCAGCCCCTTGTCCTCCTGGGTTCCGGCTGGGTCGGCCACAGCCTCGGAGGAGACATTTTGTTTTTATACCATCTCTGAAAGAGAGCAGGGGACCTGGCGTCCTTCTGCCCTGCGAATGCATCTGGTCCCCATTTCAGGGGCAGCTCGGGTGGCGGGGCCTAACCGGGAACACGTGCAGGTACCCCGAGGCGGCCTGTTGCCCATAGAAGGACGGTTCGCGCGGCGTCTGCCTGCCCCGCATTCCTGCCCGGGAGCCCGGCCAATAGTGAACGCGAACGGGCTTTGTGACCCAGCCCCTGCAGCCCGGAAGTGGGGTGCTTAGGAAAGAGCCTCTCTGTCCCTCCGGATCCCTTCTTCACCTTGCACTAGGCCCAGTATTTCAATGACTAATGTTCCTATAGCTGCGAATCAATCGAATAGAGTTTTTTTCCCTTCCTTCCTGTTTGTTTTGTTTTTCAGACAAAAAGCTCTTTTTGCCCAGACTGGTCTCAAACTTCTGGGCTCAAGTGATCCTCCTGCCTCAGCCTACAGAGTACCTGGGACACCTGGCATCAGGCTGTGGTTTTGTTTTCGCATTCCTGACACCAGGGGTTATTTGAACATTTTGTCAACCTAATTATGCAGATTTAAAGAATAATAATACTGATAAGAATAAAGATGAAGTTAATTACCCAAAAGGAGAGATGTTCATTTGCTTTGTGATCATATGCCTAGCAAAAAAAGTTGTGAGGTTAACCTTTTTTTTCAAACTGTATGGGTCTTTTTTCCCCCCCCAGTACTGGGGCTTGAACTCAAACTCTACCACTGAGCTATATTCCCAGCTCTTTAAGAAAACTTATTATTATTTGTTGTTTTTGAGACAGTCTCTCTCTGTGTAGTTTAATCTGGCCTTAAACTTGTAACAACCCTCCTGCCTTACCCGCTAAAGGCTGGGATTATAGGATAGCCCCAGGATCCCCAGCCTGGACTCCTTTTTAATTTTGAGACAAAAGTCTCCATAAATTGCCAAGCAGGACTGGAATTTGTGATCCTCCTGACTCAGCCTCCCTGGGCACTGGGAATACACACCTGTGCCACTGCACCTGGCTAGGGAGTTAGGTTCTGTTTTTGCCTGCCTGCCTGCATTTTGTCTCTGTACTAAACGTTTATACATACACATACCCCAGTGTATTGAAACAAACAATAGGTTGGGTCGGGTGGCTTATGCCTTGAGCCCAGCTACTCCCATGGCTGAGACAGGGAGATCACATGTTCGAGGCTAGCCTGGGCAATTTAGAGATCCTGTCTCAAAATATTCCAAATGGGGAAGGGATGTAGCTCAGTGGTAAAACACCTCTGAGTTCAATCTCCAGTACTGATAAGCAAAACAAAGAAAAAAAGAAAAGACAGAAAAGGTCAAAATGCAAATCAGAATTCAGGGTGGGCACTAGGGCTTAGTGGTGTGGGCCTGAGGTTCCATACCTGAGTAACACATTATTGATACCCCGACCTGAGGGGGCTCCTTTGAAAGCACCGTGCCTATGGCTAAGTCTGAAAAGGAATGAGGCGAGAATAGAAAGGCACAGAATTAGACCTGTCAACTGTTTGGAGTTCTGAGTGCCCACTCACCCCAGGCTATTTGAACTCACCAGCCTTGTGAGTTGAACATGGGACTGTGAGAAATTCCATGGGACTTAATCATCCTTCCAGGCCAAATTAGAGCAAATTACAACCAAACCATATTAACTAAGGTGATTTAAACTCCTGGGTCATCCAACACCTTGGTGTGGTAGAAACTGTTTGGTGAGGAAGATGTTAAAACCGCCAAACTATAGTTTGTGGGAAAATGTTTATCAATTACATTTGTCATGAAAATTCTAGAAGTTCACCTCTTCTAAGGTAAACTTTCCCTAAGTAACTTGCTTATGATAATATGATTTAACAAATAATGTTCTGATCACTTAATTTGGGTACTTTTGTGTTTTTGTTTGTTCTTTTCTTTTTTTTTTTTTTTTGTACCAGGGATTGAACTCAGGTCCTTGCGCTTGCAGGGCAGGTGGCAGAACCACTGAGCTAAATCCCTGGCCCCTGTGTTTTTGTTTGTTGAGGCAGGGTCTCTTCATGTAGCCCAGGCTGGTCTCAACTCGTGGGACAATCCTCCTACCTCAACCTCAAAAGTGTTGGGATTACAGGCCTGAGCCACCATACCTGGCATTTTAATTTGGGTATTTGAATTCTGATTTTAGGCAGACAGGACAAGAGGTGATTGAGATTTTCCCTAAAAAACTGAGGTGGAATGCAAGGCCTTTGCTTCTGAGCTATAGCCCCACCCATTTCTTTTTTTTGGTACTGGGGATCAAACTCAGGACCTTTCAATTTGTGAGGCTAGGCACCAGAACCACTGAGCTAAATCCCCACCCCTTTTTTGAGACAGGGTTTTTATGTCATTAGTTGCCCAGTTTGGGCAATTGAAATTTTTGATCCTCCTGCCTCAGCCTCCCAGAGTGCTGGGATTATAGGCATGCATTACCATGCTGGGATCCTTTCTGAATTTTTTTTTTTTGGTACTGGGGATCAAACTCAGGACCTTGTGCTTGCAAGGCAGGTGTGGTGCCACTGAACTACATCCTCAGCCCTCTCTGTATTTTAAAAAATGTGTATTTTTACCTTTTTTCCTCATTTTACACGATATATATACATTTTATATATATAGTTAGATTTTTTGGTACCCGGGATCCAACTCCGGTCCTTGCAGCAGGCACTGAAACCACTGAGCTAAATCCCTGGCCCCAACACGAGATATATATTTAAACAACTGGTCATAGAACATGAGAGGAAAGTATCTTGGACTTACTCTTTTTCCTTGAAGTCGTTTATCCCTACAGCAGGACTGGTTGCCCTAGGTGTCAAAGCTACATTGAAAAAATGACAACTCTTGTACAACCACCTATGAAAAATGTCACAAGGATACAGTGGCACACACCTGGATGCTAGCGACTCCAGAGGTTGAGGCAGGAGGGGTACAGATTCTAGGCCGATGGGGAGGGCAATTTAAAGAGCTCTTGTCTTAAATAGTAAGAAGCCCTGGGGATGGAGTTCAGTGGTAGAGCCCCCGGATTCAATCGTTGGTATCCCCCCAGTTTATTTTTTAATTCTTCAAATGGCTGAGTGTGTCCAGGGTGATGTGGATTTCGTTGTGGAGGTTGTCTTTGCCTTTGTTGAAACAGGAGAGCCATGTAAAGTCCCTGCCATGCAGGCTGCGACTTACAGGGACCATTGAAACTGCGGCCCCGAAGTCAGGCTGCTTTCTGGAGGGGAGCTGGTCACAGGCTCCAGTCCCCAGGGGGGAGGACAGTCTTCTACACCCTAGGCACTCCGATGGAGAAGTGGGTCTGCCTTTCCCAGCCACAGGAGGAGACTGAAACCTGTATGTTTTGTTGTTGTGTTTGTTTATACCAGGGATTGAACTCTCAACCTTGTGCTTTCCAGGCAGGCTTGGTGGTGCCACTGAGCTGAATCCCCCTATGTATCCCAGGCTGGCCTTGAACTTGTGGTCTTCCTGCCTCACTCAGCCTCCTGAGTTCTGGGATTACAGGATTGTGCCACCACGCCTGCTGGGGCTTATCTTTCTTTGAGAACATTTAGGAAACTTCACTTAGCACTGGGAGAATCAGAAGCAACCGTGCTTTTCCTACTATGCACTGATTTTTTTCTTCTTCTGATTTTAGGCCTCCTAAACTCTGCTAATAATGTACTTGTGTGTCATCTTTTTTCTTTAAAAAATGTTGCAGCACTTTTTCTTTATTATATTTAAATTTCTTTAGTAGTGTGTTTACAGTATGGAATGATTTTATTCATTTTTCTTGGTGGCTGTTCCAGCTGTGTCTAGCTGTCCCCCCCCAAAGCCTTATTCGGTCACAGGTGGGGCTCTTTCAGAGGAGGCTGCATCTAGAGTGTGATGCTGGGATTGATCCGTGGTGCAGTGCTAGCTCAAGGGCACTAGGATTAAGGGCGTGAGTGCTGCCCGCCCTAAACAGCCTGGATAAAATAGAAGGGGCAGAAGAGGTTTGTCTTCTCCCGCTGTTACCTTTGCTACCTTGTGGGCGCCATGAACTGTTTCTCCTCTTCGAAGCCGACCAGCCTTGGATCCAGCTGATTATGGACTGAGACCTCTACACACTGTGAGCCAAATAAACCTTTCCCTGTTTAACACTGCGTGTTGGGTATTTTGTCTCAGCCACGAGAAAAGTAACCAGGACAGTGGCAGTGAAGCCTGAACCCAGAGCCTCTGCATGGACCTACATCCCCAGCTGTTCCTTACCCATTTTGATTCTGAGACAGTCTCACTAAGTTGCTGCCTCAGCCTCCAGGAATGCTGGGTTTACAGGTGTACACCACAATGCTCAGTTTGAAGTATTCTTTAACAATATTTATATATGGAAATAAGATACTGTAAGTAAAAGCATTTAATCTGTATTTGCTTTTTTTTATATCCTAGCAGAAAGCAGAACCCAAGAAATTTACTTCTCTGTGTAGGGCTGGTTATATTCCCCTCCATGTGAAAATCCAAGAGTCAAGAAATGATTGACTCCAGGTAGTCCAGTAGCCAGGTGTGGTGGTGCACACCTGTAACACCAGCACTAGGGAGGCTGAGGCAGGAGGATCACAGGGACTGCTAGTGAGTTTGAGGCCGGCCTGGACTACATTTTGAGACCCTGTTTCAAAAAAACCAGCAAAACAAAACAAAAAGAAAGGAAGAAAGAAAGATCCACCACCTGCCTCAAAAGCCCAAGGTCCTGAGTTCAATCTCCGGTACCAAAAAGAAAGAAAAAAAAAAGAACGAATGAACCCAGGGCCTCCTGCATGGTAAGTAGGTGCCCCGCCATTGATCTAGATCCCCAACCCAAGAATGTACCCAGAATTTTAGCAGAAACAGTAGGAAATTATTCTGGGAATAGTAAACTTGGCCATACCCACATCCACATGCAAGCTCAGGGTTTAAAAAGGGAAGCAGAAAGCTTTCTTGAATGTTCCCCCAAATGAACACACAGTGTAGCCAGTGAGATTTAGGAAGGTGAAGCTATATTTGGTAACTCCATTAAAATAACTACATTCTCAAGTTACTTACTGGGAAACCATGGTATTCTCAGTATTTTCAACTTGTCACAACCTGTGCTGCTGTTGGCCTTTCTCCTTCTCTTTCCTAAGCAATTACAATCATTCTCAGAATTAGCATTCAGCAGCAGGTATAATTTTTTTTTTAAAGAAGAAAACAAAGACTCAGAATCCAAGGACCTGGCTAATGCTCTTAATTACTCAGGGACTCTTGATCCTCCCCCTGGAGGTGAGCAGTACAGAACACCTGAGAAACAGACTAGATAGGGAACAGGCTTCTCAGGTACAGAAAACCGACTTTATCACTCCTCAGCTATGCACTACACTACTGAGTTTGGGTGATGACTCATGTTATTTATTTTGTGGTACTGGGGATTGAATCCAGGGCCTTCATATTAAGCTACACTGCCAGCCATTTTTAAAAAATTGAAGCCAAGCATGGTTTCGTATGCCTGTAATCCCAGCACTCAGGAGGCTGAGGCAGGAGGATCACTGTGAGTTCAAGGCCAGCTTGGACTACACAGCAAGACTCTTGTCTCCAAAAGGCAATAAAAATACAAAATAAAAGGCCAGGGATTTAACTCAGTGGCAGGCACCATGCCTGCCTCATAAGTGCAAGGTCCTGAGTTTGATCCCCAGTACCAAAAAAAAGAAAAAAGAAAAAAAATAAGGGGGCCGGGGATTTAGCTCAGTGGTTCCAGCGCCTGCCTCGAAAGCGCAAGGTCCTGAGTTCGATCCCCGGTACCAAAATAAAATAAACTAAGGGCTGGGGATTTAGCTCAGTGGTTCCAGCGCCTGCCTCGAAAGCGCAAGGTCCTGAGTTCGATCCCCGGTACCAAAATAAAATAAACTAAGGGCTGGGGATTTAGCTCAGTGGTTTCACTGCCTGCCTTGCAAGTGCAAAGACTTGAGTTCGATCCCCAGTACCAAAAAAAAAAAAAAGAAGTTGAGACAGGGTCTCATTAAGTTGTTAAGTTGCTCAGGTTAGGCTTGAACATGCAATCCTCCTGACTCAGCCTCCCAGAATCCTGGGATCAAGTGTATACCAAAACTTCCAGCTAATGACTGGTGTAATAGTTTTCTTTTTTTCAGTCTAGGAAAGCGATAGTAAATATTTTTTATTATACGTTTGCGGCACATAATGATTGCATTTATCCTGGAGAATTGGTGCATGTACATAACACATCTTCCATTTTTTTTTTTTTGAGACAGGGTCTCACTATACAGTTCAGGCCCACTTTGAACTCACGGCAATCCTCCTGCCTCATACACATCTTAATTCTTTTTACATCCCTTTCCCAACCCTCCCTCTATGTCTTTTGATGGTAATTAATAACACCCAAGAAGGCCAGGGATTTAGCTCAGTGGTTTTGCTGCCTGCTGCGCAAGCGCAAGGACCCAAGTTTGATTCCCCCATACCAAAAAACAAAACAAAACAAAACAAAAAAAACCCAAGGGCATGGTGGCACATGCCTGTGATCTAAGCACTTAGGAGGCTGAGGCAGGAGAATTGCTGCAAGTTCAAGGACAGCTTGGGCTACACAGTGAGTTCAAGGTTAGCCTGAACCACATAGCAAGACCTTGTTACAAAACACACACACACACAAAAGAAATTAGTAACAGCCATACTTCTTCCAAAGGGTTTAAATTTCTAAGAGAAGTTGAAGGTGAGACAAAAAAGGCCTTTCCTGCTGGCGAAACACACTTATAATCCCAGCACTCTGGGAGGCTGAGGCTGGATGATTCCCAGACTGACCCTAGCCTGGGAAATTTAGACTATTTTAAAATAATAAAAAACAAAACAAAACAATAATAAAATAAAACAAGAAACAAAACAAAACAAGGGATGGAAAAAGGGCTGGTGGTGTAGCTCAGAGTAAAGGTCCTGGGTTCAATCCCCAGTACTGCAAGAACAGATATCCACAAAAAACAAAATAAAAAAAGGCCCTTTCCTGACATTGGAGCGCCAGGAAGGGGGACAAAAAAAATCAGTCAGGGACAGGGATTTAGCTCAGTGGCACGGTGCCTGCCTCGAAAGCACAAGGTCCTGAGTTCAAGTCCCGATACCCCCCCCCAAAAAAAATCACAGTCAGTATTGGTTATATCCAAGTAGTAAGAATTACTGTTTACTGAAGACAGAGTGTTGAGACCCTGGGCTCAATCCTTGGTGTTACAAAAAAAATATTATTGAACACTACTGTGCTATGTAGGAGTGCCCACTTTATTTTTTTCTGGTGTGGGCTCAAACCCAGGGCAAGTTTTGTACCCCTAAGCTACTTTTTTTTTTTTTTTTTTTGAGACAGGGTCTTGCTATGTAGCTCAGGCTGGCCTCAAACTCATGACAATCCTCCTGCCTCAGCCTCCCAAGTGCTAAGATTACAGGTGTGCACCACCATGCCAGGCTTCAAAGCCAGTTTTTCATTCAAGCAAAACAAGTTGCTTAGGATGAGCCTGGACACGGGCACCTGGACACACCAGGACAGCTGCCCAGGCCAGGGATATCAGATAACATTCTAAGTCTGGCTGGGGATGTTGCTCAGTGGTGCCGGCCCCTGCCTGGCAAGCACAAGGTCATGAGTTTGATCCCCGGTACCAAAAAAAGGGAAACATTCTTAAGTCTGTGGTTAAGTCACAACGTGTGACAGCTCAAGAAGTTGTTAATGAAGTCCAGACAGGCTGAGCCCACCTGTTTTTATCTTAGTAGTTTTATCTGGCTATTATCTCATAAAGCACCTCAATTTATCACCTGGGGGAGCCTTCTATAGGGTTGTGATATTGCACAAATAATAAAACAACTATTTATTGAGCAAAGCACTATGCTATAAATTTTATGGTCCCGAGCTACATCTCCAGGCCTTCCCCCCCTTTCACATTTTGAGACAGGGACTCCACAGCAAGTCCGAAACCGCCTAGGCTGGGGTGGAATTTTCGATCCTCCTGCCTCTGCCTCTGAGTGCTGGGACCACATGTGTGTACCAACCACTACGCCTGCCTTGATAAGTTTTTCTAAGATAAATCTAGTTTCCTAATCACTACAGTTTCCATCTCAGTTACCCTAAGCACCCAACTAGCAGTGCTAACTGGCGTAGCCTCACCTTCCTCCCAAACCCATGGCTTCCAGGATGCTGAGGAGTCGTTTCAGATCTGAATTTACAGTTTTTGGTGGCTCCCTTTTAAATGCTTTCGTCGCTGAAACTACTAAATATGATATTATTGAATCATCTGCGGTTGTTTGTTTTCGTGAGACAGGGAAATCATCTGCATTTTGTAGACATTTTTCCTTCCACACGATTGCAGTGTTAATGTCAGGCCTCCTTTAGGCCACTCATCAAGGCAACGGGCTAAGAATCAATCTTCAACCTCCAAAGTTGGAAAGCACCCGGCGGTCCGGTTCCCCAACACCGCCCACTCCGCCTACACAGCGCGGGCCACACCGGTACCCACCGTCGCGCACACAGTACGCGGTCTCCGGGGGGGCCCAGCCTCAGGACGCGCAGCAGAACCCACGGGCGGTCCGAGACGCGAGGGGGAACACAAGCGAGCGTGGATCGGCAGCTTTAAGGCGCCGATACAGCCGCCCGCGGTCGGGGAACGCCAGTAATCCCAGAACTAGGGAGGCTGAGGCAGGAGGATCGCCAGCCTGGGCGAGCTAGTGAGTTAGCAAGACGGTCTCAAAATAAAAAAACACAAAAGAGCTGGAGATGCAGGTCTGCGCGAAGGCCTAGCCTAGTTTCCCAGCGTCACGCACACAAAGCGCCGAGCACGGAGGCAGGAGCGCTCCGGCCTTTCACGGAGCCCAGCCCGCTCCCGTAGGGGGCCCGGCTGCCTAGCTCGCCGTTGCCACGGACCCGGCAGAGAACCTGCGGCCGCGAGTAAGCGCGCTCCGCCCTGGGGGACATCAGTGAACCGCTCCCACTCTCGGCCGCGCGGCGGGGACCCCGGCCCCACAAAGGGTGCACCCCAAGCCGAGCCGGAGAAAAGGGGCAGCCGCCCCCACCCCCGAGGCCCCGCCCCGCTCCCCACCGCCTAGACGCGCGCCAAAGCTGAGGCACCGCCCCTCCCCCACGGCCGCGCAGAAGCGAGCCCCCGCACCTCCCCCGTTCCGGCGGGCTCGCGTCCACGAGGCCCCGCCTCCGCTCCCGCGACCGCCGTAAAGCCCCTTGGGGCTTGGAGTCCTGTGACTGGTTCTCTGTGCTGTGGCGGTTGGTCAAGGACTACAACTACCAGAACTCCCCGCGCCACCCACACCACGCCCCTAACCACGGGGGCCGGACGCCCCGGACTACACCTCCCGACAGCGCTCGCGGCGCTCCCGCCCTCCCTCCCGAGACACGAGCCGAACTGGGCGTCAGGTCGGGGAGCCGGTCGGGTTCCCGCTCGCCGCCGCCGCCGCCGCCGCCGCCGCCGCCGCCGTCGTCTCCCGCAGAGCCGCTCCCGCCTCTTCGCCGCGCCAGCCGCGGGAGCTACATCGCTCACTCGGCTCGGCTGTAGAGCCGCCAGTCCCGGAGCACCGAGCGCCAACGCGACAAACCGAGTCCCTCGTCACCTTAAGCCGAGGCGACCCCTCCCGGGTCCGCCCTCGCCCCACACGGCCGCCGGAGCCTCCGGTCCAGAGCGGCCCCTCGCCCGCAGCCCGGCCCGGGACTCCCGTGGCCGCCGTCCCCCGCTCGGACCATGGACTCCGACTCCTGCGCCGCCGCCTTCCATCCGGAGGTGAGTGCGAGCTGCGCCCCGGTCGCCCGGCCTCGCCAACTGGACCCCCGCGTCCCCCGGGCGGCCGCCCCCTCCCCCGCTCCGCCTCGCCGCTCCCCGGGCCCAGCCCCCGCCCGGGCCCCGCCGAGTCCCCCGCCCGCCGGCCCTGCCGGATCTCTTCCCCGGGGCGCCGCGCCCACCCGCCCGCGGACGCCCCTCTCCCGCCCCGCGTCGCCCCGGGACTGGGGGCGTCCCCGCCCCCCGCGCCGGCTGCCGCCGCCTCCCCAGCCCCTGGCCCCGGACACGACCCGCCCGCCGCCCTCTCCTGCTCCCCTCTCGGGGTCCCCCGAGCCCTGGGCTTGGGCCCCCCGGACCCGTTCGGCGCCGCTCGGCCCGCCGCCCCCACCCCGGCTCCGGCTCCGGCTCCGGCTCCCGGCTCCGGGCTCCGGCTCCGGCGCGGGCCGCGCCCCGCCCCCTGGCTCCGCGCACGCCCGCCCGGCCCCCGCCCCCTCTGGCTCTCGGGGCCTTGTCCTTGGGGTCCCCCAGCCCCCGGGCAGCCAGTGTCGCCCCAGCCCCCGCGAGCGCGCCCGCAGAACCTCGCCTCCCACCCTCAGGCTTTACTCGCTCCGCCCCCGCTCCCTCCCCCTCCTTCCGGGGATCGGCCTCGGTCCCGGGCCCCCCCTTCCCCTGGCCGCCAGGGTCTGGGTGCGGGTCCGGCAGCTCGGGCAGGCGGGTGGGGGAGGGGAGCGGTCGGTGGCGGCGCCGGGTGCCATCGGGGTTCGCTGCCGCCCGTGGCTTTTGGTGGGGCCTCCCCAGCCCCGGTACCCCCAAATCCTGCCTGCGGCCCGCAGCCCCCACCCCGAGGTGGGCCCCGCACCTTCCGGGCCCGGGCAGGCGGCGCGGGGCGGGCTGCGGCGGAGGCTGCGGCCATCTGCCTCCCTGGGACGGTCCCCTCCCTCCCGGGCGCCGCCTCGACTGGCGTCGACTGTGCGCGGTCCCCGCGAAGTTAAAGTTGTCCCCGAGTTGAGGCCGGGGTGCGGCCCTTGCGTCCGCGCAGGAAGCGCTCGGAAAGGTGGCCGGTCGGGAGCAAGTTGAGAGTGTTTTAGAAAAATGTGGCGTTTTTGGAGGAAAATTTGGGGGGCCTCTGTACGCGCCCCGCTGCTCTCCCCGCTCCTCCACTGAGGGACCACCCCGAGCCTGTCGTCCCCTCTCTCCCTGGCCGGCCTGGGCGCTGCTGTACGGAACCGGGGAGCCTAGGTTGAGGCTGGGGCGGGGAGGGGGGGGGCGGCGGCGGGGATAAGGTGCCTAGGGCAAGCCGCAGTAAATAGTCGGGGATGGAGCGGGCCCGCAGCTGTCTTGCTCGGAGCCACGGAGGCGCCTTCTCCCGGGGAGAGAACCCCTTTCCTGGGCGTGTGTTCCCACTTCCAAGGGGCCAGGGACTCCTGATCAGGAACCCGGCACATCTGAAACGTGCACCTAAGGCGGCAGGAACTTTCCTAGTTCATTCTGGGCCTGGCACCCCAACTCGCGGGAATGGGGAGCCCACCTGAGCCCACAGACAGGGTCCTCACCAGCCCCGGCTGGGCAGCAGTTAGATCTGGAGAGCAAGGACCCATAGCGATTTTTGAAATCATTTAAAATACCACGGTTAACAGCTGTAGCTGAGGGTAGTTTCCAAGTGGAAAATCTGGCAAAAACGTAGTTATTAGAGTCCTGATATGCATTCAGGGTTCGGTAGATAAGGTCAGAAAATGCCTCATGAGTTCCAAGAGGTAGACAGACTTCTGTGCACCCTTTTATCTCCTCGCCAGTTTCCCAGTGTTCTTGGCACAAAATCCTAATACTTCTCTTGCAACTTTCTGAAAACTGTTATTTTTTGACTTGAACTTTGGTTATCGTGTTTCTAGGCTGTAAATGGAGCAGTCTGGGCTTTGAGTGGCTGATGGTAACAGCTCAGCTCCGGCGGTGTTTGTTGTCCCAGGCAGGAGCCTCCCTTCACACTGACCCCTTCTCTCCATCACAGGAGTACTCCCCCAGCTACAAGAGGCGCAGGACCGTGGAGGACTTCAACAAGTTCTGCACTTTCGTCTTGGCTTATGCTGGCTACATCCCATACCCGAAGGAGGTAATTCCGGGCCCTTGAGGACTCTGAGGGCTGGACTGATGACCTGGGGGCTAGCAGGAATCTGGTCCTCAGGAATGGAGGGCAGCTGAAGCTCTGATGGAAAGTGCAGGGTTGGGCCTGAGATTTAGCTCACTGGTGCAGCGCCTGCCTGACAAGCAAGGTCCTAAGTTGGATCCCCAGTAGGGGTGGTGGTGCGGGGTTGTGTACAATAATGGAGCAAGTTTTCAGAATTTATTTGCCAATGATGTGTTTGATATACAGCTGTTGTCCACAATGACCACTGTTTACTGGGTGTGTACTGTGGCTGGCACTGTTCTTGGTCTTCACAGCCATAGGAAGTAGCGCCTACGTGGGTTTTTTTCTTTTTGTCTTTTTGAGACAGGGTCTTTTTTTTTTTTTTTGTACTGGGGATTGAATTCAGGACCTCCAGATTGTCAGGCATGCTCGTTGCTACTGAGCTACATCCCTGGCATTGAGACAGGATCTTGCTGTATAGTTCAGCCTGGCCTTGAACTCTTTGTAGTCCACCCTGGCCTCGAACTTGCAGTGATCCTCCTGGCTCAGCCTCCTGAGTGCTGGGATCACAGGCATGTGCCACCATGCCCACAGCTGCTACTTTTCAAATCCCAATTTAAAGACGAGGACATCTGGGCACTGAAAGGGAGCTACCTAGGGCCAGGGATTTACCTCAGTGGTTCCGCCACCTGCCTCAAAAGCCCAAGGTCCCAAGTTCGTTCCCTGGTACAAATGAAAAAAGAAAGGGAGCTACCTTGCCCAGGGACTGGGGACCCCTGGTTGTCGAGAGCACCCCATCACTGCATCTTCAGGGATTTGTGCCCTGCACCCCATGTGAGTGGACAGTTTTCTTTTTCTGAGAAATGGTTAGGACTGTGGTCAGCTGCTGTGGGGCTCAAACTTTTCAGAGGCCTTGTTGCTATCATACTAAGCTACAAATAGAATCCAGTGCTTTTAGGAAGCAAAATCATGGCATTGGTTTCTTTCCACTTGTCATATAGGTAGATAATGTGCGCTTTGTGCCATGTAGAATGTTGCTACTGTTTGCAAATAACATGCTTGACTGACCCAAAGAACCAGAGTTTAGCTTGCTGCTTTGGGGCTGTAATTACCTACTTCGATTTTGCAGTATTTTGGGATATCTCCAAGTTTTTATTTTTTTAAATAGGAAATTCTCAACTTCACTTAATCCACAAACTTACCTTTAAAAAAGGGGGGGGGCAGGGATTTAGCTCAGTGGTTTAGCTGCCTGCCTCCTCACAAGCGCAAGGACCTGAGTTCAATCCCTGGTACCCAAAAAAAAAAAAAAAAAAATATATATATATATATATATATGCACACACACACACACATATATATCTTCTTTTTTTTTTGGTACCAGGGATCAAACTTGGCTCCTTGAGCTTGTGTAGCAGGCTTCAAAACCACTGAGCTAAATCCCCAGCCCCACATATATATCTTTAGGTCAGGTGTGGTAGTGCGCACGCCTGTAATCCTGGCACTCTAGAGGATGAGGCAGGAGGATTGTGGTGAGTTTGAGGCCAGCCTGGCCTACATAGAGTTCAGTGTCAGCCTGAACTACATAGCAAGAGCCTGTCTCCAAAAAACACACACGAAAAGTACATCTTTAGGGAGGACAGAGGAAAGGGGAGAAACTACAGTGAGGGGAAAAGAAGTGGCTACTTTTGTGGCTTGAGAGAGGGTCTTGCTGTGTAGCCCAGGCTGTCCTTGAACTTACAGCAATTCTCCTGCCTCAGCCTCCAGAGTGCTGGGATTACAGGTGTGCACCACCATGCCCAGCTGGGCTATTATTTTTCATATGTGGGAGCTGGGGGGCTGGGGATTTAGCTCAGTGGTTCCGCTGCCTGCCTTGCGAGTGCAAGGTCCCGAGTTTGATCCCTGGTACCAAAAAAAAAAAAAAATCCAAATATATGTGGGAGCTGGGGATGGAACTCGGGGCTCCCTGCGTGAGCTGAGAAGGTGTTACGCTACTACACCTCCTCCCCAGCCCCTTTCCTGGGTGCTGACAGCAGCCGCTGGGTCCTGGCTCTAGGCCAGAGCCAAGGGCTCCTCTGCTCCTGTGTGGCCTTAAATCTCTGGTCCTCGAGGGTGGTTCCTGCTGTTCTGGTCCTGGCGGGGTGGGCTGGGGAAGCTCTGCTGGGGGCTGGTTCTTGTCATGGCCTGGTTGGAGTAACCAGAACCTGTTCTCTGCCTGGTCCTTTCAGGAGCTCCCTCTGAGGAGCAGCCCCAGCCCTGCCAACAGCACCGCGGGCACTATTGATAGTGACGGCTGGGATGCAGGTTTCACCGACATCGCGTCCTCCGTGCCCCTGCCAGTGTCCGACCGCTGCTTTAGCCATCTGCAGCCCACCCTCCTGCAGCGGGCAAAGCCCAGCAACTTCCTGCTAGACAGAAAGAAGACAGATAAACTGAAGAAGAAGAAGAAGAGGAAGCGAAGGGACAGCGATGTCCCGGTGAAGGAGGCCTACCGAGGGGGCGTGCTGAAGCTGGAGGCTGCAGACCCATACTCTGAGACCCCCGAGAGCCCCGCCCTGCAGGGTCTGCCCCAAGCCCCCAGCGAGCCCTGCTCAGGCTGGGACTCCGACACTCCCTCGAGTGGCTCTTGTGCCACCACTGTGTCACCCGATCAGGTCAAAGAAATAAAACCTGAAGGCAAACGGACTATTGTCCGGCAGGGGAAGCAGGTGGTGTTCCGGGACGAGGACAGCACTGGCAACGATGAGGACATTATGGTGGACTCAGGTCAGGGTCCCTGCGGGGTGCAGATGCCGCTGCCGGTGGATGGGAGGGGGTTGTTGAGGGTCCTGTCTTGGGATCAGCGGCCAGGCCCTGCCTGGGGGAGGGAAAGGTGCATGAGCTGGTGCCAGGGACTTGATTAGGAAGGGGTTCATCCCTGTAGGGACAGCTGGGTTCTGCAGCGCACAGGCTGTAAGGGTGTGAGGGTGCGTGTAAGTGGCCACAGGTGGGTGGTACCTGGTCACCCCACATTGTAGCCTCCTTCGCGGTACACTCGACTTTCAGAGTTGCTGAGTTACCTGGGCTGGGTCAGCTCCAGGAGTGCTGGCTTCCCCTCCTCACATGTGTTCCTTTTCTTGTAGATGACGATTCCTGGGACCTAGTCACCTGCTTCTGCATGAAGCCATTTGCGGGCCGTCCCATGATAGAGTGTAACGAGTGCCACACCTGGATTCACCTGTCCTGTGCGAAGATCCGGAAGTCCAACGTTCCGGAAGTGTTCGTCTGCCAAAAGTGCCGGGACTCCAAGTTTGACATCCGCCGTTCCAACCGCTCCCGAATGGGCTCCCGCAAGCTGTTTCTGGACTGACTGTTGCTGGCAGGAGACTCTGGGCAAGGGAGGGCAAGGGAACAGAAGGGACGGCGCTCTGTGGCCCTCCCTCAGCTGAGCACAGAACTCTTAGCTCGGTGTGGGCAGATCTCTCATTCAGGTGCCTAAGCAAAGGACAGGCTGTCCCAGGTAGAAACTGTACATAGCCAGGGAGCAGAACGCCTTCGTCAGCCCCGGCCGCTGCCAGAGCTGTGTTCCTGGCGGCGGCAGTGGATGAACACCTAAGTGCAGTGGCTTTGTTCAGCTGACAGCGAGGGTACACGGTCCCCGTGAAGTTGTACTGTCGTTGTTCGCCGTTCCCACTCTTCCGAGCCAGTGCTAGCTGTTATCCTGCTTCCGCAGTGCTGGGGAGAGGAGCTACCCGGTCTCCCCAGCCTGCAGACGAACAGCCATATGTGTCTGTTTCTTCTTCGTGTCAGTCTCACCTAAGTGTCTGCACAGTGGATGTCCGAATCACCCCTTCTCTGTGGTCCATGCTCCGCCTGCCTCGGCCGCACCCGAGGGTCCCAGGAGCTGCTGTGGAGTTGGGGGTGGCGGGTGAGCTGGTAGTTCTTTGGTTTCCCTGTTTGCTGAAAGGGACAGGATGTGGCCACCTCTCTGGGAATGGGGTTGGTTGGGGGTCAAGGTGGCCCATGTTCATAACTCAGTTTCCGGTTTTGCACGACATACAAACCTGTCTTTTTGCACGACACAGCCAAAAGTATTGGCCGATCTCTTGCTGGGCGCCCTTTCCCTAGTTGGTGTACGGGTGGGCAGGGGCCCGGGCAGCTGTTGGGAGAGCGGGAGTGCTCAGTTCTCGTCTCTTCCCTCACCTGTTCCAGTAGCACAGGAAGTTAGGCAGTTCTTGGGACTCGGATGGTGGATGGTGTCCCGCAGTAACGGGGCGGGGCAGGAGAACCTTCCTGGTCTGGCCTGCTACTGCACGGCCAGGGTTAGGGCTCTGGCCCTGCTTCTGATATGAACTGCTGTGAGTAGGTGGGGGGTTCTCTGGAGGCGGCCCCAGGCCAGCTGTGGAGGACCCAGGGCCTCAGCTCGGCTGGGTGGGGCTGGAGGCAAAGGGGAGGCCGGTTTTCCGCAGATTGGCACCGGTCCTCAGCAGTTCAGATTCACTCTCAAGCCTGTTTGATAGTCATGGGTGTGTATGCATAGCGCTGTTTCTTCAGGCGCAGAAAGTGTTGTGTTTGCAGCAGCGTGGGTCTGCCCGCCATGGGCCCCTGGGTTCTCTTCCACTTCCCCTGCAGCAGGGCCTGTTTCTTGGCCTGGTTTCTTGCACGTTTGTCCAGTCACCTGTCTTAGCTTTTAAAAATCCTGTTGCTTCTATTAAAGTGTGAAAGTAGAGAGAAAAGGCTTGTGAAACTCAGTTATTGTGAAGATCCTGAAGGAGAATTCTGTAGAGAGACAGCTGGCTTAGACACAGCTCCGGCCTCTGCCTGGGGCGAACCTCTGGGCAGGTTGGGGAGGAGTTTGCCAAATATCTGCCCATGACAATGCCCGTCCTCCAGTCCGCACTGTTAGAAAAACCAAAGTTGCAAAGTGTGTTGCTTCCTTTTTATAGCTCCACGAGATTTTAAATGTGCGTTTGGGAGCCCGCGTGATTTTAGAGCGGAACTGCCAGCTCTGGTGATGGTTATGTGCTCTGGAGCGCATTCCATACTCATCTCAGTCTGTCCCGATTTGGTTTTGTCCTCTTCACACATCTGTCCCTGTGTCTGGTGCTGGGCACCTTGGTTTTGGGGTGGGTTGAGCTGGGTCACTTCGGTCAGCTTCTTTATGCAAATTAGGCATGACCCAGAGTCTGGGGGCTCCAGGTTGGTGGCGGACGGAGGGTGGCTGTTATCCCTGAGGTTGGCCCCTCTTCCGGGCTTCAGCCAGGCCAGACACTCGCCATCGTTTACGTGGTTCTGTGTAATTACAAAGTTTATGCGTATAAGCGAGCTGTTTCTGTGAAACTGTACATTTTGTAAATAAAAATACTGCTACTTTGAGGGTCCGGTCTGCCCTCAGGCGTGTGTGCTCTCCTTTCCCACGCCAGGGCCACGGGAAGGAAGACTGTGGAGCAGAAGCCGGTGGACAGGTGGGGAAGACCTCGCCCCGTGCACCTTGCTCGGAAGCGGAAGCGGAAGCCCCTGGAGGGCTCCTGCCCGGGAAAGCTGTGGGCTCTGAGGAGCCAGGCCCAAGCTTCCCTTTCTGCCCTTGTGGGGCCCTAAGGCCGAGGGACAGCTTTAGGCGGGTGCTGTGTGGTCCGGCCTGGCCTCGAACTTGGGGTGCAGCAGGGAGGTATGCGAGCTCAGTCCTGTGCCTCGGCCTTCGGCGTCCCTGGGCTACAGGTGTGCGGGTGTCACCCACGTGCTGAGGTCACCGGTGTCTTCCGCCGGCCCGGCGCCGGGACTCCCTCCGTGACGTCAGGGGGAGCCCACACCTACTCAGCAGCTGCGGAAAGGGCAGGTGTGCGCCTTGGGCGGGCCAGAACCGGGAAGCCAGGGGCCGATTCTGCGCGAGTTGGGGCCGGGACCCCACTGACCCGGCCGCCTGTCACTGGCCTGACGCCTGTCCCGAGCCCAGCAAGTCCCCCTCCTGCTCTGGCCCGGGCAGGCCCCGCCCCCGCCCTTGCCCGCAGGCCCCGCGCCGCCATCTTTGTTAGGGGCAGGCCCAAGATGCCGAAGTCGTGCGCGGCCCGGCAGTGCTGCAACCGCTACAGCAGCCGCAGGAAGCAGCTCACCTTCCACCGGTGAGGGGGCGCGCTGGCCCGGGCGCGGGGAGGGCGGCGGCGGGCGCGCGGCCCCGGCCGGAGCGGTCAGTGCCCCGCAGGGAACCCGGCCGCGGCGGGCGCGGGAGGCCGGCGACACTGGCTCTGCCCTGCGGTCCCGCACCCGCCGCCCGGCCCTGCCCGGGGCGCAACCTCCCGAGGCGCCGGGCAGCCGAGCTGGGGCTCCCTGCAGGTCGCAGCGCCCCAGGGCAGGCAGCCAGCGCCTCGTCCTCCCCGGGCTCTTTTTAATGCTTCTTCCGAAGTCAAACACCCACGCAGAAAAGTGCACGCATCGGTACGCAGCCCAGCGCTTCACGCTGCATAAGAACATCTGCACCCCCCCCCCCAGGAGACCCCAGCCCGGACCCCTCGTCCTTCCTCTCCCACTGCCCGCAGGGATCCAGCTCGCTTTCTGTAAGAGCGGATTGCTTGAGCCTGCTCGGTGCTGGAGTCAGCGCGTGCTTTCTGTCCTGGCTCCCCATTGCGTTTGTGAGAGGCCTTTCTTGCAACGTGTGGTAGCTGGCATTCCTTTTCAGGGCTGCAGTCTTCCATGAATGCATTTACGGGAATTTATCTGGTCTACAGTCGAGGGGAACATTGGTAGCAACGGCGAGGCAAACACTGCTGAGGATAGTTTGTAAGAACCTCTCTCCCAGAGCGTGCATCTCTGCTGTTAGCTTGTGCCTGGGTGGGAGGGACCACCTCGATCTGTCCCCAGTGACCCTTACGATGAAAGTCCAGTAGTCTGACCTCATCTGGTTCTTTTCCCGTGCTGGACATCAAACCCACAGGTGCTCTGCGGCTGAGCTACCTGCCAGGCCCTTTTTACTGTATTTTTAAAATTTTAAGGGCAGGGGATTTAGCTCAGTGGTTCCGCCACCTGCCTTGAAAGCGGAAGGACCGGAGTTCGGTCCCCGGTACCAAAAAAAAAAAAATTTTGAGACAGGGTCTCTCTGAGTTGCCCAGGCAGGACTTGACCTTGTGATCCTCCTGCTTTAGCCTCCCAAAGCGCTGGATTACAGCTGTGCACCACCGCGCTCAGCATTTGAGGCGGCTGGTCTCTTGTCCTGTGTGGCTCCGAGGACACATCTTGGTCCCCTTTGTCCTAGCTGTGCCTTCTCCGCCTCCTTTTGCTGGATTCTCCCTTTTCCGTCTCACCTTTTTTCACCCTTGGTTCTAGGGATTGAACTCAGGGCCTTCACACTAAGCTCCATCCCCAGCTGTTTTGAAATTTTTCATTTTGAGACAGGGTCTCTCTGAGTCACTAAGCTGCCTGGGCTGGGCTTGAGCTTGCCACCCTCCTGCCTCAGCCTCCCAGAGCGTAGTGTTGGGGTGCTGGTGTGTGAGGCACAGCTCAGTGCGTCCCCCCCAGGGTCATAGGTTCACAGACACTGGGCCTGCTGCCACCTCAGCACAGGGACAATCGAAAGTGTTTTGAATTTCATTCCTAAAACACGAAACAAACTCCAGATCGCCCAAACAGGAAACTATAAACCCCCTTCCTCCTGGACAGGAAACTCCTTTCTTTTGTTTTGTTTTGGAGACAGGGTCTTGCTATGTAGTTCAGGGTGACCTTGAACTCACTACGTAGCCCAGGGTGGTCAACTCAAGGCGATCCTCCTGCCTCAGCCTCCTGAGTGCTAGGACTACAGGTTTGGGCTGTCGAGCTGGCAGGAAACGGCTTCCTTCTGTTTTGGAGGCAGAGCCCCCAGGTGAACCTCCCTGCCTGGCTTCCGGATGGGCCTGAGGCCCTGAGTCTGGTGTTTGGTCTGGCACTTGCTCAGAATGAGGCCCCTTGGACAGACATCTGAACCCCCCATCTCGCTCCTGGTGTCTCTTCCACAGCACCCGGCTGGCTCGCCTGCTTCCTGCAGTGTCTGCTGGAGAGGCGCCACCCCCCTTTTTTTTTTTTTTAGGAAAACCTCTATGGGCACACTTCAGGCATACGTAAGGATAGCTCGTAGGAAATCCGCTCTGTACGAGACACATCCCGCCTCTTTCTTTCCCATTCCTCCTCCCCATGTACAAAAGCATTGTTTCCATTTTTTTCCTTCTGTTTTCACTTTTTTCTCATCCCTTCCTTCCTTTCCCCCAACCCCCTCCCTTGTCCCCTTTCTCATTTGAACACTTTCTTCCCTCAAATGTCACCTCTTAGCTTGGCACAGTGGTGCATATCTGTAGTCCCAGTTACCCACGAGGCTGAGGCAGGAGGACTGCAAGTTCAAGTCCTGCCTGGGCAACGTGGTGAGTTTGTCCCCAAACAATAAAAAGCCTGAGAGTGTGTCTGAGTGCTAGAGCACTGGCCCAGCATGCTCCACCCCAGCACCGCAGAGGAAGTTGTCTCTGTGGGTGACTGTCCCCGACAGCCTGGTGCTCCCTGCTGTGTGCCCTCAGCAGTCACTGCCCCAGTCTCCGCCTGCTTGCTCTGTCCTGGTCCCTCCTCTCCAGAGTGGCCTTGAGTCACTCCCAGGTCCCTTGCCTGAGATCAGGGCCTGGCCCACAGCTCCTGCCTGAGTGGGAGGCGGCTCCAGGCATGCATGTGCTGCTTGGGAAACAGCTCACTTGATTCCTACTCAGGGTGCCATTAAAAGAAAAAAAGCTGGCTGTGGTGGTGCACACCTCTAATTTCAGTACTTGGGAGGCTGAGGCAGGTGGATCCCCTGGAATTCGAGGCCAGTCTGGGCTACATAGTGAGTTCAAGGCCTGAACTGCATAGCTAGAACCTAAGAAAAAAAAAAGGATGCCTGTAACAGCCATGACACAAGCTTCCAGAAATGAGATGTCTGCTCCCAAAGTGAGATTCTGGATTTCCAAAGCTGTCCAGTGCAGTCCCCCACGGCTGAGGCGGGGTGACCTTGCTCCTTCTGTGTCCAGGTTCCCGTTCAGCCGGCCCGAGCTGCTGAAGGAATGGGTGCTCAACATCGGCCGGGCTGACTTCAAGCCCAAGCAGCACACGGTCATCTGCTCCGAGCACTTCCGGCCCGAGTGCTTCAGTGCCTTTGGGAACCGCAAAAACCTGAAGCACAATGCTGTGCCCACCGTGTTTGCCTTCCGGGAGCCGGCACAGGTAGGGACCATGGCAGGAGCTGGGCGGGCAGAGGCCCAGGAGAGCAGGGCAAAGAGCAAGGCGGCCGCAGAGGCCTTCAGCCCTGCTGACCCCGTCCTGTGCTTTAGGAGAACTTTGGAATCTATGTGGTTTTCTTTTTTCCAAAAAAAGGAAGCTGAACAAGGAGGTTTATTTGAACCCAGGAGTTTGAGGCCAGCCTGGCCACGGAGCAGACTTCATCTTTTTTTTTTTTTTTGGTACCAGGGATCGAACTCAGGACCTCTCGCTTGCCCGACAGGCGCTGTGCCGCTGAGCAAAATCCCTGGCCCCTATTTTGTTTTTTGAGATGAGGGGTCTCACTGTGTAGCACAGGCTGGCCTTGAACTCACAGCAGTCCTCCTGCCTCAGCCTCCCCAGTCCCGGATTCACAGGCATGCACCACTGCATCTGGGAGACCTTGTCTTAAAAAATCAAATCATGCTGTTGTGTGCAGCAGGGTGCTGTTGAGGCAGCTGAGGGGTCCGTGCTTGGAGTGGGGGGCTGTTCCGGGGTCCTGCTGGCTGAAGCTGCTTGGTGGAGACACCTGCTGGAGGCTCAGGCTCCCACCTGCATCCAGACCCAGTGCTCTGTATGTTTCCGGTCAGGCCCCTCTGGGTGCCGTGCATGCCCCGCTGGGCCTGTGTGGCGTGGGCAGAGATGGAGGGGCCCTGGGCACAGTGGGCAGAGGCTGCGAATGGTAAGAGCAGGGCAGGGTGGGAGCAGTGCCGTGTAGCTGTGTGGATGGCGAGCAGGGTCAGGCGACTTAGCTCAAGTGCCCAACTGCAGCTGAAAAGCACTTCTCTCGGGGCCCGGGACTGGAAGTCAGAGCTCAGGTCCCAGCACAGGTGGCTGCTAGTGTCGCCCTGCATGGTGTGCGGTGGCAGACAGTAGAGATGCGAGACGCCACCAGGGGGCCCTGGCACTGGGCCTCAGCTCGTGACCCTGGGGCAGCGGAGGGGTGAGGTGGCTCTGGAAGGCTCAGGGCAGCTGCAGGTGGAGTGGCTGGGCGCAGGCTGGAGGGCAGAGGGCTGCTCTTACAGATCTGCTGGGCTGAGAGGCGGCGGGGCCCGAGATGGTTTTGGGCAGCCAGATCGTGATGGGGGTGTGGAGATGTGGGGGAACTCAGGGGGGCTGGCCACTGAAGCCACGCGGTGTCAGTCCAAAGTGGACAGCCCATGAGCCATGGGACAGACGCAAGGCCAGCGGGCACCGGTGTTTGATTTTCTTGCGACTGAGAGGAGGGAAGCTGAGTGCAGAAGAAACCATGCTCGGAATGTGAGGCCGTGGCCAGGCGTGGTGGTGCACACTTGCAATCCCAGCGCAAGGGAGGCTGAGGCAGGAGGATCGCCTTGAGTTCGCGGCTGGCCTGAACTACATAATGAAACCTTGCCTCAAAAAACCAAGAAAAACAAAAGTGAGAAGAACTTCCTGCCCGGGACCTGCATGGTGGTCCCGGCCTCTGCCATGTATCCACCCGCTGCCCCTCATGTTGCAGTCTCTGTCCCTTCTGTCCCAAGCCCCCAGCCGAGTCCCTGTCTGCCGGCCCCGCACAGTTCTCTTGCCTGCCCTGTCTTTCTAGTGCTGACCTAGCACTGGCTGCCTTCAGCTGCCCTTGGGGCGGGTGCTCTGTCCCTGTGGGTGGCTCGTGGCTCTGTGACAGCAGGGCCCCTCAAGTGTGCGTGCCAGTGGATGGTGGTCATTTAGGCCCCGTCACACAGGTATGGAGTTTGGTGGCCCAGGCTGACACCTGCCCACTGCGGTCCCCGGCATCTCCATGCCAGGGGGTGGGAGAAGCTGGCAACAGGGCCCTGTGGCCACTGCTCCATCCCTGGCCTTCACCACTTTGTGGTGCCCCGCAGGGTGGGGTGACAGAGACCTGCTCATGAGCTCGGACCCATGGCTTGGGGATGTCTTGGAGAGGGGACACCAGGTGGACAGTGAGGCAGCTGGGCTGGGACCCAGGCTGGCTTCACTCATGGACGCTTGCTGGTGTCCTGGCCGGGCCACGGCTGGCTGGGCCCCACCACCCGAGCTGTCTGTCTTGCAGCTGGTGCGGGAGGACACGGAGCCTGCGGGCAGCAGAGAGGCCGACTCTCAGGAGGAGGTGAGCCTGCACTGGGCGTCCCACTTCTGTGTGCTTCGGGGCTGGGCCAGGGGCAGTGAGGCCGCCTGCCAGGGTCCCGTCCTGCACCGGGGACCTCAGGGATCTCTTCTCAAGGCTCTCTCTGTCCTGGACATGGGAGGCCGACGAGGCGGCCGGCCCTGGCTCAGCTCTCATGAGGGATTACTCGGGGATGGACCGTGGCAGCTGTGGGAGACTCTGGTCTGCTGACTCTGCCTGCTGTCCCCAGGTCTGCCCCTCGGTGGGGGTTGGGGAGCCCAGCCCTGCCCAGGGCACGGACGCCAACCTTGAGGAGCAGCAGCTGCTGCCCAGTGCCAAGGGCCTGGTGTCACAGGTACAGCGAGGGGTGTGTGGGGCTCTGCTGGCTGCAAGATGGAGCTGCCAGGCCCCAGAGCGCACCCCAGCGCCAGGAGCAGGGGGCCCGTGATGTTCCCTCGGGGACCCAGCCTGTGTAGCCTGGGGACAGTAGCACAAGGTGGTCTTTCTGCACAGGGCTGCTGCCAGGCTAATTTGCTGGTGGCCTCCCTGCCCACCTCCCCGCTAGGACACTTCCTGCTGGGGACACAGGGCTGCCCAGGCTTCTCCTGCTCCCTCTGTCCCCAGGCTGTGCCACTGAGGCTGGAAACCTCTGAAGCCCCCGGCGCACCTGCCAGCTGCTCGGGGCCAAGCAGACTCCACCCCAGGCAGGCGTGGGATCACAGCTACGCCCTGTTGGACTTGGACACCCTGAAAAAGAAGCTGTTCCTCACTCTGAGGGAGAACGAGAAGCTCCGCAAGCGTCTGAAGGCCCAGAGGCTGGTAATGCGCAGGATGTGCAGCCGCCTCCGAGCCCGAGGGGCCGGGCCTAGGCTGCAGAGCTGAGCCCCAGGGGCTCCGGCTGTGGACACGGCTCCGCACTGGCACTGAGCTGTGGGCAGAGGCGACAGCCAGGCCACCTGATGAGCAGCACGCGCACCTGAGGCCTCAGGAGGGACAGCAGGGCTGCACTTGGGCTGCACACCAGGGCCAGGACCCGAGGGAGGCTGCCCCTCAGTGCTGCCAGCGTCCTGGGCGGCCCAGTGTGGAGCTGCCTGCCTCCGGGCCAGAGCCTCCCCAAGCACAGGCCGAGGCACGGCTCTTGCCCCCAGGGGACGTCCTGGTCCTGGGCGGCCATGGAATGCCGCGACTTTCTACACTGCAGGTCTCTCCTTCCTTTAGCTTTCTGTCTTGTGTTTCCTGCTGCTAAGTCCGTGACTTCCTGTTTTCTTCTAGAGCACAGGCCAGGATGACTGACTGGCTACAGGAAAATTGTGACTAAGCAAGAAAAACCAAGAATCCTGGCCTCCCTGCTGTCCCAACTTGAGGCCTGTTTCTCGGGCGGACCCCGGGTGCGGTGAAGTGGCAGTTCCGGGTCTGGGTCCAGAAGGGAAGATGGGGTCTGCCCCAGTGGACACGCGGGTAATGAGATGCGCACCGCACCGGGCTTTCAGCCGTTTATTGCAAAGGCGCCAGGGCAGCGCAGGCCATGCGAGCCCGGCCACCCAGTGGGGCTCATGCAGCACCGCCGTGTGGCGCTGGCAGAGAAACTTCCTCTTTTTAATTTAAAAACGGAGATAAATAGGACAGAACTGGTTAGCCTGGGCCACTTTAAAAAACGGGAGGAAGAGGGCTGTTTGTGGTGGCGAGTGCTGCCAGCCGGTGCCGGGCCCAGATCCACACTTGGGCTTGGCAGGCTCGGCAGGCCCTGCTGGCTCTGCCCTTTCCTGGGAGGCCCCATGCTGAGCACACAGCTCTGCAGCTCCATAGGCGCCTAGGCCAGGGAATGATTCAAAAGGCCCCGAGGCAAGAAGAACAGACTCCTCTCCAGCCGGTGCCCTCAGGCTGCCCAGCACGCTCAGCAGAGGAAGGGCTGCTCAGCAGAGGAAGGGCTCGGTGCGAATCCACTCCCAGGTGCCCAGGTCTGGGGGTCTGGGCTGCGAACCGCATCCTCACTGTGCTCCCTGCACTCCGTGTCGACTTGCGAGACCAGGACGCCCTGACAGCTCTGTGTGGCGACCCTCCAGGGACGTGACCCCGGGGGCCTGCGCCTGGCCCAGTCCTCCCTGCAGCACCCATGTGTGGTGTCTGCATATCCCTGCACAGAATTCATACGGTACCATCTTCTAGTGGAATAAAATAAAATAGAACATCTGATCTCTGGGGTTTTCCCGCTTCCAAATTTGTAGACTCCCAGGAAAAGGTTTCTCGAAGTCTCTTCCAAACCAGGTCCTCAAGCAGCTTATCCATCTGTGTCGATCCTGTGAGCTGTAACGGAAACAGCAACGCAGGCTGTCACAGGCGGCATGCGCCAGGCTGACCCAGGGGCCGGAGGCCTGCTGCCCCCAGCCACAAGCCTGCTGCCAGCCCGGTGCTCCTGGGACGCCCTTGGGGAAGGGGCCCTGCTCCCAGTGCAGGTGGGGAGGGAGGGGATGCTGACAACCTGCCGAGTGCAGCCACTCACACTGCCTTGGTACCCGCAGGGCCTCGCTGTCGGGCACCGTCACCTGGTGCAGCACACCCCGGAACTGGTACAGCACCCGCAGGCTCTTCTCCTCCCCCACGCACGGGTCGTAGAAGCCGGGCAGCCCCGCCTGCAACACACACACCATCTGCACCCCATGGCGAGCTATGCGCGGGAGCTCCAGGGAGAGGCGAGGGTCAGTGCTGCCCAGGCAGCGGGACACTGGGTCTCGTGCAGGCTGCCTGGGCCTGTGATTCCCCTGGAGCCCCAGCCAGGCAGGGGGTGAGACTCCGGCTCCCCACAGCCTCCTTCCTGGGAGCTGTGGCGCAGGGGCACGTGCTAGCCATGTGGAGGCCGCACGGCTGTGGCACGGCTGTGGCACGGCCGCCCCGCTCTGCGCCTGTGGGCGGGCGCACCTTGGAGGCCTCGGTGAGGATGAGCTTTGAGTCCTTCACCAGGCACTGCAGGGGCACGGCCACATCGATCACCTTCACCTTCTCGCTCCTCCTGCTCTTGTCGTTGATGAACTTCCCGTACCAGGCATTGACGATGATGAGCCCTGAGGGCACAGGGGCAGGACACTGGGCCTCCTTGCCGGTGGCCCCCAGAAAGGGGAGCTGTGGGGAGCCTGGGACCCTGGGCCCACCCGGCGGGAGGCGCCTTCTCACCCATTCTGGACTCCTCGGCCTCGATGATTCTTCGGACAGATTCCTGCATCAGACGAACCTGCGGAGGACAAGACGGGTGGCGTCGGGCCGCACGCCGGCCTGGGCTGTGCTGGAGCAGGGCTGCCCGGTGCTCAGCCCCACAGTGGCAGAGCTTGCTGCGACCAGAGCAGGGGACACTGGTGACCAGAGGGTCGCTACCCAGAGAGGCTGCACCTGAGAAGTGGCACCCGCCCCTCCCAGGTACACGCCCAGGTTCGCGCCTCTCCACCGTCCTGGCCCACGGGAACCCCGCCACACGCAGCCCTCTGTCCAGGTGTCTCTGGCTGTCCTGCCCGTGAAGGGAAGACATCAGGGACAGCACTCCCCAGCCACTTCCGCTCTCTGCGGTGCTGAAACCAGGGTGCCATCCATTCTAGGCCAGCGCTACTGCCGGGCCAGTCCCCAGCCCATATGGCTTTATTTAAACGATGCTAAGGATTGAACCCAGGTCCCCCGCACTGAGCTACATCTCCAGCCCTGCTTTTTACTGTCAGGGACTTACTACATGGCTTAGGCTGGCCGTGATTGACAGTGTCCTGCCTCAGCCTCTCAGAGTGCTGGGATGACAGGCATGTGGCACCACACCGGCCCCTGTCACCTTTTAACTTTGGGACACCTTGGGAGGACTGCCCGCACCTCCAGGACAGGGGCCGACTGACGTTCCCAGTACTGTGTCCCCGGCTGAAGGGTGAATGAGGTTGCTGGGGAAGAGAAGAGCTATGGCCTGAGACCTACAGGGCGAGAGGCACGGGCGGCAGAGGAGCACCTTCCTGCGCCCAGCTCTGCACAGGAAGCGGGGCGTCCAGTGAGGGGAGGGACGGCAGGCAAGGGAACTTACAGCAGCCTCCGCCTCCTGCTTCTTCTGCAGGATGTCACTGGCAGTGCTTTCCCTCTGCTTTTCCAATTCCCTTTTGAGAGAAAAGCAAAGCCACACATGAGCATGGTGTCACCCTGCGGTGGGTCAATGGTGCCATGCTGGACTCTGGGCGGCACTGAGCTCAGTGCAGCTCCAGTCCCGGAACTTGCCCCTAGGCAGGCCTGTCAGTCGCAGGCCCAGGCGCTGCACCCCACCGCCTCATGGGCCCTCGGGGACCACTTCATCTCGGGGGAAGGGCCCCGCCTGGCGAGGGAGGGCCCCCGACCCTGGCAGCCTGCCGTGCCGTGCCGTGCCGTGCCGTGCCAGGACCGGGTCGGGTCGGGGACCAGCACGCACATGTGCTTCCCAGTAGCAGGCACAGGGCACGGGCCCACGGAGGCCTGAAGACAGTGCGTCTGCCCCTCAGGGATCAGGGCCCTGGACTTCGGGAATCCAGGGGCCGGAGGGCTTCCTCGCCGGGTCCACTAAGCTGTGCTCTGAGGAGGAGGTCTCGGAGAGCCCCTCATGCTCCCGTCGCAGCGGGGTTGGTGCTGTCACTGAGGGGCCTCGAGATCACCTCCAGGGACCGCGGCCAGGCTTTCGGTGGCCCCGGGAGCAGGGCACCTGCTCCTCAGGCAGGAGAAGTGGTTGGTTGGGATGAGAAAAAGGAGCTCCCCCCACCCTTCCCTTTTGGGGCGGCACCGGACAGAACCCCAAGGTGCTCCACTACAGCTACGCCTCCAGACCTTTTAGATCTTCTTTTGAGACAGGGCCTGGCTAAGCCACCCAGGTTGGCCTCGAGCCTTCAAGTCTCCTGAGTAGTGGGGAGTATAGGCATGTGCCACCATGCCAGGCTGAAAACATTATTTCTTGTGGTCATGGTTTTGTTTCAAATTCTTCCCCCTTGTACTGGAAACTGAAGCTTTTGGACTGAGCGACATCCCCAGCTCTTTTTACTTTGAGACAGGGTCTCACTAAGTCACTGAGCCCAGGGTGGACTGAACTTGTGACCCTCCTGCCTCAGCCTCCCGAGTGCGGGATCACAAGTGTAGGCCACCACTCCTGGCTAGGACTTCAGCTTTTAAGTGGACTCTAGTCCTTTCTGAAAGTGGGATAACACGTCTGCTGCTGCACACAGTCGCGGAGCACCGTGAGGATGCAGACACTGTGCCCGGTGGTCAGCACGCCCTAACCGCCACAGTTTCCTGGGGACAGGCTCGGCTGTCCCAGTTAGATGTGGGGGCTGGGTGCGGGCTGAGACTCACTTCTCCTTCTGCGCCCTGAGGTACGGCTTGATGATGAGGCGGTGCATGGCGAAGTAGACCACCAGGGGCCCCACAGTGGCGTAGAACATGGCACTGGGCAGCAGCTGGTCCGTCAGGTGGATGGGGAAGAAGTAGGTCTGGCTGGCCCTGCTCAGCCTGGGGACAGACAGCATGAGGTGAGGCCGGTGTGGACCCACCCTGGCCCCTCCACGGGACCCCAGTCCGTAGCTCAGGTGCCAGGACCACTTTGGGCTGAGCTCAGGGCAGAGCGACACCATTCCCAGGGCAAGAAGTCTGAAGATTCAAACCCTAGTGGAGGAGGAGGCCGGTTCCAGGCATGGCCGGCCGAGGGGCTCCTGCTGGCTGGCTGGCTGTCCTAAGAGCAGCTGGGACTCAGCCACTCAGACAGACTTCACTCACTCTTCAAGCTCGTCTTGCTCTGTCGGCCAGGTTGGCCCTAACCTCCTGGGCTCAAGTGATCCCCTTGCCCTAGCCTCCCTGTGTACTACCATACTACAACCGAGGTTCATACCCCACCCCCCCGTACCGGGAATCAAACCCAGGACCTTGTGCTTGCAAGGCAGGCACAGCACCACTGAGCTACATCCTGGCTCCTTATTTTCTTAACTTTCAAGAGTCTTAAAAGTTGCTAAGCTGCCTTGGCTGGGCGTGAACTTGTCGTCCTGCCTCAGCCTCCCAGAGTGCTGGGATCCCAGGTGTGCCCCATCACGCCTGGCTGTAATGTTGGTTTAAGATAAACACTTCGTGTGATTTACCAAATACACAAGATATAGGAACGAGGTCAGCAAAGTACGACTGTGCTGTGGTTGACCTCCAGGGGCTTCTGGCTAAGCTCTGGCTGATGCAGGTGAGCACCCCTGATCTGGAAACCCACGCTGCAAACCAGACGTCGGAGTGCCAGTGTGACGGCCCAGGTGGGAGTAAAACACAGGCGCACTAGAAGCAGTGTGTGGTGCCTTTGTGGCTGCGTGCGAGGTGTGGGAAGGGGACGGCCTGGCGTCGGGCCGATCCCAAGACAGCTTGCTGTGCGTGTGCAAGTGACCCGACTCCGAGGCCTGCACACGCCAGCCAAGGGACACTCCACGTTGGCGTGTGCTGCCAGGATCAGTCTGCCGCACTGCCGCACAGGCTGGCGGAAAGGCGCTGGGGGGGGCACCCCCGGGTCATGGGAGAGGGCAGATGGGACGGCCTCTAGCCGTTCTGAGTCCCTTGGTAGAGGGTAGAGGGAGGGTATGCGTGAGTCCAGTCACTGCCTCACGGAAGGCCGGGAAGTCCCACCCAGGAAGCAGCCACCTGCGGCTCTGGCTGGAGAGCACCCGGCCGGCAGTCGGGGCTTTGGCTTCTTTGCTGTTGTGCTAGGATCTGACCCCGGCTCACAGGCCCTACCCACGACAGGCGCCGAGAGCCGAAAGACCCCTCTGCCTGTGTGGAGAGCGACTCGGCCAGGAGACAGCTGGGGCGCTGCAGTCTCTGACAGGGCAGGCAGCACAGGGCCCCGTGATCCTTCGATGGCAGGTGCAGATGCATGTGTGTCAGAGCCAACAGGACCGTGGGCAGGTGTGGAGGGGCCAGTGGCGGCTGCAGCGCTTCACTGAGATGAGCGGGGCCCAGGTTGTGCTGGACGAGTGACAGGTGATGCCTGAGGTGCTGCTGGCCCCAGGCTGAGATGTGGAAGCATCCTTGGGGAACGGGGGGCACTAGGTCTCAGGCCCGGATCCCAAAGTCTATGGCACGGGACCCACATACCCTCCCGTCACTGCTGGTCACCTCCAGAGGTGATGCAGATGCCACAGTCTCTTAGAGAACAGCAGCAAGCAAGAAAGAGGCCGGCACACATTCAGTACAGCGCAATTTTCCCCTAACATTTTCCTCTTCCTCCCTGGTGGCACAGGGGATTGAACCTGGTGCTCTGGCACTGAGCTGCTCCCCTAGCCCTTTTAGTTTTCATCTTGTGACAGGGTCTCACTGAGTTGCCCAAAAGGAAAAGTACTGGGACTGCAGGCATGTGCCACCAAACCTGGCTTTTTTGTTCTTTTGGGACAGGTTTTGCTATGTAGTCTGGAATTCGTGATCCTCCTGCTCCAGCCTCACGAGAGCTGGGATTACAGTGACCCCACACGATGTGCCACCATGCCTGGCTCCAAGCATTTTCAGCTGGGGGTGGCTTGGTCCCATAGATGCGGGTCCCAGGTCTGCACACGAGTGGAGACTCAGGAAGGGCCGGGCCGCTGTCATGGGGAGTGTGCAGCGCCTGAAGGTACGGGAGTCACGAGGCTAAGGTCCCAGAGAGTGGGCCCAGCGGAGGAGGCCTGCGCCCCGGGGGCTCCAGGTAGCACCCAGCCAGTAGCACACTTCAGAGCTAGAGCGCAGCGTCCTGGGCCTGGCACAGGGAGGCTGCAAGGCAGGGGGAACTGGCCACGGACTGAGGCCATGGAGACCACACCAGACGGGAGCAAGCTGCACCCTGATCTGCATGCTGTGGGGGGGCGGGTGCCTCCACCGGCTGAGAAGGGCCATTTCCGGGAGGCTGAGGAGCATCTGCTTGGGAAGCAGAGGCTGCGGTGGCTCCTGGTGCTGTGGGTGTGGTCACCCAGTGCAGCAGGGAGGTGGCCAGACCAGACCTCCCTAGCTCACCGCCTGAGCCTGCACCGACCTCTGCTTAGGAAGCCACACAGAGCAAGCGGAGCTCCAGGACCTGAGCTGCAGTGCACGAGTGCCTGAACCAGGCCTGCGGAGCCCACGGTGGGCGGAGGCAGACTTACTTGACCTTGAGAGAGACGCCCTGTGGGACTCCGATGCTCACGGCCAGGCCCAGGACGCTGTGCCTGGAGATCTTCCGCTCGGCTCCGTACTCCACCACTGTCCCGAAGAAGCCTGCCCTGCGGGAGCAGAGTGGGACCATCAGCGCCTGTGTCCCTCCAGGCACCACCCAGGCTACTGACACCCACCTGCCAGCCAGCCGCTGGCCCACCATACGACTTACTTAAGGGAGCCTTTCACCCGAGTCTGGTCGTCATCCTGGAACTTGTGCTGGTAGCTGATCAGTGCAAAGGAGTGAGGGATCCCCAGCTGAGGAGACAGGGACAGGGCCTGGGTCCCTGCAGCCGGGCACCAGCTCTGGGGCCCACTGCCCATGGCCTCTACACTCAGTGGTGGGCCAAGGGCATGGATATTTATGTGTCACTAGTACAGCCACGGGTCAGGACAGGTTCTGAGGAACACGTCCCATGTCACATAGTAATGCACTCACACAAGCTCAAGATGTGACGCCTGATGTTTAAATGCCACCTTGTTTCTCTGGTGTGAGAAACCGAAAATGGAAGAAAGGAGCAGGGTACAGCAGATATCAGAAAATGGGAAGAAAATGTTCAAACGAGAAGGGGAACAGGGAACAGGGAGGGGGAAAGGAGAGAAGGGACAAGGGAAAAAAAAGAATAGAAGGAAAAGATGTAAATAAAGCTTTTGTAAATAAGGAAGAGAAGATGGATCGAAGTGGGGAGGGAATTGGAGAAAAAGAAGAAAACAAGATGTATCACAGCAGGTACAGAGTCCCTATGATGAATGCTATCATTATGTGCATCTAAAATGTACCAATAAAGGTTTTGCTTGGGCTGGGGATTTAGCTCAGTGGTTCTGCCGCCTGCCTCGAAAGCACAAGGACCCGAGTTCGATCCCTGGTACCAAAAAAAAAAAAAAAAAAGAAAACAGAACCAGTGAGATGGCATTGGTTGCAATGAACCAAAGGTTTTGCTTAAAAAAAAAAGAGATGTGACTTGTATGCACCAGTTCCCCAAGATGAATGGATTCACTATGTATGGCAAACATATACTAAGAAAACTGAGGGCAAAGAGACTAGGTTAAAAACACACTCTGGCATTTCACACAGAAACCGTTTTCTAGCTTCTTGAAAAACAAAAACTCTGACCCTGTGGTGCCCACACTTCGAGGTAGTGGGCAGGCCAGCTGGTCCTGGACACAGCGGTCCCAGCACTCCACTCTGTGGGCCCCCTGACCGAAGTTAAGACGCCATTCTGCTGCAGGAGGAACCGAACACGGACATGTGGGCCCTGAGAGGCAGTCCTTCCACACGCCTGTCAACCCCACGTGCAGAGCTGCCCACAGCCCCGGGGCTCAGACAGGTGCAGAGCAATCAGGACACGGGAGCCCTCAGTGATGTCCTGAGCCTGCAGCCCCTGTGCTCACCTGCAGGGCCACCGTGAAGTGGCTGGTCTTGGTGTCACGCACGATGCTCGTATTCATGGCCGACTGGATCCCCCACCGCCACTGCAGGTAGCCCACTGTGTTCTTGTCCAGGTTCCGAGCCAGGACGGTGGTAAGGCCAGGCCGGATTCCACGGGACGAAAACTGCAGAGCACAGTTTGTCGTCACAAAGCTGGGGGAGACACAGACAGAAAGGGGCTGAGGAGAGCTGTTTCCAGCTTTCTGTCACCTGCTCAGGGTCACTCCCACAAACCCCTGGGCCAGCTCCTAGTCGGAAGGACAGGAGGCCAGTGACAAGGGAGCGACGGGGTGACCTGCATGACCCCTGCCCTCCCAGGATGCTGTGCTCCCAAGCTGACAGCATGCTCCTCTGAGTTCAAGGTACCTGGGAGGCTCTGTAACAAAGCCCAGGGAGGGCCCGGAGTGCTGCTGCACACTGGCACTGCTCAGCTGACCCGAAGCCAGTCAGCTGGCTCTCAGTGAGCCAGGGCTCTTGATTTCTCCAGGACAGGCTCTCACACGATGCAAATGTGAGAGCGCGAGACCCACTTGCCCCCAGCAACCCCAGGCCAATTAAATCGGAACTTCCAGCTGGCTGCTGGCTTCAGGATGTTGTGAAAAGCTGCCCACAAGATCCTGAAGGAGGGCCAGGGGGTGCGCTGATGAGCGAAGCCAAAGCGCTCTGAAGCGGGCTTCCTAGGGACTGCAGCACCACCTTCTGGCTGGAAAGGGCATTTCGCCCCACCGGCAGGGACAGCGCTTCACTGAAGGCGGGCAGACAGCAGCATCTTCAGGAAACAGACACATACTGCCCGCATGGCCTCGTTCTGCTTCCTTTTCCTTTTGTCGTCTTTTATTCCCCTCTTCAACACTGGGGACTGAACCCAGGGCCTCTGTACTGAGGTACGTCTGCAGTGCTTTAAATTTTTTTTTTAAATTTTGAGACAGGGTCTCGGTAAGTCCCGCAGGCTTCGGTTGAACTTGTCCTCCTGCCTCATCCTGCCAGATTACAGGCATGTGCCACCACGCTTGGGTTCTTTTACTCTTGTGTAATCTCTGTAGGCAAAGCTTTGCCATTAAAGTAATAATTAGTGTGATGATTTTTCCCCTTTCTCTCTTCTTTTCTTGAGACAGTGCCTGGCTATGTAGTCCAGGCTGGCCTCGAACTCACTGTGGCCCTCCTGCCTTGGCCTCCAGCGTGATGGAGTTACAGGTGCACGCTATTTTCACCAGGCATGATGGTGATTCGTGAGGTGTCAGCCGCACCCCTCCACTCCCTGCCAGCAGCTCCACACAGCCCAACGCACTAAGCCCCTCATGAGCCACAGCCCTGCCCGGTAGTCACTCATTTCACACCCAGCTACGCTGGGGCTACAGAGCGAGCACAGGAGAGAGAAGAGTCACCCTCCCGAATTTCAGGAGAAAGCGGCAACCTTTGGTTTGGAGATGGACTCTCACTAGTTGCCAAGGCGGGCTTTGTACTTGTGACCCTGTCTCGGCCCCTGGAGTAGCTGGGATTAAGGCGCCACCACTGTACCAGCTTTGACTGCAGCTTGGACTTGCAAACAACCTGACCTGCAGAGGAGGGAGCCCTGAACAGCGGCCACAACTAGTGGGGTTGCCGTCCATGAATAAACGGTGGCTGTTTATAACCCTCCTGTTTATAAATCTAGATTCTGACTCCTGATGGCCTCTGGGCACTAAACAAAACTCAATTTCCAGACAACAGCCAGCCCTAGCCCCTCGGTGACCATGAATGGGACACTTGAAGTGTACAGTGGGTCCTCAACCCGGGGCTGTGGTAAGGAGGCCCCGGCCCAGGCCGGCGGGGCTGACTCAGCTGCTCAGCAGCACCCAGGGTACATCCCGAGCGGAAGAGGCCAGGACGACGCTGACCTGGACACACCAGTTCTTGCCCCTGCTCGGCCCCGTGACTGGGCTCTCGGCAGACAGGGCCAGGTCACCTGCAAGGGCCCCCCAGGGACAGAGCTCCCACTGGCCCAGCCAAGCCTGCTAGTCCTCTATGAGCTCCTGGGGCCTCTCACCATGCTGAGCCTCCTCCTGCCACCAGGTGCAGGCCCCCCAGAATGGTGCAGACACGGCCCCATGGGGGAATTGGCTTTCGCACGGAGACATGGCTGTGCCTGGGATGCCCGCAGCTGTCTGTCTGCCCAGCACAGGGAGGAAGGATTTACTTCCCGCCTGACGCGGGGCTCTGACGCCCAAGCCTGGCCTCTCCCTGCGGGAAAGGAGGGCACCACTGTTTCCAGGTGAGGATGGGACGCAGAGGCTGGGACAGACACGAGCCTTGCACACCCCTGAGCACTTCAGACAGCTGACCATGTCCCCGCGAAGGCCCCTTCTCCATCATCTGGGGGCTACAAGTGTGGAAACTGCTCAGCAAGGACGTAAGGGCTGGCCAGGCTGGGCCCAGAGTCCCCCCCACTCCGGGCTGAGCCAGGGCCGGGACCTGTCCCCACAGTGCTCAGCACCCTCAGGACACTGTGAGCCAGGTGACCACGAGCACAGAACACACGGGCTCTCATCTCTGACGTCTACTGGTCTGGCCGGGAGCAACAGCTCTTGTGTTTACCATCTCGGGGTGAGATTGCGGAACAGCTTGAGACCAAACAACGGCCCCTGGAGGTCACCAGCTCCGAATTCCAACTGAGAGAGAGAGAGAGAGAGAGAGAGAGAGAGAGAGAGAGAGAGGCATTAATGGTTTCTGTTTTTTCTGGAAGTGGGATTGAACCCAGGGCTTTCCCACTAAGCTACATCCCCATGTACGCTGTATCGTGCGCACACACACACACACTATATATATAGATAGATATTTGGCATGTCACTGTGCTGTGCTATGAAGAGGTCTCCTATTTTGTTTTAATCAGACAGGGTCTCACTACTAATCAGGCTGGGGTCAAACATGTTCTTCCAGCCTCGGCTCCTGGGGCACGTGGATTACAGTGAGCACCACGTGCCCAGGCCTGCCTGGACCCCACCTCCCAGCCAAGGCCACGTGGTGATGAGCCCCTTTCCGCCTCGGCCCCCTGGTGCCCACTTCCTGCGCTGCCCCACGAGGCAAGCCTTGGCACGGAAGCCTCTGGCCGCCTCCTTTACCAGCCTGGTGACTTTCACGGCAGCACGCCCATGTTATTTTGATGTGGCTCCATGTGCCGGGCAGGGCTAGCTGCTCGGAGCCCACTGCCCGATGGACAGGCACCAAGGCAGGTGCTGCTTCCGCCTGTGCCTCTGCTTGCTCAAAGGAAACAACAGCGAGAGTTTCGGAGGCTGGATTTCTGAAAGGACATCTTATTCCACCTTTCTTTTTTGTACTGGGGATTGAATCAGGTCCTTAACATTGAACTAAATCCTCGGTCCTTTTTGTTTTTTGTTTTTGGTACCGGGCATTGAACTCGGGTCCTTGTGCTTGCAGGGCAGGCGGCGGAACCACTGAGCTACATCCCTGGGCCTCCTTGGCCCTTTTAAAAATTACTCACTTTGAGTCAGAGTCTCACTGAGATGCCCAGGCTGGGCTTGAACTTGCAATCCTCCTGCCTGAAGCTCCCAGAGTGCTGGGACTACAGGCCTATGCCATGGCACCTGTAAACTACTGGCCAGATGGACAGGGCTCCTTGCACATGAGACACATTTCCTTTGGGGCCAGTCATGTTGCTACGAGGCTCTGGAGGGGACCATCAGAAATGCGGCCGTGTGCACACAGCCCGACCTGGGGCACCTTACCTCGCCCCAGCCTTTTGCAGAGGTCACTCTGCGGAGTGCGAAGTTGATGGAGCCCCCTCCATTGCCGTTCTGGGTGGAGAGGCTTCCCGAGAGGATGGCTGTGTCCGTGGCTGTCAAGGGGGCCTAGGAAGAGATGTTTCTGGTCAGGAACAGACGTGTCCAGAAGTGCTGGCGAGCAGCATGGTGAGCAGAGCACAGGCTCAGGACGGAGGTGCAGGTGTGCTGCACGTCACACACACAGGAGACACAACTACCCTGCCCACCTCCCAAACTGCAGGTGCTACCATGTGCGGTGATGGCGCATTGTACAAGAGCTTCAGGGGAAACTTGGACACCTACGGGAGACTTGGGCCTGGGTGGCGGGCTCTCCACCTGCCTGGCAGGAACAGCACAACCACTCTGCCATGCGCCTCCTGCTGTGGGACCCAGGCCTCTCCAGCCTCACTCATCCCAGGGTCTTGTGGGGACTGAGGACTTCCGGGGCTCTTATTTGCTCTAAGAGGGGATGAGGACCCCCGAGTTAGCACTGCTGTAGGCTGATGTGCTCAGTGAATGAACGAGGCAAGGAGGCGGAGGTTGCTGTAGCAGACTCCTGACCTCGCCACATCAAGCAGCGGGTGCAAAGGTGACATTTCAGGGACCTCAGGGCTCACATGCAGGGCACCCATGGCCAGGCAGCACATAACAGAGTGCGCCTTAAGACACTGCTTCCTGGATTACCCTCAGGGGTGTCCCTCCCTCCCTGAGCCACGATCTTGGCCTCCATTTGGCCTGGGGCATCAACCTCTCCGGAGGGTGTGGGCTGGGCCCTGGGGAGAGTGCCTGGCCCTGGCATTCATGCTGGCTCATGGGCAGGCACAGCAGTAACAAGGCTGTGCCCGCAGCTCGCTCTCTTTTTTTAAGTGGCTAATTACATCCTTTCATAAATAAAGACGAGAACCCGAGCAGATGCTCATTCCAGCTGCTCGAGGTGCCGTGCCTCATTAACCCAGGCTTGTGCTGCACTCGGAGAGGTGTGTGTGTGTGCTTTACCTCAATGGACTGGGATATGTGCATTTTATTAATTTCAATCTGCGGAAAGCCACTTCCAGATACGTCCTCGTACTCCTCATCATATCGATCAAAAAGGTCAGTGGCATCTATTCCAACGCTGATGGTTCCCTAGAGCAGAAAAACAAGCAGTCAGCAGGCAGGGGTGGTGTTTGTGGAACAGGAGATGAGACGAGGCCACGTCTCAGCGGCGAGAGGGGCTTTAATTGAGCCAGGCATACGACTGCATGGTCCCCAGCTTAGGCCACCATGAAACTGCACAGCATGAATGCCATAGTTCACAGCAGCAGTGTCCACAGACTCTCAGAGCCAGAAAGCACTGCGAGGACCGGAGGACTGGCCTGCACATCTGCAAGGTCGATGAGCCAGACAGGCATTCCTGCAGGGGACATGGAGCCGGTTTGATCCTCAGAGACTAAACAGGATGCATGAAGCCACCTACACACTGCCTGCACAGATAAAATGTTTCTCCACCAACATTTATGTCACAAAACCACCTTAAAACTCTTTAAAACATAAAATACCTTTAAAGGTAAATAAGCACAGGCATAATAAGGTAGGAAGAAATGGGAGACAGAAAAAAAAATTTACTCTGGCCCGGTGTGATGGTGCAGGCCTGGAATCCCAGTACTCTGGGAAGCAGAGGCAGGAGGCTCATAAGTTCAGGCCAGCCTGGGCCACACACTAAATTCAAGGATGGCCTGTGTGGTGAGGGGGCCCAGGCTAGAGTGCTGGGGGTAGAAGAACGAAGGCCCTCTGCTGCCGGCCAGCCGCCCCTGGCCAACGGCTGAGGTGCGGGACACATGAGCAGATCCACCTTCCACACCCGGCTCGCGCCTGCAGATGACGAGACATGGGGAGACCAGGTCAGAACTGCCACGGGGCCCAATCAGCCCAGAACCAAGGGTCAAAGTGCCGTTGCAAGGCACTACGTTTTTGGGGTCCATCCTACAGCACCCCAGCATGTACCCAGAGAGCAGGGCTGGAGACAGGCCGGCCCATGTACTGTGAGTACAATGAACCCTGCTTCTGTGAGGCGAGTGCTCCACCACTGCCAGCCCCGGCTTGTGCTTTTCATGATCACATCATCAATACAATTTTAAAATGTGGCCAAGTATGTGTTTTAAGAAAGTTTATTTTTTTTTTTTTGGTACCGGAGATCGAACTCGGGACCTTGTGCTTGCAAGGCAGGCGGCGGAACCACTGAGCTAAATCCCTGGCCCAGAAAACTTAATTTTTGAAAAAGCCACTTTATAGACTGACAACATAAGAGCAGTATTCATTAATGCATGTTTTTAAATGATGATAAAATTTTCATTATTTTAAGTACCCCCCCTCCCTTAAAAACTATCTGAGCCCGATGAATGACAAGGAATCCCTAGCGAAAGACCACGGCCAGGACACTGACAACACTGGGTTTGAGCAAGGAGGTGGGCGGACCCGACCTCTGCAGCGCCCCCTGGCGGCTGTGCGGGGAGTCGGCCCAAGGCGGTCGCCCTGGAAACTGCTGCTTTTAGGGCTTTTTACAGCTGGCAGCGCGTCCAGCTCCTCAGACCTGGCAGCATCGGGTGGTTCTCTGGGGAAAGGCAACGTACCACGGGCATTATTTCATTCTCTTTCATTATTTGTCCAATTGTATCGGCCAAAGCTTCCACACGGTTTCGGTTTTATTTCCTTTCCCAGTGAAGAATTTTAAACGGTAAGTACTTGGGTTAAGGCCACACTGACGATCAGCCAATCACCAGAGCATGGAGCAGCCTTCAGAAGTTTAAAACATCATCCAGGGACCACTTTTCAACCCCTCTGCTTCTCCCCTAAACAAGGACGCAATGACGGAAAACTCACGAGCCAGCGAGATCAGCTGTCCTGGGCTGGAGATGACTGGTCAAGTCACCCCGGGCTGACAGGACACTTCCGTAAGGTGGAGGGGCTCGGCAGGCTGCCTCCTGCTGCTGCCCACTCCAGGGAGAAGGGCGGGCACGGCACCAGGAGACGCATTCGGGCTTCTCTCCCGCGCTCAGCCCGCTCCGAGACAACACACTTGTAGGTGATGGAGAGTCGCGAATGTGAGAGCAACCTGGCAGATCTAAATTTCGACCGCATCAGAAACAAAGCAAGAGATAAGCAGCGATCTACCCTGGGTTCAACAACTTCCCATCGAGCATCTGCAGATTGATATACATCAGATTAAAGTGTCATTAAATCACTTTTCCTGCCAGGTGTGGTGGCTCGCGCCTGTAATCCCAGCACCAGGGAGGCTGAGGCAGGAGGACTGCCATGAGTCCAAGGCCAGCCTGGCTACAGTGAGTTCAAGGCCACCTGAACTGCACGGTGAGACCCTGTCTCAAAAAATCAAAAATATCATACTTTTCCATGAAAAGGGCATACAGAGGAAAGTACTAAGTAACCTCTGCCATCAAGTCCAACTTACAAACCTTGGAAACCATTTATCTTCTGCTACTAGCATGTTTCACCATATTTTTCTGGGGCGAGGTCGTCCAACCCCTGTGCTGTGCAGAGAAAAATGTTCTGGGGATGTGGGCAGCTGCTGTAGGGCTGCTCAGCCCGCTCAGCCCTGCTGTTCTTGGCACGGCCTTTTTCGTCACACTAGGGATGGAACCCAGGTTTTGCCCACACGGAGCAAGCGCCCTTGGACTGGACGAAGCCCCAGCCTCAGCGCTGCCGCTGCAGCCTAAACAGCAGAGGTAAGGGCTGGGGATTTAGCTCAGTGGTTCTGGCACCTGCCTTGCAAGCGCAAGGTCCCGAGTTCAATCCCTGGTACAAAAAAAAAACAACAAAAAAAAAACAAAACCAGCAGAGGTAAGATGCAGCAAGCGTGCACTGCTGTGTTCTAATAAAACTTTAACTAAGAACAGTGAAATCTGAGTCTCATAATCCTCCTGTGTCACAAGATATTCTCTGGACTTCTTACCACACTAAAAATGTAAAAGCTACTCTTAGCCATGGGCTGCATGACAACAAACAGTGGGCCAGGGTGCTCATGTCAACTACAGAGCACTCACTTTCTTTTCATAAAGTGAACACTCTTGTGATGTGGCTAAGTTAGCCAGCTGTAGGGATTTTTTTTTTTTTTGAGATAGGCACTCGCTAAGTAGTTCAGGCTGGCCTTGAACTCATGGCAATCCTCCCACCTCAGCCTCCTGAGGGCTGGGATAACAAGCATGTGCCACCATGCCCGGCTATCATGTCTTTTTTTTTTTTTTAACTGAATTTGTGTGTGTGTGTTATGTGTTACTGGGGCTTGAATGTGCCAGGCAAATGCTCTACTGTGCTTTTTATTTTTTTATTTTTGGGGTACCAGGGATTGAGCTCAGGGCCTTGCGCTTGCAAGGAAGGCGGGGGGCCACTGAGCTAAATCCCCAGTCCTTTTTATTTTTTAATTTTTAAGACAGGAACTTGTTAAGTTGGCCAGGCTGGACTTGAATTTGCAATCCTCCTGCCTCAGCCTCCTAAGTAGCTGTGATTATAGACATGTGCCACCACGCAGGATTTAATTCAGATTTTGACTGAGAAATGTGATAAATGATAATTGAGGTTCATATGTAGTTGGGAGAAATACCAAGAGAGATTTCATGTACCCTTTGTCCAGTTCCCCTGAAGGATCTCGACATGGATACCCTCCAAGGAGCTCATCCAGGCCTCCCTCCTGTGTTCCTTTTTCTCACGTGCGCGCGCATGTGTGTGACTTCTACAAAATCACATCACACGTGAGGGCTCGCGTGTCCCCACTGCAGTCCCCACAGAGGACGGTTCCATCACGGGCCCCAGCCCATGTTCCCACACCGTCCCTCCCACCCCTGGCCAACGCTACCCCACTGTGTTTCTGATTCTCTTCCTCTTCACTGAAGAAGCTGCGGCAGGCAGGGCCAGGGCTCCTTCCTCTCACGAATGCCATGGATGCACAGTGCCATCTTTCTAATAGAACTGTCTTAGGAAACAGACTTACATTTCGCTTACACCATCAGCACTGAACACACGTGTCCATCTCAGTGTCCTCCTGAAACTCCCCTCCCTCCCACAATGACACACACATTCACGAGGGTCAGAGGGACAGAGCCGGCAATGGTGGTGGGTAAGAGGTGTCACTGGTGACCAGGGAAAGCCTTATGCTGCTCAGCACCTGCAGCCTCAGTGCCTGGGCACCCGGGAGCCCTAGAAGCCCAGCCTGGGGAATTCAGTAAGACCGCACCTTGAAATAAAAATTAAAAATATAAAGGGCTGGGAATATAGCTCAGTGTGAAGGGCTCAAGTTTGACCCCCAGCATGTTACAAAGGCTGTGGGGTAAGGAGGGGCAGCAGGGTGCCTTGGACACCTCCACACACACACACACACACACCCCCCACTCTCACCCTTGCACCGAGACAGCCCCATCCATGGAGATAAGCAGGGAATGTTCACGGGGCCAGCAAGCCCTGGAGACACCCCGCCCCTGTCCAGGGACAGGGATGACTGCGGCCCTCACGGGTGGAGCCACGGTGCTGTGGAACAGGATACGTAGGGTCAAGCGAGGCCTGGGAGCACACACAGACGGGGCCAGTCTGAAAATGCCCCGAACGGCTCGCTCAGGACATACACAAGTCCACTGAATGAAGCGTGACCAATTAATCTGCAAACCACAAAAAGTGAAAAAAATACAGGGAAAAAATAAAAAGCTCAAAAACCTAAAAACTGACCAATATGTCGCTTAAGTAAACACAAAAATACTTCTTTTGGTTGGGGATGTGCCCGGCACGCGCTCCACACTCATGCCGCCACTTCTGTGAGGAAGCTGTCAAAGCAGCACAGCGAAGGCCATGCAGGACAGGGCTTCCCCCTGGCAGGAGGCAGGAGGCAAGGCGGGAGAAGAAGTGAGCTGCTCTGTGCACGTGAACGTATTAACGTATGCATGCGTGTGTATTTTCTCTTTTTCTTCCCTCCCTCCTGCCTTGGCTTTTTCTGACAGTGTTTCTTTATGTAGCTCAGGCTGGCCTCAAACTGAGGGTGATTCTCCTGCCTCAGCCTGCCGAGTAGCTGGGATTCTAGGTATGTGCCACTGTGCCCAATTTGTTGCTCATATCAAGCCTGGGAGTCAATTAAAAGCTACTATTTTCTCCCTCCACCCTCTAGGATAGCAATTTCTCCCCGTACCACTTATTCCGTGGTTTAACCCTTGGCCTTACTCACTGGGTTCTGAGACTCCTGGTTTTGTCCCTCACTGAGCCCCTTCACTGTCACTTACGGAGATCCAGGCTGTGACGAGGGTGGCTTCCGGCCACTAGGCAGGAAGTGATACCGTCTGAAAGCCTCTCTGGGAGACTCGGTACCAGCTGTTCACTCAGGCAGGAAGGGACAATTCGAAATTATGTTCATTTTTTTGGTTTCAAATTTCAAAGTATTTAACTGACAAATGAAGATTTCATATATTCAGGGTGTAAGATATGATCTTACACGTGTATAACTGTGTTGTGGTGATTGCAATCAAGCTGATTAACACGTTCATCACCACCCGGGCCAAATTATTATTATTATTATTCTTCGCTTTTTGAGGCAGGGTCTCATGTACAGCCTCAGTTGGCCTTGAATTCAGTGATCCTCTTGCCTCGGCCTCCTCAGTGCTGGTAGCAGAGGTGGGCACACTGCGCCAGCCTGATGCCAACCCCCTTTCTCTCTCTGACAGGGTCTCACTGCATTCCCAGGTTGCTCTTGAACTCATAGACTCAAGCAATCCTTCTGCCTCGGCCTCCCAAGTAGCTGGACTGTGGTGAGCGCCAGTGTGCTGCTCCTGTGTCTGTATTTCTCCATGTGGCCATGAAGGCGGGGCATCTCTGTCCACTGAGACTTCAGCGCTAACTCCTGACTGCAAATCCCCCAGTGAGGGAGGAGAGGCGATGTGAACTCTGCCCATTTTATCACTGCCCAGCCCAGGAGGGCTCTGAGACACCCACTTCCAAAGAACGTTCCCTGAGGTCACTTGGGACCCACCCTGCACTGCGCACTGCTGTGGGGCCCAGGGTGGCCCAGCTGGCTGCCTTCTCCTTGAGTGACAACTCCCCCAGCTGCAGCAGAGGCCCTCACCCTGCAGCTGAGCCACCTCGCTCTCTGACACAGGGCACTTCCGGGAACAGGCTGAGGCTCTGGCGGACGCTATGATCGTCAGGCATGGTGACCGAAGTCTCTTTAAAAAAGTAGTTCCAGCCAGGGATTTAGCTCAGTGGTTCTGCTGCCTGCCTCGAAAGCGCAAGGTCCCGAGTTCGATCCCCAGCACCAAAACAAACAAACAAAAAGTTCCATAAAAATAAGTGAGCAATGTACTTATCTATCTTTATGAAAACGCTTTGGGATTTAGAACATATTTCTTTTTTTTTTTTTAAGAACATATTTCTTGTGGTTAAATGCGTTCCTTGATTAAATTTTTTCCAGGTAAAGGTGAGTTACGTTTCTAAGCTATGGCATGAAAGGCATGAGTAACAGAGCCTTTCTAAAACTGGAGAAGGTCTCCCCAGAGTGTACATCAATCTCTGCAGTACGGAAGGAGTGGAATGGGCCAGAAAATAACATAACCATCTCTAGGAAACTCTTTCATAACAGGGTCAAAAAATAAAGGAATATAGGCCCTAAGGGACAGGCGGGCCCCCCAAGGACCCCTAACTGAACCTTCACTGTACGTGGGCTCCAAGTTCATGACAAAGGAGGTAACCACGCCAGACAGCTGCTTGTGATCCAGTCACCTTCTGAAGATGCTCGACTGGCTGCTGCCCAGAGAGATTTAGGGGCATTAAAAAAAAGAAAGAAATTAACCCAGGCATGATGGCTCAGGCCTATGATTCCAGCACTTGGGTGGCTGAGATGGAGAACTGCAGTGAGTTTGAGCCCAGCCTCAACTGCATAGTGAGACCCTGACTCAAAAAACAAACAGAGGAAGGAATTAAACTAACCAATAGAAAGTACACATAGTACAGAATAACTGCAGTCTTATTCTCTATTCTGTGATCTTAGTCTCTAAAAGGCAAGAAACAGGAATGGAACAGACAGACAAAAAGAGGACCCTGGGCTGGAGATTTAGCTCAGTGGTTCCGCGCCTGCCTTGTAAGCACAAGATCCCGAGTTCAATCCCTGGTACCAAAAAACCAACCCCCCCCCCCCCAAA